AGAACCTTAACAGGAGAGATGCTTGTACCAGGTTGTAACACCAGTGTGTTAATTTCCATCTGTAGTCCCTGGGCAGGTTCATTGATTGACTGATATTTTCTTTATTTATTTTTTTTTTTTTTCATGGAATGAGCTGCCTTTGGACAATAGACCGGCCTCTTCTGTATCTGTTTTTAAATCTCTTCTTTAAACTTAGCATTTGTTCACTTTGGCTTTTGACACAGTTTGAGATGTTGATATTTTATTATATTGTTTGTTTGTTTTTTTTTTAGATTCTGTTTTTATTCATATTTTGTTTTTTTGTTGTTGTTGTTGTTTAATTTAATTATGTTCTGTAGCATTTTGGTCAAACTGTGTTGTTTTTAAAGAATGTTATAAAAAAAAAGTTGCAGTTGCAGTGGCAGCAGTAGTAGTAGTAGTAGTAGTAGTAGTAGTAGTAGTAGTAGTAGTAGTAATAGTAGTAGTAGTAGTAGTAGTAGTAGTAGTAGTAGTAGTAGTAGTAGTAGTAGTAGTAGTAGTAGTAGTAGTAGTAGTAGTAGTAGTAGTAGTAGTAGTAGTAGTAGTAGTAGTAGTAGTAGTAGTAGTAGTAGTAGTAGTAGTAGTAGTAGTAGTAGTAGTAGTAGTAGTAGTAGTAGTAGTAGTAGTAGTAGTAGTAGTAGTAGTAGTAGTAGTAGTAGTAGTAGTAGTAGTAGTAGTAGTAGTAGTATAGTAGTAGTAGTAGTAGTAGTAGTAGTAGTAGTAGTAGTAGTAGTAGTAGTAGTAGTAGTAGTAGTAGTAGTAGTAGTAGTAGTAGTAGTAGTAGTAGTAGTAGTAGTAGTAGTAGTAGTAGTAGTAGTAGTAGTAGTAGTAGTAGTAGTAGTAGTAGTAGTAGTAGTAGTAGTAGTAGTAGTAGTAGTAGTAGTAGTAGTAGTAGTAGTAGTAGTAGTAGTAGTAGTAGTAGTAGTAGTAGTAGTAGTAGTAGTATAGTAGTAGTAGTAGTAGTAGTAGTAGTAGTAGTAGTAGTAGTAGTAGTAGTAGTAGTAGTAGTAGTAGTAGTAGTAGTAGTAGTAGTAGTAGTAGTAGTAGTAGTAGTAGTAGTAGTAGTAGTAGTAGTAGTAGTAGTATAGTAGTAGTAGTAGTAGTAGTAGTAGTATAGTAGTAGTAGTAGTAGTAGTAGTAGTAGTATAGTAGTAGTAGTAGTAGTAGTAGTAGTAGTAGTAGTATAGTAGTAGTAGTAGTAGTAGTAGTAGTAGTAAGTAGTAGTAGTAGTAGTAGTAGTAGTAGTAGTAGTAGTAGTAGTAGTAGTAGTAGTAGTAGTAGTAGTAGTAGTAGTAGTAGTAGTAGTAGTAGTAGTAGTAGTAGTAGTAGTAGTAGTAGTAGTAGTAGTAGTAGTAGTAGTAGTAGTAGTAGTAGTAGTAGTAGTAGTAGTAGTAGTAGTAGTAGTAGTAGTAGTAGTAGTAGTAGTAGTAGTAGTAATATTTTTTATGTCATTTCAACACTATTTTGTGGTACAACAGCTTCTCAACACGTGTCACATGTTAATACTTATCCCTGTTTTGTCCAGTCCAAATGTAAAAACGTTAGAGAAAAATCCCACAAGATCATTTTTCTCATTTGCGCACGATACTGTGGCCATTTTGTCTCGCAAGATCTTGTCCCATCCCTGTCACAATCACACCTGAACCTGTGTCTCCAGAGCCTTAAACTTCAGATAGAAACACATCCAAGTTTGTCTCATTCTCAGTTTATGAATAGACCTCATGTGGAAGCTCAAAATCTCCAGAATTCCCTCCCTGAGCTGCAAAGGTTGCACTAGCACAGGCTCATGATTGGCTGGAGGTGCAGGGGTTTAGGTAGTGTCCATCATGTCCAATATTTTTTGTAATTCTGAATAAATCAGCGTTACAATCATAGTCACAAATGAAACTGGAAATCAAAACGTTGCGTACAGTTCTGTGCAGCTCATATCCGCCGCTTTAAGAGTTCAGAGTCTCCATAACTTCATCAGGTTTATTGAGTTTGTATTGAACCTCTGGACTCAGCCTTACCCCTGTAGCTCTCGTCCACCGCCGCGTCTTTGTGTCTTCTGTGGGCTCGGGGCGTGTGGTCAGCGCCGCGGCTCAAGTTTCAGACACAGTAGAAAACCCAGAAAGCAGATAGCCCGGGGTTACTGGCCCAAACATGCTTTTCCACTGTAGCCTCATTCCAGCAGGCAGTCTTCTCTCACATTTCACACGTTTCAACAGATAAACAAGTTTCAATCAATCTAAGTGCCACTTTGGGAACGTACAAGGTCAAATAATCATGTGCAGAATTAAAGCTACAGTGTGGGACTTCCCGGAGGTGGCATGAATGAGTCCAAAGAAACATAAAATTAAAGCGATTCTATAATACTATTTGCCGAATGAGAGTCAGGTTTGTGGAGATGCAAGCCCACTCACAGTACGCATGTTTTTCTGTGTGAAAAAAAGAAAAGAAAACACATCTATTTAGCAAAAAACTCCATACTGCGGCTTTAAGATCTATACCGTATTATTGTTGATGCTGACAATTTTTTCACAACACACAGAGATGCAATTTTTGACGAGAGAATTCAACTCCGCCAGATGTCAGACGCTACACAGCAGAGGTGGGCAGTTATTTTCTTCCATGGGGCCACATGAGAAACAGAAAATATCGTGGAGGGCCGGACCAAAATGCTTAACTCAGTTCTGCGTAATATTCACTGTATTTCTTTATAAAAAGCAGTAAATATCATTGGTTTGATGAGCTGGTGAGAGTTGATGTTATGAATAAGCAATGAAAAAGTGAGGTTGTCTTACAAAAAATGTAATTTAAACACCTTTAAAACACAGGTAAAATAAAAGTAATGCAGCTTTAGTCCATGCATGGCGTAAATTATAAAATATGTTTATTTTGTAATTCCAAATGATCTTAAAGTCAACCAAAGAGCCGTATGTGACCCAGTAGCTGCACAAAGCCCAGGTCTGATATACAGTCTTCCATTTAACCTATCCATTCAGAGTGGTGAAAAAAAAAAGCACTGTTGCCATAGCAATTAACTATTCAAAACTAAATATTTTGGATAAAAGCACAGAGGAAGATTTGAGCTTCAGGGTATCTTAAAGATGAGGCTGAAAAATTTCAGGCAGTGAAGATGACCAAGTTTGTAATCTTAAAGCTTACTGAGATAAAGTAAAATGCGATTAAAAAGTCTGAGACACTCTGTTGGAATTAGAATAAAAGTCCTTAAATAGGGATATGCCCTGACGAAGACATCACATGTGTCAAACTTTTATTCTAATTTTAACAGACTGCTTTTTACTTTATCACAGTAAGTTTTGAGAAAATATTTAGTCTTTTGAAATGTTGGCTCTGAATCTGTATCTGTAGCCTCAATGCTCTGTGATTATAAATTGTGCAGAAGGTGATTTTAAATTGTCCATCTATAATGTTGACACAAAGCTGAAATCCAGCTGGTTTAAACCTAAAATGTCTCTTGGATCTGAGCGGTCACTCCCTAAACCTCAGCACCTGCAGCCTGTCATGAATAAGAAAAACTCGGATGTGTCTCTATCTGCAGGTTAAAGGTGCATTGTGTAACTTTTTTGGTGAAGGGTCCGTCAAATGCTCGTCTCCAGGGAGATGTTATTGCTGTGTCTGGAATGATTTACAGTATGGCGTTAAACCTTTTTATCTTCATGGAAACCAAACCAGATCAAGTTACAGGTCAGATCTGTGTTTTTTTCTCCATATATAAATCCATCTGTAATTGAATAAATGTAAAGTAGAGGTGTTTAATGTCAGACATTCCAGGCAGAGCAATGACGTATCCAAAGAAACAAGCAGTGACGAACCCCTAACCAGAAAGTTACACAATGCACCTTTATGGCTCTGGCAACACAGGTTCAGTTGTGATTATAGTGCATTTTTAAAACAATAAGAGCACAGAATACATACAGATCCTTTAATCCTATGTGGATCAAAAATAGGCTACGGTATAGGCAGGTTTCGATTCTGCTGTTGAATTAATGAATAAAATGAGACAGAGATATATATTTTATTGCTTAATTTCTACATTTATGTTTTATTTTAACTTGTACATATACATATGTCTTGTGCCTTGTACTTTATGCACTACAGTATATGTCTTTTGCACCATGTTCCATTTGCACTATTTACCTTTTTTTTTTTTTTTTTTTTTTTTTTTACTTTAACTGCACTGTACTGTACACTACTGTTTTTAGCTTAATTTTTTTTTTTACACAAATTTCGTTTCCTTTGTATGTCTAGTAGTACATAAGAAGAAACTGACAATAAAGCTAACTCTGATCTTTGAACTTTATATAATTTTACCTTATTTGACACCAGTCTCTTGCTTTTGCTACTGTTATTATTTATTTATTTATTTTATTTTATTATATTCTGATGTGTGAGCTACTGTGTCCAAGTAATTTTCCTTGTGGATCAATAAAGTCTAAAAAAATAATAATAATAATAAAAATGTAAAACATCCACTCGTTTTTTATTATATTATTTATATTATATTACTACTTTTTTATTATTATTATGTATTATTATTATTATTATTATTATTATTATATATATTATTATTATTAATAATAATAATAATAATAATTTTAATTTTATTATTTATTTTTATTTATTTTATTATATTGTGATGTGTGAGCTACTGTGTCCAAATAATTTTCTTTATGGATCAATAAAGTCTAAAAAAAAATAATAATTATTAATTATAAAAATTAAAAACCTCCACTCGTTTATTATTATTATTATTATTATTATTAATAATAATAATAATAATAATAATAATAATAATAATAATAATAATAATAATAATAATAATAATATTTATGTATTTATTTATTTATTTATTTATTTATTTATTTTTATCGCTGCCCACTCGTTTGGGGCGTGGCGCGTGCTCGTGGGGGCTGACCCGTAGTAAGCACGCACGGACGTCATGACGCAACGCTCCTAGCAACCGGCATGGCGACGGAGAAGCTTGGGCTCATCTGCTTACGTTAGCTTAGCCGGGTGTTTAGCGATGCACGTCGGAGAATAAACCGCGGTAAAATGTTGTCCCCCGTGTACGTGGTGCGCGGTGACTGTAATCTGGATTTACGGCAAAGAACGACCGAGATTTATGGAGAAAATGGGGCGTTTTGAAGACGATATGGACTCGAGGATTGTACCATCTGGTGACTACAGTTCTATTTACGAGCTGAGGCTAGCGACGCTGCTAACACGCTGTAGATTTGCCTCTTTTAGTGCTGTTTTGTGTTTGATTTAATGTGATTTGCTAAAATGCAGCTTTGTTTTATTAACTGGTGAACTGTGGTGTGGTTGGATTTTAGAAATTTGATAGAAAATGGGTTAAATTGGGTCAATTATCTAACAATGATCTGGTTCAACAGCTCTATTTTTTCTTTGGAATATCTTTTTTTTTTAAATCCAATCAAGTAATAATTGGAGTTATGTTTTGGGTGACCAGACGTCCCTATTTACTCGGGACAGCCCCAGTTTTTAGCCCAGTGTCCCCTGTCCCAGCAGATTTATACAAGACCACTGATTTGTCTCAGTTTTATACAAAAAATGGCCCAGGTGTCTCTATTTTTGACCAATTTGATCACTGCCAACAATAAAGAGAGGCATACATTGCCATTTGTTTAGATAAAATACAGAAAACCTGCCTAAAAATGACAAAAACACAAAGAAAATGTAACTGACTCACATTAGTTCCAAGTGCAGAACATTTTTTCTTAATTACGCACTCGTTGCACAGTTTTATTATTACCAACCACCACAAACCAGGGAAGTCACAGTTTTTTATTCTGAAAATCTTGTCACCCTAAATTTGATAGAAAATAGGTTAAATTAGGTAAATTATCTAACAAGGATCTGGTTCAACAACTGTATTTTTTCTCTTCTGATCTATGTTCTAATGTTTTTCCCTCATCACAAACAGACCTGGAGTTGTGCTTTGTTTCATTCACACATGTTTAACATACAAACCTGCATATTTTAGCTGAGTTCTTCTCTCAAACTGAAAACACTCTGTTCCACCTTGTGATGTCATGTGGTAATACTGTGTTTTTAAACTCCATGCAGCTTCACTTCAACCCTGGAAGTGCCAATCTCTAATGAACTATAGGTAAAAGGTGATGTTAACTACCACTACATGACATCACAAGGTGGAACAGAGCATTCTGAGCTTTGTTGATGTAGACAGTCTAATAATAAAGACTGAATCAAACAAAACACAATTCCAAGTATGTTTATGATGAGATAACAACATTATAACATAAAATTCACAAGAATCAATTTTGTGTAATATAGGACCTCCTTTCTGTTCTGACAAACATAAATAACAGTACAGTATGGCCTGCTCTGATTGGCCAGAGCTCAGAGAATTACGCAAATTGTTTTTTGTATCGAAGTGTAATCTAAAATGCTTCTCAAATTGTGTTAAAAAGTAACTTGTTACTTGTACTTTGAGTTGTGTTTTCCATGTGTACTTTTTATGTTTACTTGAATAGATTTTTGGTAATTGAGTAAATTATCAGCCATGTAACTGTACTTTTGCTTGAGTACAAACAACTGCTTTCTGTTATACAAGATGTGTACAGTCTAACAGAGATTGCCTGCTTTGATAAAGTCTAATGAGCTAATAATCAAGTATAATGAGTTAATAATAATAATTGTGTGTATTCTCTTCCTCATTAGGCAGTGCGTCTTCTGCCTCTGGGTACAGTCTCCGCTCAAGGGGATCCGGTGCAAAGATCAGCCGTAAGTACAAAACATCCAAATAAGAATTCACTGATGATACTTTGCAGCTGATGTCGTCAACATTCCCTGGAGGTGTGATGCTGACTGTAGGCTCTGCTCTGTCTAAGGCTCTGTTAGACTTTAAGATGATCTTTATTTGAACACAGTCTGACCAGAAAGAGCCGACTTAGGCCATTTTCACGCATGTTAGTGCGCTCTCTGGACCGATCCCAGTGCCACGAGATTTAGTTCTGTTTACTTCGCTTTTTGTCAGTCTTCATTCAGCATCATTCAGCCCAAACCACACCATGAACCAAGCGAGATGCCATCAGCTGCTCAGAGAACTTATTTCCATGACGACGCGCTTCAAGTAGAGAGAACCCGGTGAATATGCACACACTCACTTCTCTGGTGCTGTGCTCGGTGGCCTTTTCTTTGAGATAAATACACGGTGAGGGCTGGAATCGCTGGTGATGGACTGAAGCTCACCTGTGCGGACAGACTCAAGCGCCCTCAGAGCTTTTCATGCGGTCCAGAATGTGGCTGTCATGTTCACACCAGCCTAAATTCACCGCTCTCACAGTCAACCGAACTAGTGCCAGTGTGAAAACGAACTTAGTTGGAACTACAACAGGTGAGCTGATTTGTGCTGTTAAACAAGTCTCTCACACATTAAATAATAGTCACAGGATCATGAACGCTCGGACTGATCACAGGCTCCTGAAAATGTGCTGTTTAAATAAATTTTTTCTTTTTTCTTTTATCTTATATCTTTTTGGTAGTGTTGGCTAATCTGTGCACTTTGTCTCCATGGCAACTACTGAACATTTTACTAGTGTCGTAGAACTCAAGACCGGTCTTGGCCTCGAGACCTGTTTTTTTTACGGTCTTGGTCTCGTCTCGGACTCGACTGCATTTGGACTTGGTCTCGTCTCGGTCTTGAAAGAGCTTGGACTCGGCCTTGTCTCATTCTTGAAGGCGCTTGGACTCGGTCTTGTTTTGGTCTTAAAGGAGCTTGGACTCAGTCTTGTTTCGGTCTTGAAGGAGCTTGGACTCAGCCTTGTTTCGAGGGTTGTCTTGAGGTTCGTTGATGAGTAATAAAATGGAGTTAGATTTATTAAAACATTGATATAAATAAATACAAATAAATGTCGAAAATTACAAAGACGGTCTCGATTTCGTCTCGATGGACTGGTCTCGGTCATGTCTCGGTCTCAACTCTCAGATGTCTTGGTTTTATCCTGATCTCAGGGCCCTGTGGTCTCAGACAGGTCTTGGTCTCAATTAGTGCGGTCTTGACTACAACACTACATTTTACCATAGGAACAACACCCCCAGCATGGTATCGCTGCAAAGTATCAATTAAAGGAACCGTAATGATTGATTTACCCAAGTGTTCTCCATAATTCATTTTCTTATCTAAGAGTTCCACCTTTTGCCGAAGTTGTTATTTAATCTGTTTAATATGTTTTGTGAAATTCACCAGCTGCATATTATTGTTCATGTTGTGTACGTTCTCTTCTTTTCAGCTTTCTGTCCCCACTCCTCCAGTAAACTCACCCAGTCCATCATCAAGGATCACATGATTTCTCACTACAAGAAGGTTTACTCGGCCAAAGGTAAGACCGAGGCCCCACACTCAACATCACTGTTTGTGGAAAGACTGGCTTATTGTGCTGGGTTCAAGTCCGTAAATAAAGTAAATCATCCTCACTGCTGTAAACAGTGCAATAACATTCTTACTGTGGACACTTTGTTTGTTAATCTGTTTCTAGGCAGGTTTATGGGCTTGTTAAGTAGCTTCCGAGTCCAAACGGCTGATTTCTAGCTTTGGTTTTCATCGTCAAAAGACACACTTCGCATACGTTTAACCACTAATTGGGCCTGGTTAGTAATTGGATGGAAGACCAGGAGCCACAGAGGAGCAGCAGTGTTAAAAAAACAAAACAAAGAAACAAAAAAAACACACTGTATAGTATGAATGTGGTGTGTGACAACAACAAACAGTCAAAGCAGATGTAAAGTGCACTATGCCCGTAAGTCATTAAAAAATAAATAAATGAAATAAAAATTAAATTAAAATCAATAAATAAAAATAAATAAATAAATAAAATATAAATAAACAATAATAATACATAAATAATAAAAAAATAAATAATAAATAAAATAATAAAAAAATATAATGGTATCACAATTGTTGTTCTGGAGATATGCAAAATTACAATATCAAGTATATAATCTATAAACAGAACAATGAAAAACAACAGCAAAAAGAGCTGATTAAACACTTGACACTTCATATTGTTTCTGAGTAAATGTTTTTGAACGGACTAATTTCAATAGGGACATGAAACTGTTTTCTTGACATTTGATCACAAAGTCGGGCATATGGTGTTATTATGAGGCCTTCAGTGACAGTTCTAGTGCCATATGTGTGCAAAGAATCAAGTTAACAATCTGAGTCAATACAGAAACTGTTGTGTCCTTTGATTTCTATTGTCTGCAGTGGTTTATGGACCTTGTGTCCGATTAATCTTCATTGCGCGTTTGTGAATTTGGGTTTGTTTGTGCAGCACTATTCGTGCACAAGCAAATCAAAGACATTAAAATCATAATACAGTCAATAAAAGACATAAATAATCATCATAAATTTCACTTTAAAAGAGAAGAAGGCGGAGTTAAATCTCTCAGTCATATGCACAGCTAAACACAACTGTGACTAATGTTTCCAATACACTTTTCTCAGTATTTTGTCCTGTTTTGTTCTGAATTTGAAGACCTAATAATAACATAACAAGGCTGTGATAATGTAATACAGATTTATTATGCAATACTCAGTGTGGCAGTAAAAAACTGTTGCTTTGTGTGTCATATGCCCTCTTGTAAAACATGTTGCCAAAGGTGTACGCCATGAAGCTGTTCAGTGAAATATTCTAATGTGTTTCTCCCCCTCACAGCTGCTATCGACACCTCTGTGCCCAAAAGTCTGCTCTACAGTGTCAAGTGTAAGTCTGTGGAACATACATCACTGGAAATATGCACAGTGTGTCTCTTCTAACAAAAACCCTCTTTCTCTTTTTCAGACAATGATCAGCTGAAACGAGGACGAGCACAGAACGGCGTGAGGCCACAGTCCGCTCACTCTCTGTCCCAGCGCAGCAGAACAGCCTGTTCTCCAGCACAGGTACCAAAACAGACCAAACACACTGGTATATGAGCTAGAAATCTGTTTAAATGGATCATTCAATTAACTTGCCTCACACCAGATTGAAATGTACAGCTCTGAAGACAGTTCTACTCATTATTAATTGAGATGCTCAAAACAGCAGAACAAGCCAGTTGAGAGAAAAGCACAGACATCTTCCCTGTCCACAAATGCACAAAGCACTTACCTTCTGCACGTCTTTCACAAACTAAGCAGTCTGTATTTCTGAAGGATGTCTGTCATCGTTGCTGTGTTTGTTTCTGGTTGCTCGGGCGCCCAAACCACAATGCTGCTTTATTATTGGTTCATTCTCTGTCCACCAGTGGCCGGGCCCAATCGCACCAGCGAGAGCTAAGGTGGAGTCCTGTGAAGTCTCTGAGCGTTCACATGAGACATGATCTCTCCTTATAGCGAGAATGAGAAAAACTTGTTTGTGTTCTCTGTCTGCATGTTAAGGCTCTGTCAACCCAGGTTCACTTGCAGGCTACATACATACAATTATTATGCTTATTACACTTGTTGTAGCTAAGTTTGTACGTGTTGTTATTGCTGGCTGAATGGCAGTACAGCACTAACCCAGCGGTCTGGTTCCACAGAGCAGACTGTCTCTCCAGTTGGACCGAGACCCTTACCTGTGCTCCAGCAGCTCTTTGTCCTCCACCCCCAGACCCAGCACGTCCTTCCACCCGAGAAGCACCGTCTACCCCTCCTACAGCGGAGACCAGCACCACCCGCGGCCGTCCTCAGAGCGCGGGCACCGGAGCACCCTGCACAACTCACTCACCTCAGCCACAAGTGGGTAGTGCTCAGTTACATTCACTTGAGTAACTTTTTGAAGAGATTTTACTTTTCAGAGTAGTTTTCAGACACCACACTTACTCTAACTTGGGTAATAGTTGATTTGGAAAGCACCAGTACTTAGTTAGTTAAAGTTTTGGTTCCTCTTCCCATTGCGCTTGTTTCAATTTTATGTTTATCCGTTGAAAATACGATATTTTCAGCGTTATTTAATATTTTGTCCATCCAATTACATTAAATCCACTGTCCGTAATCAGATTGGCTGACCTGCACCTGCTGTATTCTCACATTACACCACTAGATGCTATCTGCGTTACTGCAATCTGACAGGGAACAAAGGCCAGGTGAGGTGAGGTGAGGTGAGGGGGGAGGGGGCACAAGTTTCACATCTGCCATCTACTGGTGAAAAAAAATGAAATAAACTTATGGATGCTTAGCCAGGCTGGCGCCACCTAGTGCCTCTACTCAATTTCATTTCTCTCCAGCGACTAGGTCAGGAATCAGAATACACTAGACGGTTCGCAAAAACTCCAGATGCGTGAGTTCGGGCACCAGCCAATCAGCAAAGAGCCATACGTTCTCTTTTGGCAACAATTCCCAAGATCCAGGATTTAAAGTCGAAACAAAGAGAATGTTTGGTGAATTTTATCAAGGGGAAAAACGTTATTGTGCTTCTACGTCTCGACCAAAATAGCAGTGATTAGTTAAATATAAAAAAGTACCTGCCTGCCGTCAAGTGAAGGAATTCTAATGCTGCGAGGTCAGACGGTTTCTACAAAGTAAAACTGGCTGATGAATCAGGCTAATGGATGGTAGCTTTAACTCCAAATTATAGTCCAAATTAAATTACTATTTTTGAGTAATTTCTTACACCACTACTTTGTACTTTTACTTGAGTAACACTACTACTTAAAGAAAACATTACTCTTACTTGATTACAATGTTTGGCTATTCTCCCCACATCTAACCTCAGTGTACTCCACACAAGCCGGTGGAGATCAGCCCTTCAGCTACAGAGCGTTCCAGGACCCCATTCAGAAAACCTACAGCGGAGATCTTCTGGAGAAACATGCCCAACGCTTCACTGAAGACAAGCCCTTTACCCCCAAGACCCTCAAGACGGACAAGAGCTCCTACCTGTCCAAGTACAGGTACTACAGGAGCCCTCAGCGGACAACTCAGGACAGACCCAACGCAAGCCTTAAGCACGACAACTTACACAAAAGGTACGGAAGGACAAAATATGTGTTTAGATTACAAATGAGTTTCAGAATGATGACAAATTAAAACCGCTGCCTAAGTAATTGATGGTTTAAAGTGGAACTAAATCAACACTAAATCCACTTTTTTCGCTACTAAACTGTGTATATGGTGATTAAATTAAATTATCTACTATTCCTAGTCATTTTTTGGCAACTTTAGTGCAAATTAGGAACATTTCCAGTCCCTCCTCCTTCTTCAGTCTCCCCTTTAGTCCTACAGACTCCCCCCCTCCTTCCTCCTCACTCTCCCCCTTACTCCTCCAGACCCTCCTCTCCTCCTCACTCTCCCCTTTAGTCCTCCAGACCCTCCTCTCCTCCTCACTCTCCCCTTTAGTCCTCCAGACCCTCCTCCTCTCCCCTCGCTTTCCCTTTTAGTCCTCCAGACTCTTCTCCTCCTCTTTCACTCTCCCCTTTAGTCCTTCAGACCCTCCTCCTTCCCCATCACTCTCCCCTTTAGTCCTTCAGACCTCCTACTCCCCTCCTCACTCACCCCTTTAGTCCTCCACACCCCGCCCTGCGTCCCCCTTCACTCTCCCCTTTAGTCCTCCAGACCTCCTTCTCCCCTCTTCACTCTCCGCTTTAGTCCGCCAGACCTTCCTCCTTCCCCGTCACTCTCCCCTTTAGTCCTCCAGACCCTCCTCTTCCTCTTCACTCTCCGCTTTAGTCCGCCAGACCTTCTCCTTCCCCGTCACTCTCCCCTTTAGTCCTCCAGACCCTTCTACTCCCCTTCTCACTGTCCCCTTAATCCTCCAGACCCTCCTCTCCCTCTTCAATCTCCTCTTTAGTCCTCCAGACCCTCCTTCTCGTCCCTCACACTCCCCTTTAGTCCTCTAGGCCGTCCTCCTCTCTCTCTCCCCTTTAGTCCTCCAGACCCTCCTCCTCCCTTCTCACTCTCCCCTTTAGCCCTCCAGACCCTCTCACTCTCCCCTTTCGTCCTCCAGACCCTCCTCATTCTCCCCTTTAGTCCTCCAAACCCCGCCCCTCGTCCCCCTCACTTTCCCCTTTAGTCCTCCAGACCCTCTTCCTCCCTCCTCCCTCTCCCCTTTAGATTAAATTCTGTTTTGAGTGACAGAGCTTCAGACAGAGCAGTGCCTCGGGGGACAGTCGATGACCTCAGCGTTTCTGTATCAATACCTCAGAACATTCCAGACAACAACAAAAAAAAATCCCTCCTTGGAGACGAGCAGGTGGAAGTTAATTGGAACGTCTCAAATTGCATTGAACTGTAGACTGGACTGAGCCAAAGATCGAAGCCCTAATCAATACCCTTTCATGAACAATCTAATACAGCTGCATATTAGTTATTGATTTCCTGTTGTGTTTTTGTCGCAGCACAAGTCGCAGAAAAAGCACACATGAAGTCGACGACCGATCTCAGGTATGTTTACAAAGCCCTCATGCTCAGATTTAGCAGATACTGTAATGTGTTTTATGGTTTTATTGTTTTATTTAGGGGTGTCAAATTATCGTGTTAATTGCGATTAATTAATTACAGTCATATTTAGCGCGTTATGTTTTTTAATCGCGTTAATCTCATTTTTAATCTCTAACTTTAGTGTTTCTGTATGTGAGTTTCTTTATTATAAAACCTGTTTTTATGTGTTGTTGGGACAACAACACACACACACACACACACACACAAAAAAAAACACATTTATAATTTTTTTTTATTTCGGTAATTCCACTCATTGCCGGAAACCCACACAAAACGCGCGCAGTAAGAGCGATGTAAACGTCTGTCGCACAATGGACGAAGTCGAAGAGCCAGTAGAACAGAGCAGCAGTGCACAGGTAAAAACACATTCGTGTCTTGGAAATTATTCTCCCGACGTGAAATATAAAAGAAAATAACAAATATAAAATCGCCTACAACTTAAATGTCACTGGTGAAAACAACCTGCACTACTGTCCTATAGTGACCTGCCACATGAGGGGACACGCACACAAACACACACAAACACACACCTTCATCATCGTCATTAACCTGAGAACGCGTGGACCACGTTTCCTTCCGTAGTTACTGCGTGGACACCGACGTGCTCCCGTGAGCCGCGTGTGGATCGTGTTTTCTCCGCGTACGCGGCGTAAAACTGCGCTTCCTCCTGTGAGCCTCTAAACCAGAACTAACACCAAGACTAAAAACCAGGACTAATCCAGTCCAGGACTAAACCAGGACTAAACCAGTCCAGGACTAAACCAGGACTAAAACCAGAACTAAAACCAGGTCTAAAACCAGGTCTAAACCAGGACTAAACCAGGACTAAACCAGAACTAAAACCAGAACTAAAACCAGGTCTAAACCAGGTCTAAACCAGAACTAACACCAGGACTAAAACAGGATTAATCCATTCCAGGACTAAACTAGGACTAAAGCAGGTCTAAACCAGGACTAAAACAAGGACTAAAACCAGTGATCTCATATATAAAGCATTTCTCTATCAATAATATTTTTAATATGGTTAAGGAAAGACTGGACTTTTTTTTATTGTCTTTAAGTAAACAAAAGTTATTATGTTCAGATTTCCTCCTCTTTGCTACTTTACAGCAAACAGTTTCTTATTCATGGAGACTTGGGCTCAACAGACAATTTGGAGAGATTTGTTAAACAATAAATGACTTTATAAAGTCAGTTTTTTTGTTCTGTATGAGTCTTTTGATCTGCCACAATAATGTAATAATGAATTTAAATGAAAATACCTCAAATTGAAGCTTTTCTCAGCAATTTTTAGGTGAGATTAAAATGAGATTAATTAGATTAATTAATTACAGATCATAATTAATTAATCTCTCAATTTTTTTAATCGCATGACAGCACTAATTTTATTGTTTTGTATTTAAGTTGATGCCATGTTTTAACATTGTTTTCTCATCAAAAAAAATTCTAAAGAGGTTTCAGATGTTATTTATGCATGTTTGAGTAATCTAGCAGTCAGTGTTGGGAAGGTGCCTTTTAAAATGTATTCCCCTACAGATTACAGATTACATACCCCAAAATGTAGTTTGTAACGTAATCCATTAAATTACTTAAAGTGAGTAACGTAATCTGAATACTTTGGATTACTTGATTTGCTGTAGAGAAGCAAAGACGAGGATATCGTAACATAAGATGTTTTGTCTGATAAAAGAAAATGAAAGGGCCGAGTCTTTACTTAACCGAAGAGGAGGCACGGTCCACACAGCATGATTTAGTCCTGTTAAATCCTGTTTAAGACATGGTTTTGAACTGGTTTAGTCCCGGTTTAGTCCTGGTTTAGTCCTGGTAAATCCTGTTTAGATCTGTTTTAGACCTGGTTTAGACCTGGTTTAGACCTGGTTTAGAACTGGTTTAGACCTGGTTTTAGACCTGGTTTAGACCTGATTTAGAACTGGTTTAGTCCTGGTTTAGACATAGTTTAGACCTGATTTATAACTGGTTTAGACTTGGTTTAGAACTGGTTTAGTCCTGGTTTAGACCTGGTTTAAACCTGGTTTAGACGTGGTTTATACCTGGTTTAGACCTGGGTTTAGACCTGGTTTAGACCTGGTTTAGTATCCGGCAATGAGTGGAATTACTGAGAAAAAAAGAAAAAAAAGAAAAAGGGATATAGTCCCAAATGTGAAAACAGGAAAATACCGCCGTGTCATCCATCTATTTCAACAAAGTAACTGTAATCCAATTACCACTCAGTGAAACAGTAACTGTAACTGAATACAGTTACTCATAATTTGTACTCTGATTACGTAACTCCGGTACATGTAATCTGTTACTCCCCAACACTGCTAGCAGTAAAGAGGGGGGGTGTAACTTTTCTTCGTCAAAAACATGCCTGAAGAAATTTTAGGCCCCGTCCACACTAGTACGTATTTGAGTCGTTTTCATTTTGGATGCAGTGTTCGTCCACGTTAATCCGATGGAAAACGGCTCCAGAGACGTAACGATCAGGTGCCTCTAGTTCCCACGAATTAATCTGAGTACAGATCTGATGCGGCACTGTGTGGACACCTGAAAACGCTGATACGCTGATGTAGGTCTATACGCCGCAAAATAATTCAGCGCCAAAACACTAAGAGGCGAGAATATATGTCCATTCATATAAACATGTGTCTGTGTGTACGACCTGCAGACGTATAATCTCTGAAAAGTTTAACATGAACCATCTCCAACACGACAGAAACACAGAACAGACTCACCATCAGCAGAACACCCCTCTGTCACAGAAAGAACACTCATATTCTGCTGAGTCGTGTTCTTTATTCCGACAAAAACTGAACCCCATCAGGGCACAAAGAGCAAGCTGGGTTTTGCTCAGTTTATGCAAATGAGTCATGTGGTTTTAAATTTAGATTCTGTAAAATGTAAACAAATGTGCTCAAAGCTGTGTGGATAGGGAAGGACTGCGGACACAGAAACGACGTGTCTGGATGCAAATCGTTTCCCATGCGGTGATACGGTGATTAGTTTCAGTATAAACGTAGCCTTAGATGTCCTCAATGCATGTTTGAGTAATCTAGCGATCTCTCCCGAGCTCTATTCAAACTCTTTTTACACTCAGCTGCAAAATTCTGCGCAAACCTACGTCACCCGTGCTCCCACATGACAAAAATATACAAAAACATGATACAAAACTTAGGGGTGTCACATTATCGCGTTAATTGCGATTAATTAATTACAGTCATATTTAGCGCGTTATGTTTTTTAATTGCGTTAATCTCATTTTTAATCTCTAACTTTACTGTTTCTGTATGTGAGTTGCTTTATTATAAAATCTGTTTTTATGTGTTGTTGGGACAATAACACACACACAAAAAAACACATTTATATATTTTTTTATTTCGGTAATTCCACTCATTGCCGGAAACCCACACAAAACGTGCGCAGTAAGAGCGATGTAAATGTCATGTTAATGCTGGCGGCGTCAGTCACACAATGGACGAGGTGGAAGAGCCAGTAGAACAGAGCAGCAGTGCACAGGTAAAAACACATTTCGTGTCTTGGAAATTCTTCTCCCGACGTGAAATATAAAAGAAAATAACAAATATAAAATACAACTTAAATGTCACTGGTGAAAACAACCTGCATAGACTCATGATGTCTGCACTACTGTCCTATACACAACACACACACACACACAAACACACAAACACACACAAACACAAACACACACAAACACACAAACACACACAAACACAAACACACACCTTCATCATCGTCATTAACCTGAGAACGCGCGGACCACGTTTCTTTCCGTAGTTACTGCGCGGACACCGACGTGCTCCCGTGCGCCGCTTACGTTTTCTCACGTACGCTGCGTAAACCGCGCTTCCTCCTGTGCGCCTCTAAACCAGAACTAACACCAAGACTAAAACCGGGACTAATCCAGTCCAGGACTAAACCAGGTCTAAACCAGGACTAAACCAGAACTAAAACCAGAACTAAAACCAGAACTAAAACCAGAACTAAAACCAGAACTAAAACCAGGACTAAACCAGGACTAAACCAGGACTAAACCAGGACTAAACCAGAACTAACACCAGGACTAAAACCAGAACTAACCCATTCCAGGACTAAACTAGGACTAAAGTAGGACTAAAGCAGGTCTAAACCAGGACTAAAACAAGGACTAAAACCAGTGATTTCATATATAAAGTATTTCTCTATCAATAATATTTTTAATATGGTTAAGGAAAGACTGGACTTTTTATCGTCTTTAAGTAAACAAAAGTTATTATGTTCAGATTTCCTCGTCTTTGCAAACAGTTTCTTATTCATGGAGACTTGGGCTCAACAGCCAATTTGGAGAGATTTGTTAAACAATAAATGACTTTATAAAGTCACTTTTTTTGTTCTATATCAGTCTTTTGTTCTGCCACAATAATGTAATAATGAATTTAAATGAAAATACCTCAAATTGAAGGCTTTTCTCAGCAATTTTTAGGTGAGATTAAAAAGAGATTAATTAGATTAATTAATTACAGATCATAATTAATTAATCTCTCAATTTTTTTTTTCGCATGACAGCACTAACAAAACTACACAACAACTTGACAAACCTGATTCGATGTGCAGTAGTTTCATCAACGCTGACTGTGCTGGGATGGCTCTCTGAAGGGGGTGTGACTTAGAGCAGAGAGCAAAGGGCCAGGGGAGAGACTATGACTACAGTGGCACAAGCGATCTAGATAATAATTTAATCATTTAATTTAATTGTACTTTTAATCTGTTATGCAGAGACTGGTCAAAAAATGTCTCTTCTGTAGATTTAACACCACAAACATGAACTACTATTTGTGTTTCTAGACCAGAGGTGGGCAAACTTTTTGACTTGTGGGCCACAGAGGGTTTTAAAATTTGACGGAAGGGCCGGACCAGGAGCAAATGGATGGATTTTTTGGTAATCCACCTCATAAGAGAAAAAAAAACAGCATGCGATAAGCAGAAAACAACTCCACTCATCTTTACAGAAGGGTTGAAGTGTCAATACAACATAATCTGAATGCAGCATAATACACTGCACCTCAACAAAAGTGAGTGTATCTAAGTGCGCCATCTATTGGTAAATGCCAGGAATTGCAGGGAAAATAAACCATTAACGAGGTTTATTATTATTATTATTATTTATTCTAGACTATGGATGCAAACATTTGTCAACAGGGGGCGTTCGTATTTTTGTATTCACATTTTCTTACTATTCAGTTTGCTTTGTTTTCAAGTATTTCGTATCATACTTGCGACTTCAGTCATTTCCTTGGACTCGAGTAAGACTTGAGTCACAATTTTTAGGACTTGAGGTTTGACTTGATAAAATGGTCTAAGACTTGGGACTTGACTTGGACTTGAGGCCTGTGACTTGAGAAGACTCGAGAAGCACTTTAAAATCTGAATTCTTTCTATTCTGACCGTAATGATTCACTCTCAGATCTTGTTAAGACATTTAAAAAGGAAAAAAAATGCATTTCTACAACAAGTACAATTTAGTTTAAAATTAATTTAAATTGCAAAAATCTAACCTATATTTGGTTCTTTGGTTTAAAGACTTGAAATGACTTGAAGCTCAAAGCAGACGACTTCGACTTGACTTGGATTAATGGTCCAGTGACTCCAGATTCAACTTGGATTTGCTTGTTTTTGACTTGGGACTTGACTCGGACTTGAGATCAAAGACTGGAGACTTACTTGAGACTTGCAAAACAACAACTTGGTCTCACCTCTGTCCATAGTTATTCATAGTCTAAGGACATGTGTATGTGTATTTAGATTTTACTTTATTATTGCTTTTTGTTCCAGGGATCAGCACAGACCACGATTTCTCCGAGGACGACTTGAGCCCCTCGTATCCGTCCTCTACGAGAGAACACAGAAGCAGAGAGCAGGAAGTGTCCCGCTCATATAACAGGTATCCGTTTATACTGCGTTTTCACACGAGACCAGTGACGCTTTATCCATTTTGAGCTGTTAATCGTGGTGTAACGTTTGGGGTGACAGCTGCTTACGTGGGAATTAGGCCTGTCATAAAAAATACTGTGGTGATTTATGGTTCTATAAATGAACAATAGTTCTTTGGGGGGTTATTATTTCCAACCTAATCCAACTTTATTTGTATAGCACATTTTATAAACAAGACAGTTTCCAAAGTGCTTAACTCTAAAAAGTCAACAGAATTAGTTTCCAAACAAAAGGAACTAACAGAACCAATAAATAAATAAAGGCAGTGCTAAAAAAAAAAAAAAAAAAAAAAAGATAAAAACAATAAATAAATAAAAAATAAATAAAAGATTGTATACTTTTTTATACTACTAGTGAATTTTTTTTTGTTATTTGACTATTATTGATTGTGTTGTGTTTCATTCTGATATTTTTATTTATTTAAAAGCTGCACTGTGTAACTTTTCTGGTGGAGGGTCCATCAAGTAGTATAAAATAGGGTTTATTTGCTCTTCATAGAAAAACTGATCACAAAAAATACAATAAAAGACATATAAAAATTCATTTTGTAATTTACAATATCTGAAAACATAAATTACACAAAAATAAAGATACACAAACCTCGTGGGCTGACATCCAGGGGGCTCATTACTTATTTAGGACCTCAGATTTCCTTCTTAACGTACTAAATAAAAAACTATGAACAAATGTTTATATCTTTATTCGTATTACATTTTTATCTAATTTATTCTAATCTTACGGGAGAGCTTTAAAACAGAGCACAGCTAATTAGGTTTGGGCGGAACTTTCTTTATAATACTTTGTTCCACCACCAGAGGGCGCAAAAGTAAAATACAAAACACAAAGACCAAATTAAACACATAAATATTAGGGACTGTTACAGTATTTTTTGGTATATTTTACTCAGTTATTTTGCTGCAGAGCTACAGTTTTGTTGCTTGTTCAGAGGAAGGAAACTCGTTTATGTGACACATTTGACATTTTCACTGTTTTGAGGATAAAAATGTTTGTGTTTCATATGAACTTTGCACAAGAAGTGGTTTAACAAAGACTTTTAGTATCACAGACATGATTTAGCCTTTATGTTTTATTGAACCATAAAGAATCGAAAGCTCACTGTATCGAGGTATGTATCGTATCGGCAACTTCTTAATGATACCGAGCTCTAGTCTGCATCTAATTCTAAAGTGTTTTCAGACAATAAGGACGATTTTTGTTGCTGTTTTTGTTTCCTAGAGTTTCCTATAAAAGCACAAAGTCTCCGATCTCCAGGAGCGTCCTGGCAGAGTAAGTGTCTGTGGTACTTTTAATATTTGTATTTAGTACTGTAGTGACTGTTCTGTACTCACATGTGTCACTTTGTTCGTGCCAGAGAGGAGGAGCTGAAGTACCTGGAGTTTATTACTGACGTGACTGACGACATCTTGTCCAGAGGATTCATCTCAGACAGGTACTACAAGTATCAAGAGTTCTGTTCTCATCTCATAAAGGTTTTTGTCTGGAAGTACAGTGTGGTATAAAACTGAAAAACGTTTAATGCCATAATCTGGAATACTTCAGGCAAAGCAGAGGTGATTGTAGTGCGAGTTGTACACTATTTTCTGGTCATAACATCCTTTTTTTTTTTTTTCTTTACCTTCAAGTGTTGTCGAGCGAGTCATCAATCGTCACGTTGACATGAATCGATATCATCTAAATGAGGTGGGTGCTTTGTATTTTTATCTATTCTGTGTTATTTATTCTATTTTATTTTTTATTATTATTATTTTTATTTATTTTTATTGTTTTATTTTTTATTTGTTTTGTTTTTTTTAAAGGTCCCGCTCTATTTTCTGATCTATGATATAATGTTTTTTTCCGCATCAAAAACGTACCGGTCTCTCTCAAACGAAAACACTCAGTTCCACCTTGTGATGTCATGTGGTAACAGAAAGAGCTCCACTGTGTTTTTAAACTCCACACACCTTCACTAGAATCAGTTGGATCATTTAAGCCCCGGAACTGCTAATCTATACTGCACTAAACTACCAAAGCGTGACATCACAAGGTGGAACAGAGCGTTTTGAGCTTTGTTGATGTAGACAGACTCATAATGCAGGAATACTCAAACATGAATGAAACAAAACACAACTCCAGGTTTGTTTTTGAGGAGGTAACAACGTTCTAACATGACTTAAAGCTCACAAGAGTCAATTTTGGCGAGGCGAGTTTATTTGTCAAGCACAGTTTGTACATAAAGTAATTCAAAGTGCTTTACAGAATAAGAAATACATTAAAAACACAATAAGAAACAAATCCAAACATAAATAATCATCATACAGAGACATTAAATGAGAGAGAAGAGTGCAGAATGAAAAGTCATACGCAGCTAAACAGAACCGTAATGAGTCTGGATTTAAACAGAGTCAAAGTCGAGTCTGTCTCACATCTTCAGGACGACTGTTCCAGGTTTTAGCTGCGTGAACCTGAAACTCTGACTCCCCGTGTTTAGTCCTGACTCTGGGCACCAGCAGGAGGCCGGTCCCTGAGGTCCTCAATGTTTAAGATGATTCATACGGCACTAACATGTCACAGATGGACTCATGGAGAGACTTGTACAACCAGAGCTGCTTTAAAGTCTCTGAGCCACAGGGGGCAGTGCAGAGACCTGAGACCAGGATCCACTAATGCAGAGAGCATTGTAAGAAGGCCCACCAGCGTCTGTATTTTTTGAGGAGACTCGAGGCTCTGGACTAGGCCTACCTGCTCTCATGTCTTTTTATATGTGGAGTGGAAAGTGTGTTGACCCAGTCCATCACAGTGTGTTACGGCCACTGCACAGCCCAGGACAGGACAGATCTACACGTGTGGTCAGAGCAGCAGAGAAGATCACTGGATGTGACTTTACACCCATCTGTGAATTTATGAGGAGCGTTGTGAAGACGGGCCTCCAGGATCATGGGGACCCTCGCACCCTCCCACATCTGTGTGTTCCTCTGCCTCTGGGGACGAGACTGAGGAGCATTAAAGCCAGAACATCTCGGCTGAAGTTCAGCTTCTTTCCTGAGCTGTCAGACTTTTGAACAGTGCAACTGACTTCCTGCTTTGGTTGCTCTTTCTCTCTGCCACATTTACTAGCTTGTTCATTGGAACTGCTAAATGTTGGTTTTAAATGTATTTATTTTTTTAAAATTGCTTATTATTATTGTTTTTTATCTCTTTCTGGATCACTGGGCCTCGGGGAGCACATTTCGTTCTGATGTGTTTCTCTTACATGTTTGAAGACAAAATAAAAAACCTTGAACCTTGAACCTTGATTTATGTGCTCGTACTTCTTGGTTCAAGTCAGGACCCGGGCTGCAGCGTTCTGGATGTTCTGCAGCGTCTCACAATGAAAGCCCGTTACAGTATCTAACTTCCTAGATACAAACACATGGATAAGTCTCTCCAAGTCTGATTTAGACAGTAAACCTTTGATTTTTAGCTGTTTTTTTAGATGGTAAAAAGCTGCAGATGTTATTGATTTGACGTGGCTGTTAAAGTTCAAGTCTGAGTCCATTATTACCCCCAGATTTCTTGCCTGATTTGAAGGTTTTAGAGAGAGAGAGACTGGTAGAGCACAGGTGTCAAACATAAGGCCCGGGGGCCAGATCCGGCCCTCCAAGACCTTTAATCTGGCCCTCAGCTGAATTTCTACTAAAATATTGTAATTATATTTTCTATTAAAATATTGTTAAATTTTCTGTGGTGTTTATCACAGCAGCGTCTCCAGCGTCTCTGTACGTGGCCCCTCCCACCAGAGCAGCACAAATGAAGACTTGTCTCTTTCCAAACGCTCTTAAAGGACGATCGTTTTGACTGTTGACCGTGACACCCTCATCAGAAAAATGTCCAACATGAGAAAAGTGGAGCCGAGTGCAGGATTTTCCAACAAAAATTGACTTATTCCTGTTTTAATACAAGTTCATGTTAAATACAATTTCAACACAAATTTTTTTCTTAAAGTTTCAGGTTGTTCATAATATTATAATATTTTGTAAAAGAAAGAGTTCATCAATTAAAAAAGATTTCTGTAATAGATTTGTGTTTCTCTGTACAAATATTTGAACTTATTGTTATTTTTGGGGTTTATATGACATGAGTTTTCTGATCCGGCCCCTTTGGGATCAAAGTAGGTTGGAAACGGCCCCCGGACCAAAATGAGTTTGACACCCCTGTGGTAGAGTCTGTCTCACATCTGCAAGAAGACTGTTCCAGGTTTTAGCTGCATGAATCTGAAACTCTGACTCCCCGTGTTTAGTCCTGACTCTGAGCACCAGCAGGAGGCCGGGACTAAACCAGGACTAAACCAGGACTACATCAGGACTACAGCAGGAGGTCGGTCCCTGAGCACCTCAAAGTTTAAGATGGTTTATGTGGCACTAACATGTCACAGATGGACTCAACGGAGAGACTCTTACAGAAACAGACACTTTAAAGTCTCTGAGCCACAGGGGACAGTGCAGAGACCTGAGACCAGGACTTATGTGCACGTACTTCTTACTTCGAGTCAGGACCCGAGCTGCAGCTTTCTGGATGTTCTGCAGCATCTCACAGCTCATTTGTAGAGACCAGTGAGCAGATCATTACAGGATCTAACCTACCGGAGACAAACACATGGATAAGTCTCTCCAAGTCTGATTTAGACAGTAAACCTTAGATTTTTGCTGTTTTTTAGATGATAAAAGACTGCAGATGTTATTGATTTGATGTGGCTGTTAACGTTCAAGTCTGAGTCCATTATTACCCTTAGATCTAGGAGTTTTTTGTTGCTCAATTTTTTTTTTCCTTTTACTATGTTTCTGTTTCATTTCAGGGTAAAATGCGCCATCTTCTGGAGGTTCTGCGCCAGGACTTAAAACAACCGTGCAATTCTCCCATCGGCACTTTGGATTTCGAGAGACAGGAGGAGGAGGAGGAGGAGGAGGATCATCTACATCTACCCAACAGTTTTCTGCAAAATCGTGACTGTGAAGAGACCAAAGACGACACGGAACAATTACATCAGGTTTCATCGATCAAAACGTCTGATTCTGTAGATTACACGAGTCCCGCGTGCGCCTCGACTCTGCTCTCCGAATCCGAAAAGACTTTTGTTGCAGATCAAATTGATTTAAGTGAAGAAAAGGGGAATATATCGCCGTATTTGAGGAAGTACAGCAGTTTTAGCGAAGAAGACGTCCACGAGAACCGATCGGAGAGTAAAAACAAAGATAGTAGTCGATCGGAGGGGAGCGAGACGCCGGTGAAAGAGCGCCCCGATGTGGAGGATTCGGGGAGCGACACGCCGGTGAAAGAGCGCCCCGATGTGGAGGATTCGGGGAGCGACACGCCGGTGAAAGAGCGCCCCGATGTGGAGGATTCGGGGAGCGACACGCCGGTGAAAGAGCGCCCCGATGTGGAGGATTCGGGGAGCGACACGCCGGTGAAAGAGCGCCCCGATGTGGAGGGTTTGGGGACCGCGCTGGAGTCTTTGAACGTGTCCGACCGTTCGCACTGTGACGACGAGGAGCCGGCGATCGCAGCTGTCAGCGACGATGAATTTTAGACGTTTGAATAATTATGTAACGTTTCTGGCGATTTTGTGTTGACATTTTAATTGTTTTAGTTTTTATAAAAGGTGTTAATTGATACGTGGAGAAAAAACGATGGAGAAAAAACGTTTAGTTTGTCAGGAAGCGTAAGAAAAATGCAAAAATGGATTCAAACGGCGCTTTTTCAAGAGCCTGTGATCAATACGAGCGTTCATGGTCCTGTTTACAGTGTTGGGAAGGTGACTTTTAAAATGTAATCCCCTACAGATTACAGATTACATACCTCAAAATGTAGTTTGTAACGTAATCCATTAAATTACTTAAAGTGAGTAATGTAATCTGAATACTTTGGATTACTTGATTTGCTGTAGAGAAGCAAAGACGAGGAAATCGTCACATAAGATGTTTTGTCTGATAAAAGAAAATAAAAAGCCCAGACTTTACTGAACCAAATTAAAAATATTATTGATAGAAGAAGAGGAGACACATCCACACAGCAGGATTTAGTCCTGGTTTAGTCCTGGTTTAGACCTGGTTTAGTCCTGGTTTAGTCCTGGTTTAGTCCTGGTTTAGACCTGGTTTAGTCCTGGTTTAGTCCTGGTTTAGTCCTGGTTTTAGTCCTGGTTTAGACCTGGTGTGGTTCTGTTTTAGACCTGGTTTTAGACCTGGTTTAGACCTGGTTTAGTCCTGGTTTAGTCCTGGCTTAGTCCTGGTTTAGTCCTGGTTTAGACCTGGTTTAGTCCTGGTTTAGTCCTGGTTTAGACTTGGATTAGTCCTGGTTTAGTCCTGGCTTAGTCCTGTTTAGTCCTGGTTTAGACTTGGATTAGTCCTGGTTTAGTCCTGGTTTAGTCCTGGTTTAGACTTGGATTAGTCCTGGTTTAGTCCTGGTTTAGTCCTGGTTTAGACTTGGATTAGTCCTGGTTTAGACCTGGTTTAGACCTGGTTTAGTCCTGGTTTAGTCCTGGTTTAGACCTGGTTTAGTCCTGGTTTAGTCCTGGTTTAGTCCTGGTTTAGACCTGGTTTAGTCCTGGTTTAGTCCTGGTTTAGACTTGGATTAGTCCTGGTTTAGTCCTGGTTTAGACCTGGTTTAGTCCTGGTTTAGACTTGGATTAGTCCTGGTTTAGTCCTGGTTTAGACCTGGTTTAGACTTGGATTAGTCCTGGTTTAGACCTGGTTTAGTCCTGGTTTAGACCTGGTTTAGTCCTGGTTTAGTCCTGGTTTAGACCTGGTTTAGACCTGGTTTAGTCCTGGTTTAGTCCTGGTTTAGACTTGGATTAGTCCTGGTTTAGTCCTGGTTTAGACTTGGATTAGTCCTGGTTTAGTCCTGGTTTAGACTTGGATTAGTCCTGTTTTAGTCCTGGTTTAGACTTGGATTAGTCCTGGTTTAGACTTGGATTAGTCCTGGTTTAGTCCTGGTTTAGACCTGGTTTAGACTTGGATTAGTCCTGGTTTAGTCCTGGTTTAGTCCTGGTTTTAGTCCTGCTTTAGCCCAAAATGTAAAAACAGGAAAATACCCATTTATTCCAACAAAGTAACTGTAATCCAATTACCACTCACTGAAACAGTAACTGTAACTGAATACAGTTACTCATCATTTGTACTCTGATTACATCACTCTGGTACATGTAATCTGTTACTCCCCAACACTGCCTGTTTAGGAGTTTGATTTTCAACCAAAAGGTGAGAGCGACTTGTTTATGGTCAGATTATGTCGAAGCAAAAATCAAATTAAATTACTCCCGGGGAATGTTCGGTTGTGAAGGATCAATGGTGTTGAGTTTGGTTTACACAAATACACAAAAATAATTTAACTTTCTTGTCTTGTTTTTTTACGTGAACGGAGATTTCAGGTTTTCTCAAATGCCTTTAAATAAAATGTGATTAAAAGTGTCCTGAAGTTTGGACGTTTTTGTAGTAGGACAGCGGTTTTAGCTCTCGAATCGTCCACTACTCACCATTGGAAACCCGCTCCAACCTGTGCGTTTTGTCGTGTCCTTGGGCAAGACACTTCACCTGGTACACTGTGTCACTATTATGAGCGGACTAGTGTAGTTTAGTGTGACCAGGCGTCCCTGTTTACCCGGGACAGTCCCAGTTTCGAGCCCTATGTCCCCTGTCCCAGCAGATTTATCCAAAACCACTGATTTGTCCCAGTTTTCTACAAAAAATATCCCAATTTTTAACCAATCTGATCCTCGCCAAGAGTAAAGAGAGGCAGAAATTATAATTTGTTTAGGTAAAATACAAAAAACTTAACCTAAAAGCTGCTTAAAAATGACCAAATGTCCATTTTCTTTGTGGAAAATGTGACTACACTGACTCACATTAGTGCCGAGTGCATAATAATTTTCCTTAATTACGCACTCGTTTCACTGTTTTATTATTACCAACCACCACAAACCAGGCATGTCCCAGTTTTTTATTTTGAAAATCTGGTCACCCTAGTATAGTAGTATGAATTTGTAATAACCACTGACCAATATGCAAATGTTTTTTTTAGTTTTTTGGTATTGTCTCATTGCAACCTTTTGAAGAGAGGCATAAATTGTAATTTGTTTAGGTAAAATATAAAAAATCTGCTTCAAAATGACCAAAACACAAAGAAAATGTGACTATACTGACTCACATGTGTTAGTCATAAATAGAGTGACCAGATTTTCAAAATAAAAAACTGGGACATCCCTGGTTTGGTTTGGTTGGTAATAATAAAATTGTGAAACGAGTGCATATTTAAGGAAAATTGTTATGCAGTGGGCACTAATGTGAGTCAGTATAACCACAAATTCTTTGTGTTTTGGTCATTTTTAAGCAGATTTTCTGTATTTTGCCTAAACAAATGTCAATTTGTGCCTCTCTTTACAGTTGGCAGGGATCAAATTGGTCAAAAATAGGGACACCTGGGATGATTCTTGTATAAAACTGGAACAAATCTGTGGTTTTGTATAAATCTCTTTTTAAGCTGATTTTCTGTATTTTACCAAAACAAATGACAGTTTATACCTCTTTTTACTGTTGGCAGGGAAACATTTGGTCGAAAATAAGGATGTCTGGGGCATTTCTTGTCTAAAACTGGGACAAGTCACTGGTTTTGGATAAATCTGCTGGGACAGGGGACACAGGACTCAAAACTGGGACTGTCCCGGGGAAATAGGGACGTCTGGTCACACAAACCCTGCCAACAATAAAGACAGTAGAGTCATAAATTCAAATTTGTTTAGGTAAAATACAAAAAATCTGCTTAAAAACAACCAAAACACAAACAAAATGTGATTATACTGACTCACATGTGTTAGTCATGAATAGGGAAAACAGAGTTTTGAAATAAAAAACTGGGACATCCCTGGTTTGGTTTGGTTGATAATAATAAAATTGTGAAATGAGTGCGTATTTAAGGAAAATTGTTCTGCACTCGGCACTAAAGTGAGTCAGTATAACCACATTTTCTTTGTGTTTTGGTCATTTTTAAGCAGACATTCTGCATTTTGCTTAAATAAATGACAATTGATGCCTATTTTTACTGTTGGCAGGTGTCAAATTGTGTAAAAAATAGGGACACCTGGGACATTTTTTGTATAAAACTGGGTCAAATCAGTGGTTTTGGATAAATCCATTGGGACAGAGGACACAGACTCAAAACTGGAACTGTCCTGAGTAAACAGGGACACGTGGTCACACTAACCCTGCCAACAATAAAGACAGTAGAATCATAAATTCTAATTTGTTTAGGTAAAATTCAAAAGATCAGCTTAAAAACAACCAAAGCACAAAGAAAATCTGACTATACTGACTCGTGTTCGTCATGATTGGTGTCTGCATAGAGATAAGATTTTCAAAATGAAAAAAACTGGGACATCCCTGGTTTGGTTTGGTTGGTAATTATAAAATTGTGAAATGGGTGCATATTTAAGGAAAATTGTTACGCACTCTGCATTAATGTGAGTCAGCCACATTTTCTTTGTGTTTTGGTCATTTTTAAGTTGATTTTCTGTATTTTACCAAAACAAATGACAGTTTATACCTCTTTTTACTGTTGGCAGGGAAACATTTGGTCGAAAATAAGGATGTCTGGGGCATTTCTTGTCTAAAACTGGGACAAGTTACTGGTTTTGGATAAATCTGCTGGGACAGGGGACACAGGACTCAAAACTGGGGATTGTCCCAAGTAAACAGGGACACGTGGTCCCCCTAACCCTGCCAACAATAAAGACAGTAGAATCATAAATTCTAATTTGTTTAGGTAAAATACAAAAAATCTGCTTAAAAACAACCAAAACACAAAGAAAATGTGATTATACTGACTCACATGTGTTAGTGATAAATAGGGCGAACAGAGTTTCGAAATAAAAAACTGGGACATCCCTGGTTTGGTTTGGTTGATAATAATAAAATTGTGAAACGAGTGCGTATTTAAGGAAAATTGTTACGCACTCGGCACTAATGTGAGTCAGTGTAGTCACATTTTCTTTGTGTTTTGGTCATTTTTAAGCAGACATTCTGCATTTTGCTTAAATAAATGACAATTTATGCCTATTTTTATTGATGGCAGGTGTCAAATTGTGTAAAAATAGGGACACCTGGGACATTTTTTGTATAAAACTGGGACAAATCAGAGGTTTTGGATAAATCTGCTGGGACAGGGGACACAGGACTCAAACCTGGGACTGTCCTGAGTAAACAGGGACACGTGGTCACACTAACCCTGCCAACTACAAAAAGAGAGCCATAAACTGTCATCTGTTTATGTAAAATACAAAAAAAAATCTGTTTAAAAACGCCCAAAACACAAAGAAAATGTGACTGTACTGGCTCACATGTGTTACTCATGAGTGGTCTCTGCAGAACAATTTTCCTTAATTTAATTACGTTGCACTCGTTTCACAATTTTATTTTATAATTACCAACCAAAAAAACAAAAAAAAAAAAAAAAACGGGGATGTTCCAGTTTTTTTGATTTAGAAACTCTGGTCACCATAAATAATTCAAACTCTCTTTCAACATTTTTTTTTTTTTTTTTCCAAACATCCACGAAGAGGGGGGGGGTCGCTCCACCTCGCGTCGCCCAACAAAGCGGTCGGTGGAGCGGGCAAACGGCGGGGTCAGCGGCCGCGGCACTTCCAGCACATTCACCGACCGCAGCACGCACCGAATTCCACGCGTCTGATGTCATGTACAATCTATGGGCTCCGCGGAGAAACCTGCCGTGTCCCTCCGCCGCCGACGCACTACTTCGCATTCCATAACCGCGTTTAACCTCAAAAAAAAAAAAAAAAATCCATAAATATTCCCAAAAATCTCACTTAACGCTGGGAATTCTACTTTTGTGAATTTTAGCATGTTAATTTGTGTTACGTTATGTTTTATTTTAGTTTTCGCGGATGTAGACGTAAACACTTGTTGCTTCTGTCCATGGATTTAGAACTGTAGAGCTCGCATTGACTACAGCTGTCTATTGGAACGAATGCGTCAACAAAGCCGCCATCTTGGTACTGGGATAACGCAGATTTAAATGAATGGACATGAATTGGGGACATGGAGATATCAGTGTTTTAGATCGAGACCAAAACCAAGACCCCAGACAAAGTAACATCACCCAACCTTTGCCCCATCAGTACTGGTTCAGTCATGGTTTAGTCCTGGTTCAGTTCTGGTTCAGTCTTGGGTTCAGTTCTGGTTTAGTCCTGGTTACCTCCGCCAAGGAGGTTATGTTTTTGCCGGCGTTTGTCTGTTTGTTTGTTTGTTTGTTTGTTTGTTTGTCTGTTAGCAACATAACTCAAAAAGTTATGGACCGATTTTGATGAAATTTTCAGGATTTGTTGGAAATGTGAAAAGGAAAAACTGATTTCATTTTGGGGGTGATCCGGAAGAAATCCTGGATTCTGGATCACTTTGAAATTTTAGTTAACATTGTGGTAAATGGGGCCAAAAATTTTGTTTCTCAATATCTCGGTTAATTATTGACCAAACCCCATGAAATTTGACTCAGGGATGGACAATGGGATCCTCTTTCATATTCCAAATTGAAAGATACGAGACAAATATTTATGGAAAACACAATTAATATGAGGGGGACTGTAGTCCTTGGCGGAGGTCTGCGCTCTCTGAGTGCTTTTCTAGTTTAGTCTAGTTTAGGTTTAGTCCAGGTTTAGTCCTGGGTCCTGGTTTAATCCTGGTAGTCCAGTCCTGGTTTAATCCTGGTTCAGTCCTGGGTTGAGTCCTGAGTTTAGTCCTGGGTCCAGTCTTGGTTCAGTCCTGGGTTCAGTTCTGGTTCTGTCCTGGTTCAACTCTGGTTCAGTCCTGGGTTCAGTCTTGGTTTAGTCCTGGTTTAGTCCTGGTTTAGTCCAGATCAGTCTGGGTTCAAAACACAACATTTAGCATCACAGACGTACAAAATAAAATCTTACCTATGAAATGTAATGCTTTGCTCTTTCGTTGTCTTATTCTTCTCTTTCGCAAAAGTTCAGAATCTTCGCTCGCTGATACTAAAAACTAAAAACTTTACCTGAGCATTGTCCACCACCGGGGCCACTTATTAGCCAGGCTGGTGCCACCTAGTGCACAGTTTCATTTCTGTCCAGTGACTCAGTCAGGAATCAGAATACACTAGACCACAGGTGTCAAACATACGGCCCAGGGGCCAGACCCGGCCCTCCAAGACCTTTAATCTGGCCCTCGGCTGATTTTCTACTAAAATATTTAAATTATATTTTCTATTAAAATCTTGTTAATTTTCTGTGGTGTTTATCACAGCAGCGTCTCCAGCGTCTCTGTACGTGGCCCCTCCCACCAGAGCAGCACAAATGAAGACTTGTCTCTTTCCAAACGCTCTTAAAGGACGATCGTTTTGACTGTTGACCGTGACAACCCTCATCAGAAAAATGTCCAACATGAGAAAAGTGGAGCCGAGTGAAGGATTTTTCAAGAAAAATTGACTTATTCCTATTTGCATACAAGTTCATGTTAAAACATTGTGTTGAAATTACATTTTTCTTAAAGTTTCAGGTTGTTCATAATATTATAATATTTTGTAAAAGAAAGAGTTCATCAGTTAAAAAAGATTTCTGTAATAGATTTGTGTTTCTCTGCACAAATATTTGAATTTATTGGTATTTTTGGGGTTTATATGCCATGAGTTTTCTGATCCAGCCCCTTTGGGATCAAAGTAGTTTGGATACGGCCCTTGGACCAAAATGAGTTCGACACCCTTGGCTTAGACCAGGCATGTCCAAACTATGGCCCAAATGCGGCCCTCAGACAAATTTTTCTTGGCCCTCAGACGTTCAGGGGAATTGGCCCAAATTACATTGCATCAATAAAAAAATTATTTTTACTACAAGTTTTTTGAAAATCTACCTTGATAAAGTTCATATTTAAAATTTAGTGTGTGGTTTTAAGGATCTTAGCAGGAATAAAGTCTGATGGCTCATTCTAACGTGCTAAACATGCACATATTTCATCTGTTCTCTTTATTGAGCACCAGTCTACGGTCCTTGATCGGCCCTCTGCTTTGTCAGTGTTTAGATATGTGGCCCTTGATTTAAAAAGTTTGGACACCCCTGGCTTAGACAATGGAACCCCCGTACCAAGATGGCGGCGGTATTTAACGCACGCCAAAGCAGCTGTACGCGACATCTAGAGTTTTCTGTGCGCGCGCCTCGATCCCAGCAGGAAGCTCGAGTCACGCTGGAAGTATCGGGCTAACATGGAGCTGTCTACTACGTGACTCCGAACCAAAATAGCGACATTTATCTGCGTTTTTTACCCCTCAACCGCGGCCTGAAAGTGTTCACATGGACCCCAACAACCACCCGGGAATGAAGAATGAACTCGAGTGAAGCGGATTGCAAGTAAAGGTAATTTTTGATAACTTTTTGGCAAAAGTATGTAACCTGTGACGGCTGTTGTGTTCCCCGGGGCGCCGTCTATTTGCTGGGGAGTAAATTGGCTTACATCTGGGGTGAAAAGTTGTAGTTTTGAGTTTTTTGAGTTGTTTTAAGGTGATATTTTTGAACGGAAAGTTTAATGTCACAGTTTAAAGCTTGCAGTTTGGAGTTTTGACTGTGTACAATCTGCACAGTAGCGTTAAAGTTGTTTAAATGAATGGAAAAGTGATAAAAGTTGGATAAAAGTTGTGTGTAATCTAAAATAAAAGGGGATTTTTGCAGAGTTGAAATAGAAGCTTGTGGACTTCAGCTGCTTCTGTCACTGATGGATTTAAACAACTTTTTGTTTTCCCCCTAACTTATATTTCATGTATTGATTTTTATTTTTATCTTAATTTTTAATTGACTCTGGTTTTATCTAGTGTTTTTCAAAATTTGCTAGTTGTTGTTGTTATTATTATTATTATTATTATTATTATTATTATTATTATTAACAATAATAATAATAATCCTAGTAAGGGGTAAACTTACAAAAAGTAATAAATATAAATATAAAAAAATTGAATTGAAAATAAGGCTTACATTAAATAAATATGTACAAGTAAAAAAAATAAAATAAAAATAGATATAAAAAAATTAAATATAATAAACTAACCAAAAATGTTAAAAATTTAAAAATAAATAAAAAAGGAAAATAGAACAGAAATGGAATAGATAATAAGGCTTACATGTATGTAATTATGTACAAGTTAAAAAAAAATTGAAATAAAAAAATTAAAATAATAAATCTACAAAAAATGTAAAAAAAAAAGAAAAAAAAAAAAAAAAAAAGAGGCATAATTATATAAATGTAAATGTTCAAGTAAAAAAATTGAAAAATAAATAATAAACCTACAAAAATGTAAAAAAAAAAAATAAAAAATTAAATTAAATAGAATTTATATAGAACTGAAAATAAGGAGTAATTATATAAATGTAAATATACAAGCAAAAAAATTGAAAAATAAGAAATAAACCTACAAAAATGTCTAAGAAAATATATAGAAAAGAAAATAAGGCATAATTATATAAATGTAAATGTATGAGTTAAAAAAAATTAAAAATAAGTAATAAAATATAAAATCTCAACTATATACAGTGTATATAGCTGAGATTTTATTTATTACTTATTTGTCAGTTTTATTTTGACTTATTTATTTATTATTACCGTTCATATAATTTTTTTACTCTTTGTTATTATATTATATTGTGATGTGTGAGCTACTATGTCCAAATAATTTCTCTTGTGGATCAATAAAGTTTGTTTAAGTCTGCGTTACTGTAATATTTATCATAATTTTCACAAAGTTGGACTGTGTTTTGGTGATTTGGTGCAGACGTACAGTATCACACGGGGCAATAATAACAACTTGTGCTCAATGGGGTTCGAAATGAGACACTAATTGATACTAAAACTCGTATTGAAACTAGATACTCATTTTCTCACAGGTATCAGTATCAAAAAAGTCCCATTGACAGGATAGAAGCGAGCCTTTCCTGAATGTCTTGAGCTTTATAAGAGCACATATGGAACCTACCTGGACCACTGAGGATTACCCAGATATAAATCCACATGGGAATAGAAATATGTGTAATCCCTCAGTCATTATCAGTGGATTTTATCTGCTATAAAATACAAATATATAATTCACTTGTACATCTGTCCGGATTAATTTAATGTGAAGTGCTGATCCATTTTTTTAAAGCTCATAGTAAGTATTTAATTCCTGATGAATCGTAGTAAACACCGGACGTCTTGTTGTGTTTTGATAGTCGCCTGATCGTCGGGAGGGGCCTGCGCTGTGTGTAAATGTTGTAACTCTGATTCATCTGTCGTCTGTGTGCGTGTTTGTTCCAGGAGTGAAGATGCTGAACCTCAACTCAAAGCGTCACGTTCCAGTTTTGGCAGGAGACGGCTCTAAAATGTCTTAATCGGATTTTAAAGCGAGAGAACCATGCCCCTGCCGTTCGGCCTGAAGCTCAAGAGGACTCGGAGGTACACGGTGTCGAGTAAGAGCTGTCTGGTGACGCGCATCCAGCTGCTGAATGGAGACTTTGTGGAGTTCACTCTGTCTGTGGAGAGCACGGGGCAGGAATGTCTGGAGGCGGTGGCGCAGAGGCTGGAGCTCAGAGAGGTACGCCGTGTGTGACCAGTATAGACGCATCAAGGAACCTTGGACTTCCGGTCATTGCGCAATCCATACTGGGAAGGATTTTCCGAAAAAGTGAGAATCAAACCGCCATGTTTGTTTTCCCAGTGGGATGCGTCTATTGACAAAGTCGATCTTTTCAAGTCTTTTGAAACATATCGCTTTTGTTTCTGGTTCTGATATTGTCATATTTTAGTTTTGGGATTCGCACATCGTTAATTGTGTGGTTGTTGGATCCTAACAGCGGAAAACGGCTCGAGAAATTTGTTTGTGAACTTCATAAATGCAAAAGTGAATCAGATGTGTGTGACTGCAAACCTCTGTTCAAACTGTTTCTCTTCACAACGGAATTGAAGAATAGTGAAAGGTGAAGGCGATGGGCAGAATTGATCCACAGGAAGAACCAAAAATGAAAACTTTCACTGCCTAAATCATCCCGAGTTTGCAGAGAACATTTTGTATGTGGAGCAACAACAAAGCAGGATCCCGTTTGTTAAGCGAGAGGTGCAGAAGACAAACAGACTGAGCTGCACTTTATTGTTCTTGTGGTTTTACAGCAACATCACGTCTTGGTCTCTTATAGTGGAAGGTGTTTCTTGGTGAACAGCTGGTGCCTTTTTCTTTGGCGTTGACTTTTTAAATTCGTAACCGAGGTGGAGCGAGGGATCAGGGTTTTGCTTTGATGGAGCTCCACATACAATTACGATGTCCGAATCCCAAAACTAAAATATGACAACATCAGAACCAGAAACAAAAGCGATATGGTTCAAAAGACTTTAAAAGATCGACTTTGTCAATAGACACATCCCACTGGGAAAACAAACATGGCGGTTTGACGCTCACTTTTTTGGAAAATCCTTCCCAGTATGAATTGCGCAATGACCGGAAGTCCGAGATTCTTGATGCGTGTATTGACCACTAACGAGTACAAAGTTAAGGATTACTGTAATGCAATAATGTACAATAATGTCAAAAGTTTCACAACACCCTCATTTTTCCAGTTAGTCCAAGAACATAGAGAAAAATCCCGCACACTGTCTTACTTGCATATTGTGAGATTGAGATTTATTAGGTCAAAGTAAATCTAATAAATCTCACAATTTGCAAGTAAGACGGTCTGTGGGATTTTTCTCTTCATTTAGTGCAGAAAAAACTGTATTAATAACAGAAACAATTATACATATGCAATTATATTAATAGATAAAAAATAGTAAAAATAATAATTCTTTTTTACTGTTTTGATGATTAAAATGTTTCATGTTTCATGTGAACTTTGCACAAGAAGTGGTTTAACAAAGACTTTTAGTATCACAGCCATGAGTAGGGCTGGGTATCGTTAAGGAGTTGTCGATACGATACATATCTTGATACATAGGCCACAATATGATGCGCTTTTCGATACAGTGCACTTTCGATTCAATAACGATTCGATAAGATATATTTCAAATCGATTCGATGCGGTTCAATGAAAAACAAAGGCTAAATCATGGCTGTGAAAGTAAAAGTCCAATAAGTCAACTCAATTTGTGCAAAGTTAATATGAAAAACACCCATTTTACTCAAAACAGCGAAAATATCAACACAATCGTAGCTCTTACACAAAATAATTGACTGAAATATACCTAAAAATACTCTCAGCAAATATCTCGATACAGCAGTCCACGATATCGATACTGTATCATCAAATTAAGCGATACGATATATCGATACTTCAATATTTTTGCACACCCCTAGTCATGAGTTAGTCTTTATTTTTATTGAGCCGTATCAAATCAATTTGAAAATATATCGTATCGAATCAAAAGCTCACTGTATCGAGGTACGTATCGTATCGACAACTTCTTAATGATACTCGGCCCTAGTCATTAGTGTTTCCTGACCTGTATGTTTCCGTTTTTCAAAGATTTTAAATGGGTGATTCATTGGCTTAAAGCAACATTGTGTAACTTTTGAGAAGTGGGGACATCACCTGCATAATTCCATGGAAATAGAAAATTATCTCCTTACAATGTTTTATGCTTGTATGATGTTATGATTATAGTCAAAGGAATGACATTTCCATTGAAACGAGTCACGTACTGAAGCTTTAACAATGTTGAAACCATCATTCTGACCTAATTTAGAACAATGAATAAAGTACCAGCAGTGAGTAATGTAATCTGAATACTTTGGATTACTTGATATTGTCTTGCTTTTTAAAACTACATGAATGAAGCAACCACATCCTCAAAGTTCATGTTTGTTCAGTCTTTACTTGACCAGATTAAAAATATTATTGATAGAGAAATGATTTTTATATGAGATCATTGCTGCTTTAAATTATGTCCATCCTACTGTTAGGTGTCATATTGTATTAGATTTGTCTTAGTTTTAGTCCTGATTTAGTCCTGCTTTAGTCCTGGTTTTAGGTCTGGTTTTAGGTCTGGTTTAGTCCTGGTTTTAGTTCTGGTTTTAGTCCTAGTTTAGTCTGGGTTTAGTTCTGCTTTAGTCCTGGTTTAGTCCTGGTTCAGTCCTAGTTTAGTCTTGGTTTTAGTTCTGTTTTTGTCCTGATTTAGTCCTGATTTAGTCCTAGTTTAGTCCTGGTTTAGTCCTGGTTTAGTCTTAGTTTAATCCTGGTTTAGACCTGGTTTAGTCCTGGTTTGTCTTGGTTTTAGTTCTGTTTTTGTCCTGATTTAGTCCTGATTTAGTTCTAGTTTAGTCCTGGTTTTAGCCCTTTTAGGTCTGGTTTAGTCTCCTAGTTTAGTCCTTTAGTCCTGGTTTTAGTCCTGGTTTAGTCCTGGTTTATCTGGTTTAGTCCTAGTTTAGTCCTGGTTTAGTCCTAGTTTAGTCCTGGTTTAGTCTTTGGTTTTAGTCCTAGTTTAGTCTTGGTTTTAGTTCTGTTTTTTGTCCTGATTTAGTCCTGATTTAGTTCTAGTTTAGTCCTGGTTTTAACCCGGTTTAGTCCTAGTTTAGTCCTAGTTTAGTCCTGGTTTTAGTCCTGGTTTAGTCCTAGTTTAGTCCTGGTTTTAGTCCTGGTTTAGTCTTAGTTTAATCCTGGTTTAGACCTGGTTTTAGTCCTGGTTTAGTCTTAGTTTAATCCTGGTTTAGACCTGGTTTTAGTCCTGGTTCAGTCCTAGTTTAGTCTTGGTTTTAGTTCTGTTTTTTGTCCTGATTTTGTCCTGATTTAGTTCTAGTTTAGTCCTGGTTTTAGTCCTGGTTTAGTCCTAGTTTAGTCCTGGTTTTAGTCCTAGTTTAGTCCTGGTTTTAGTCCTGGTTTAGTCTTAGTTTAATCCTGGTTTAGACCTGGTTTTAGTCCTGGTTTAGTCTTAGTTTAGTCCTGGTTTAGCCCAAAATGTAAAACAGGAAAATACCACCATGTAATCCATTTATTTCAACAAAGTAACTGTAATCCAATTACCACTCACTGAAACAGTAACTGTAACCGAATACAGTGACTCATAATTTGTACTCTGATTACATAACTCCGGTTCACGTAATCTGTTACTCCCCAACACTGAGTACCAGTACCAGTAATCATAATAACTACAGTATAATCAAGTGTGTAGTAATAGTAAAAACTTTTTCATTCTTGTCATTCACCTTCTTCCTCGAAATATAAAGAGTTTAATTGTTCTTTGATTAGTGCCCAGGTTGTATCAACATGACTCAGTCTCCATGTGACCGCTGACAACACTCACATTTTTGATTGTGAATGTCATCTGTTTGCTTTTGTGTCTTTGGGCAAGTCACTCCCACTGCCCACTCCAGTGACAGCAACAGCGGAACAGCGGGTAGTGTAACACCAACAGCGGGTTGTGTAAGAACCTCAGAAATCCACACAGGAATGATTTGAGTATGTAATGCAAGAGAAAAAATGTATGAGTCTATTTTAATTCAGTCCAACGGTGAGGTACACTGTCTCAAAAACTCCTGTGTGAGTGTCCCTGAACTGATAACAGTCCCAAAGTTCATCCAACTTCCTCTGTTTGTGTGTAACTTTCTTTGGCTGATGTCTGTGTTACAGATGCTATAGCACATGGGGAACAAAAAAAAATATTTAAAATACAATTTCATAGTAAAGTTCTGTGAGCAAATGAGGATTATATTGGTATTACAGACTGAAAAATGTGTGCCACTTCAGGAAGCTCAGTAAAACGACATAAACAAGGCCCGACATGTTGTCTCGCTACATTCACATTTCATTTTATTATGATATAGGCGAGTTTCATTGTTGACAAAAGTGCGCGTTGCATGCTATTTTGGTCGGCGGCAAGAAACACTAATTCAACATGACTGACGGAGCGAGAAAGCACGTAAAGGGTATTGATCCCGGGTATTTATCCACTCTAACGGCAGAGAACCCAAGATGATTTGACCAGAAATTGGTCATAAGCATCGATGGACGACAAATCACCCTTTTCAACCCCGACAAAAGGTGGACCAAACCAAATTTCTGGTCAGAATCACCAACTACCTTGACAAATACTCACTTTGGCGATATTCACAATGACTTGGTGGAAACTCCTGGGCCGTTCACAGCAGAAAAGATGAAAACCTCCAAGAGTCTCGATGTGTTGTTGAACTTGTTGGAGTCCACGGTTTGTTAGGATCTTCTACGTTTGCTCTGCGAATGTTTGAAAGCCGTTTAATTCGCCGTTAGCGGTTCTTTTCACTCAGAATACGAAAAAGACATTTTCCTTCTTCCGTGCTTCTATTTGTGCATCCGATAATGCAGCAGGAATTTACCATTATCGGGGATAAATACGCGAGGTTACGCACTGTGTTTGACCGCTACGGTGTTTCTTGCCTCCGACCAAAATATTTCCCAGCATGCAACGCGGGATTTTAATAACAATGACGTCAGCTAAAACTCGCCTATAGAAGCAGATTTTTTAACTCAAAACATCACACAGCCGACTAAAGGCGCACGTGAACATCCCCCCTCTCCCGGGCACAGCAGGTACCCGTGTGCCGCCCAAGAGAAGGGGGTATCTGGAGGGAGGAGGGGGACGTTCCCGCTGAGAGAATGGAGACCAGACTAATTTTATTATTTAATGAGACGGGGACAGTGCACAATTCACATTAACCTTAACAGTAGAGATGCATTGTACCAGGTTGTAGCACCAGAGCTTATTTCCACCTGTCGTCCCTGGGCAACTTCATTGATGGATTGTATTTAATTGACCTTAGCTATCAACTATTCTTCCTGGAGACCTATGTAGCATGTTTTGGGTCTATCCATCTGCATGAAAAAATACAGAGACATATCGTTATGAACTTTCCAGGCAAGAGAAGTTCTAGTAAACAGCTTCTTTATATGTGAAAAAGTCAAGTAAACAGTCCAGTCACTCCCAAAACTCCGGCTAACTCAACGTCTTTGTGTTACTGTCCGTATAAATCCATATAATTCCGGTAAATATCACTCATTTTGGACTCCAGCGACTAAACATCTGAAGGACTACAGTTGGTCTGGCATGATAATTTCTATATTGACTTGTCGTTTAATAGTTGAAACCTGGAACATCATTATCTTGAAAATTACTAAGTCTAATTCGATGATGATGATGTTGATGATGGTCTGCCAGATCCTTTAACCGCGCATAAACAGCTGAACTCTTTAATTTTTTGGCACCAAGTCCAAATTTGTTTGCCTGTTGGTGAAGTTTTTCCAAATTTTGGGTGATTCTGTGCAAGCAGATTCCAAAACGTAGCCACTCATTCTGTGGGAATGAATGGCTCAACCTGAAAACAGACAACAAAACAATAAAATAAAAATAAAACATGAATAATTATGAAATCTTGATCTGTTTCAACACATTCTGTGAAAATTTGAGGTTATTTCAACAAGAATTAAGTAGCATAAAGTAGTTTAAATATTGTTTATTGCATTTATTTACAATTTGAGTGTTATATGAGTGAACCAGTGCTGTCTACAATTGTTATGGATCAGATCTGCACTAGGGGTGTGCAAACATATCGGAATATCGATATATCGTATTGTTTAATGTGATGATACAGTATCGATATCGTGGGCTACTGTATCAATATTTCCCCAAGAGTGTTTTACTAAATTATTTTGTTACAGTGCTACATTTTTGTTGCTTGTGGAGTGAAAGGAAGCTCATTTATGAGACACATTTGACATTTTTACTGTTTTGATGATTAAAATGTTTGTGTTTCATATGAACTTTTCACAAGAAGCGATTTAACAAAGCCTTTTAGCATCAGAGAACGATTTAGCCTTTATTTTTTATTGAACCGTATCGAATCGATGTGAAATATATCGTATCTAATTGAAAGCGCACTGTATCGAGATTTGTATCGTATCGTGGCCTGTGTATCGAGGTATGTATCGTATCGGCAACTCCTTAATGATACCCAGCCCAAATCTGCACCCTCTGCACACTGCTAGATCGTAACACCAGTTTTCAATGTAAAAAAAACCTGCTGTGATGTTAAGCTGCTTAACCGTGGCCTTCCCTTTGTCAGATCACGTACTTCAGCCTGTGGTACTACAACAAGCAGAACCAGCAGAGATGGATGGACCTGGAGAAGCCCCTGAAGAAGCAGCTGGACAAGTACGGCCTGGAGCCCACCGTGTACTTCGGGGTGGTCTTCTACGTGCCCAGTGTGTGCCAGCTGCAGCAGGAGATCACCAGGTATCTGCACTGCTGACTTAGACTTGGACAAACTTAACTGATCCACCAAGTACTTGAAATTACTACTTTTACACACTCTGCAGTCACAATACTCCATATGTTCTGGTGGATCAGGAAAAGTACGAAAGGCAGAGATTTTCCAGGCTCAAAATGTATCGTGTGCACATTTTTCGGAATATTGAGGCTACGTTGACATTTGAGCTGTAGCTGGTCAGATAGTAACATCTATGACCCTTTATACTACAACTCAAAAAGTGTAAGATGCATGATGTAACTTTTCTGCTGATTCCCTGTCTCCATGAGAAGTTGCTTTGCCCAAAATGTTCCATGGTATATCTTTTATTCAATTACAGCAAAGTACTTAATACATACATCAGGTGCATTTGTGGAATTTTGCCAAATATTTATCTCTGGCCAGATTTTTTACAATATGGTCCACTCAGAAAAAAGTTGACAGTGATGATCCTGTTTTAAGGTCAGTTGTTGATAGGGCTGTAGGCTTTTAGTTGATGATTAATTGGCTGATGGAGTCTAAAGGCCGCCGCTCAATACAGGAGAATTTGCCCAATTTAGGCTGCGATTTGCTGCTCCCCGAGTTAAATGTGACTCTGAGCTCCTCTTGTCAGATTGTAGCCACCAAAAATCAACAACGGTACAGCAACAGCCAATAAAACGGAGTGTCAGGGGCAGACGGAGTTAAAGGTTGTATAGAGGATTTTTTTAAGGAAAGAGAAATCCAGCAACAGTCCTTTTTCAAATGTAGTGCATGCGTGACACCACCTTCCTCCTCCACAGGTCCCTCTAGAAATAATTTAGAGACCGACACCTCAGTTTTTAGACCCTTCGTCTGCTTCAGTCGCGCAGTCACTGAAAGGAATCTCCAAGAATCACCTCAGTTTGTCTTCGTTCCTTTTCTCCTTCTCCTTTCAGCGACCTCAAAAACCGACTTTCTTTTGCGGCGAACTGGTCGTGGATTCTCGTCCGACATCGCAACAAACTTTATGCGAACTGCGAGAGAGCCACAATTAGAAAAAGCCTCTAAGAACTGCTGCATAGTTACCTTAGAAACGTAGGGAGTTTGATTGACAACCTGACAGCCAATAGAAAATGAGGCAGCCTCGTTTTCTATTGGCTGATGTTTATCTGGCCTCAACACGTCCACAGTTGATAGATTTTCTTTCTTTTTTTTTTTTTGGTCATCATAATTACAAGGCTGCTGCATCTCTGTAATGGTATTTTAAACTTTCATTGACAATTTGAAACAAATAAAAAAAATCCTCCATACAACCTTTAAGGACACAGAGGCACAAGATACAAATAATTATTTCACTTCACCTCTCAAAAAGTTGTACATTTAAACTGCAGAATCTAAATAATGTAAATAATGACCCACAGTCCACAAAACCGTGTTATTAATCCAGTTTGAGGCGTTCTTTGAAAGTAAAAATTAAAGCGCACGGATCGAGGTGAAGCTGCAGATTAGAAATAGTGACTCTACCTCCTTTGGACTTTATCGTCTTTTATACTTTACAAATCATGTATTTGAAGTTTTGCACCACATTTCACAAATAAAAATAACACAGTTTTGACTTGTATCTAAAGTAGAAGTGCAGCACTCTGATCTTTGAACACTTAAGAGTCTCAAAGCGAGTGGTTTTACTGTAGACGGGAAACAGCCGAAGCAATCGCACTCACAACTTTATATCCTGTGGTCCGTAGACGGATCCCGCTGCAGTCTTTGCCACCGGAGATTTTAAGTCTGATAAGATTTTCCTCCTGTCTGTGGTGTGTGCTTTTTATCTCACTTTTAAAAATCGTTTAAAGACCGAAAAATCCTGTAGTGTGTGGCGGCTTTAGTCAAACATTTGTATTAGTTGACCAATCATTTGATTTAGATTCTAAAGATTTATACGTAACAATAGCAGACAGTTCGCTCATTAACTTTGCTATTTTGTTTTAATATAAATGTATCTCCAAAAAGGTAGATTAAGCTCATGATTCACAAGTTTAATCTGTTTTTATATAGTTCCTTGTACTTTCTTTAGCATAAATAATAGTTCTTGCGTGAGCTCTCGTGCAGGTTCAGTCCTGTGAGTGCAGTTTGGGTCCGAAACACGGATACAGAATCATTTTTGAGAGATTTTGCCCTTTTTTTAGTCGATTAATCAATTGGCTGGATAGTCATTACAGAAATTCTTGTTGTACTATTTGACTATAACACTAGTAGTTACTGATAGTTTTTAGTGGCAATATATCATGATTCAGAATGTGTGATTTGTGATTTTGTGATTCAAAAACTGGTCTAATCCTGAGTCCATTTGCCCACAGATATCAGTATTACCTGCAGCTCAAGAAGGACGTTCTGGACGGCAAGATCTCGTGCTCTTTGGAACAGGCCATCCACTTAGCCAGTTTAGCGGTGCAGGGTAAGTTTTCTCCAGGCCGCTTCATCGTGCTCACTGCTTGTTTTGCTTGGCGTGCAGAAATACCTCTCAGTCTGTTATGTTCTGTCACATGCCGCTGACACTAATATATGTAGTTACTCTGTTAGCGTCTTGTTTAGGAGGGGAATGCCCGTACGCAGCTCAATGTCGAGCTCATTCACGATAACTCAACCCGCAGAGAGTCCAAGGGAACACAGAAGTTTGTAATTAATAGGATGAGAATTCTAATTTACCGTATTTTTCGGATTATAAATCACACCAGCCAAAAAATGAATAATGAAGAAGAAAAAAACATATAAGTCACACTTTTGGGGGGAAATTTCTTTTATAAAATCAGAGACCTGGAACTGACATTTCATCGTAAAAGGCAAGTTAAAGTAATGGCAACAGAACAGAGAACAACAGACTGTTAACGTCACATATGAACAGTTCTTCAGATAAACTATAACATAAACAACAGAACAGAACAAGTTTAACAAACTCTCCATCTCACTCCAAATCACTAAATCCATTCAATTCTTCATCCTCGGTGTCACTTCTGAGCAACTCCACGACCTCCGGAGGTAAACAGAGCGCCGCTTCCTCTTCTGTGTCGCTGTCATCAGACTCTGCATCAGTTCCAGTTAGAATTATTCTGGCCTTTCTGAATCTGAATCAGGATGGTTTCAGTGTCACTGAAGTCCAGGTTTTGTCCATCCATCCAATGATTTCCAGAAAAGTTGCATGGTGCATCCTCCCGGTTACCGTAAAGCTGTGTTCTTCATCCCCGCTTCCCACCAGTCCCTCACAAGTTTCTCGCTCACTCCAAACTTTCTTTCTGCTGCTTGATTAATGTTTTCGGCTGCAGATTTCACTACTTGCAGCAGGACAGCAGCAGGACTTTCTGCGGGAGACATGTGCAGAAAACTGACACACAAGCTTAGAGCCTCTCGTGGGTGTCAGTCTGAAAATTTTAATATATAAGCAGTGTTGGGAAGGTGACTTTTAAAATGTAATCCCCTACAGATTACAGATTACACACACCAAAATGTAGTTTGTAACGTAATCCATTAAATTACTTAAAGTGAGTAATGTAATCTGAATACTTTGGATTACTGGATTTGCTGTAGAGAAGCAAAGACAAGGAAATCTTCACATGAGATGTTTTGTCTGATAAAAGAAAATGAAAAGTCCAGACTTTACTTAACCATATTAAAAATATTATTGATAGAAGAGGAGAAGACATGTCCACACAGCATGATTTAGTCCTGTTAAATCCTGTTTTAGACCTGGTTTAGATCTGGATTAGATCTAGTTTAGCTCTAATTTAGACCTGGTTTTAGTCCTGGTTTTAGACCTGGTTTAGTCCTGATTTAGACCTGGTTTAGATCTAGTTTAGACTTGGTTTTAGACCTGGTTTTAGACCTGGTTTAGATCTAGTTTAGACCTGGTTTTAGACCTGGTTTAGATCTAGTTTAGACCTGGTTTTAGACCTGGTTTAGACCTGGTTTTAGACCTGGTTTTAGACCTGGTTTTAGACCTGGTTTAGATATAGTTTAGATATAGTTTAAACCTGGTTTAGTGTTCGGCAATGAGTGGGATTACGGGAAAAAATAAATAAATGTGAAAACAGGAAAATACCACCGTGTAATCCATTTATTTCAATAAAGTAACTGTAATCCAATTACCACTCACTGAAACAGTAACTGTAACTGAATACAGTTACTCATAATTTGTACTCTGATTACGTAACTTCGGTACATGTAATCTGTTACTCCCCAACACTGTGTATAAGTCGCACCAGAGTATAAATCGCAGGACCATCCAAATGAAAAAAAAGTGTGACTTATATTTAGAAAAATACGGTAGATGATTTCTCCAACATGTGTCCTGTTTGTAAACAGTGTTGGGAAAGTAAAATCAGAAACTCACTCCTCACAGCAAGAAGGTTCCGGGTTTGATCTCTGGTCACCTGGGCCGTTCTGTGCTGAGTTTGCATGTTCTCCCTGTTTCTGGGTGTGTGTGGTCATAATTGTTATCTGGACTACACACTGTAAAACACATACAGAAAGTCCTTTATATAACAACAGTGGCATTATGAAATCAAAATGTCCAAAAAAGATTACACAGTTAGTCATTTTCATCAATATTATGCTTTATTATTAAATATCCTCTGTTAAGAAGCCTGCTGTCACCGTATTTCTGAATTTTATTAACTGAATTTTGATAATTTGACACACAAATCGAAATCGTGCTCATAATTCAATTAATTACACAGCCTTAGCTACCTCTATGGTCAAAAAAGTTTTATAGTTCCAGCTGTGACTGTGTCGTTATAGCTTTAGCGGATAGAGACGGCAGAGACAGACGCGCTGTAGTGACTTTGCATTTCTGCAGTGTCCCACTGTTTTGACTTGGCTCAAAATAAAGCCGTGTCACTGTGTCTGGGCGTTCCCGAGTGCGCGGTGTGTGCGGAGGGGGACAGTTGTAGCTTTTAAGCCTGGATGCCTGGAATAGGGCGCGTATGTGGAGCCGCTGCCAGAGGAGCTCTCTATTACAAACAGGCCTCCTCTAAAGTTAGCCAGCGTCATGGTACATATCTCACATTCTTCTCACCATCTGGAGCGCACCGTCGTCTCCAGGTACTTCATCATGTTCCTCTACCCCCACAGCTGCTCTGGGAGACTTCAATCGCTACGACTCCCAGGAGTTCCTTCAGAAGTTTGACCTGTTCCCGGAAGTAAGCCAACAAAACACCAACACGACTTTTGGATTTAAGGGATTTAGTGACGTAAACTGAACATTTCAAACTTTTACCTTCCAAAGATGAGCAAGAAAATGTGGCTAAAGTGAATACATATAAACAGAATTGGCCAGGTTTAAAGAACTAATTTTAGAAGACCGTATTTAGTAATGCAACCAGGTTTATTATGAAATTTAGAACGGTTCTCCCATGTTAGTAAACTGAGAACTAGTAACGATTAAAGCATTACTGTAATCAGATTAACTTTTTAATGACACAGTAATGGCAAAAGGAGAAATTCAGTGTGTCAACTGGACAAAAGTTTATTTGGTCAAATACGTTTCGCAGATCGTCAAAGCTGCTTCAGTTCTGGTCAAAATGTTGGTGGACACTTCCTTATATCTGCCTGAAGGGAGGAGCTAACTACACTGAAACTACTCTGAAACTAACACATCTACTTGTTTACAGTTTCTGTTTGTTAGCATTATTGAGCTGCACTGAGTCTGGGGTCATATTAGCAGATTCATTCAGGGCCATAATGGAGCTTTCACACCTCTAGGCCTAACCTGGCTCTCTGGTGTTTTCTTTGCTTTTTTTGTTTTGTTTGTTTGATTGTTTTTATTTATTTGTTTGTTTGAGCAAGGTAAAGCAAAATCAACAACACTAACAAAAAACCAAACAAAAACAAGGATATGTACATGTACATATTTGGGACCTGGTGTTCAAAAGGAGTAGGATGAAGTTTAAAAGAAACTTTTAATGTCCTACCCCAATTGCTTTCCATAATCAAATGGTTGACACATTTATTCATTTATTGATTGATTGATTGATTTGTATTTATTTATTTTTATTTCGGTCTGAGTATGGAGTTGTAAATAGGAGAGAGATGGTGTCTGAGTTTTCCGTTTCTGTTCAAAGATGGATTGTTTTTCCTAACAAAAATAGATGCTTTAACTCCACTTTCAAACCACTTCTTTTCTCTGGCTCAGATCTGTACCTCACTGTCCTCAAAGGAGTGACCCGGGGCTTTGAGATGTACAGCAGACTGAGGTCCATTATTGCTCTCTTGTCTGTGTTGGTACATCCTCTTGTGAATTCGCCGTTTTGTGTTAGTTTCAGAGTAGTTTCAGTGTAGTTAGCTCCTCCCTTCAAGCAGATATAAAGAAGTGTCCACCAACATTTTGGGCAGAATTGAAGAAGCAGCTTGGATGAGCTGCGAAACGTCTTTAACCAAATAAACTTTTGTCCAGTTGACAAAGTGAATTTCTCTTTTTGCCATGGATTCTACCTGGACAACTGAGGGATTTTACACATAATAAAGTAATGTAACTAATTAGATTACGCTTTACTTTCCTTAGTAAATTTTTCCATTTTTCCCTGCCTTTTTAAGTACTTTATAATAATTGCTAATACTGTGCTGTCTACTGTGCAGATTTTAGCTACAATATCTAAAAGTGTTTGTGATGTAGGACTGGATTCAGGATGAGCGAGTGCTGGAGGAGGCCACGCAGAAAGTGGCTCTGCTTTATCAGAGATTACGGTAATCAAAAGCCCTATCTCTCAATATGTGCTCCTATTTTCGTTTTGTGTTGTTTTTGCTCATGTACTTTTCCTCTTGTGTTTTTAGAGGACTGTCTGCCCCAGAAGCAGAGATGTTGTATATGCAGGAAGTGGAGAAGACGGAGGGCTACGGACAGGAAAGCTTTCAGGCTAAAGTACGACCCCATTCTAACTTGAGCTCTTAAAATATTAAAGCGACGATGAAAGTAAAACCGTGTTGAACCCGCACAGGACAGCTCTGGAGCAGACGTGACCCTAGGATCCTGTCTGGACGGCATCTTCGTCAAGCACAAAAACGGACGGCCTCTGCTTCTTTTTAGGTTTGTACTGAATATGTTAAACCGTCTGTTTCAGAGGCTGTGTGAAGTTGGCAAGCGCTCCTCTTCTCTGTGTGGGTTTCCCCTCAAAACACAATCCCCAACAGTTTAATCCTCCTGAACGCTGCTCACTGAGATTAGCCCTTGTTCCTTAGGAGGACTTCCTTCTCAAATGGAACAAAAAGTCAACATAACACCAAACTTTAAAGACTAACTATGGGATATTCACTGTAAACACATAGATCGCCATATTACCTTTTGAAAATGCTATATTCAAATCAGGTTTATTTATACAGCACATTTAAAACAACTACAGCTGACCAAAGTGCTTCACATAAAAGTCAACAAAAACATAAACAGATATACATGTAAAAACTACAATAAAACACCAAGATAAACTGAACAGCTTGTATTATTGCCAGGGAGAACAAGTGAGTTTCCAGTCTAGTCTTAAACTGTGTTACAGACTGAGAGGATCTGACAGGAAGAGGAAGTCTGTTCAAGAGTCTGGGCGCTGCCACAGAAAAGCCTCTGTCACCTCTCGTCTTGAGCCTCGTTTTGGAGCTGGTCAGCTGATCTCAGGGCTCCAGAGTGCAAACATTTGAACACATTAAGGCCACGTTTATATGATGATGGTCATAGCAGAAAACGCAAAAGTGGCGTCGCGTCTTCACTTTTTATTCCACGTTTAGACGAGCGTTTTCGGGAAGAAATCAGTGTGCGACAGTGTGTGGAATTCGATAGGGTATGTTTGTACTTAAAGCAGCAGGGGCGTCTTTGGACATTCGGAAGTTTTCATGATGCACATTTTCATCAGCTCCTCCTTACACAAACTTGTCCCACCATCGACTGGTTCTCCAGGTCTCGTCCATATCCGTCTGACTCACCTGCGACGACCTGGTGCATCTAGAATTTGACAGAGGTGATTGCAGATCCTTCTCTCTTCACTAATAGTATCTCTGCAGATTCTCCACATTTGTTGGGAGTCTCCTGTAGAGTTTATTAGAGCAGTTTGAAGGTCCGACGTGTGGAAATGATCCAACATGTTTCTGTGTACTGTATGTTTGTGACGTAAACGCGTGACCGACGTGAGCAGATCTGACCAGAGTTTTGCGTCTTGGGCAGTGTAGACTTAAACACTACAGCGGAGTGTATTCAACTTTTCCACTCTGGAGGGTGTTATCAGATTTTTGTGTTTTTAAGCCCCAAAAACGCTGTCACCGTCTAAACGAAACACACTTCCAATAAAGTATTTTGTCATTTCTACCCGCAAGCGTTCTCGTGTAAACAGGCCCTCAGTAACATTTTAAACTGTACCCGATAAAAGACAGGGAGCCAGTGCAGGTGTGATGTGTTCTTGTCTCTTGGCATTTGTCGGCAGACGAGCTGTAATGTTCTGGACGTGTTGTAAAAGCAGCAGGAGCCTGGTCCAGCCCCACATACAAAGAATTGCAATAGTCCAGACGCGATGTTACAAATGCAGGGATCGCATTTTTGAAATCCGCCTGTGGGAGGTCAGGTTTATTTTAGCAAGGAGCCTTCACTGAAAGGTGCCAGACTTTATGACAGAGCTGATGTTCTTGTCCAGTTTGAACATGGAGCATAGAACATATTTACTGAAAACACTCAAACACAGTCAGAGAAAACTAAAGAACTAAACTAAACTAAAGAACCTACTGCTCATTACACCAGGTTTGGGAATATTTGAGGTACATCTATATCTGTTCTGTGTCATGTTTTTATAGATTTGTGGAAAGTTGTCATACAGGAGCGTGGGTGATGTCGGCTTGTGGGCGGAGCCTTGTACAGACTCTGCTAACCATAAAGAGGGTTTGAATAGGGAGCAGGAGAGATCGCTAGATTACTGAAACATTCACAGATGACATAAAAATACATCTTCGGGCTTGTTTTTTTTTTTTTTGCATATATATTTATTGCCTTTTAGTTTTAACAAAATAATCAACAAAATAACAATATAAGCAATACAAGCAAAATAAAACAAAACAAACAAACAAACATTGGCCCATTCATATATTAGACACAGATACAACCATTTCAGAATGTAAATACCCTATTCATAATAGCTGAGATCTCAAGTTCAGTAAACATCAAAAATGGTTCCCAAGTTTTCTTAAAGATATTGTCCTTATGATGAAGCCGACACGTCAGGTAATCGAGAGAAACAAAAACAAGAACCGTCTTCTGCCATTGAGTTTTAGTGGGGGTCTGGTCAGAAACCCAATTCACTAGTAGACTTTTTCTGGCACAAAAAGTCAGCATCCCGTACAGTTTTCTATTATATTTATCTTTTACAACGGGTTCAGTTACACCAAGCAACAGAAACAGAGGATTGTTAGTTAAATTTACAGACAGAATTGTTTGTATTTCTTGTCCAATCATTTGACAGAATTGTTGCACTTTTGGACAAGACCAAAGACAGTGTGTAAGGGTACCAATCTAGTTCTTGCACTTCAAACACAACGGCGAAGAGCTAGGTTTTAATTTATTATATCGATAAGGGGAAATATGAGCTCTGTGGGGAATCATAAGCGGAGTTGCTTTAACCGTATTACAAACATCTGGGCATGTTTTTGATGAGAGAACGTTATAACATGGTAGAAAGTTCAAAAATGTTGATTCAAGTTGAGTCGAGAAGTTAAGATGACGTTTTCCCTCATGTCCAGGAATTGTTCAATGTCGAGAGACTTTCAGGAGCCGTCATCTGGACTCTGTTTTTGCGATCAAGACATTTCGACTCCCATCCAGAAGTCCAGAAGTTCATCAGCGCATAGGACTTGAGGCTGGATTTAGTAAGACGTGAGATAAAGTCCCAGTTTTTCAGACCCGTTCCATCAAAGTGAAAATAACTTCTGGATGAGAGTCGAAATGTCTTGATTTATCCAGACGACCACAGCTGAAAAAATCTCTACAGTACCGCGTCTTTAATTATAAATCCGCTCTTCAAGTTTTTCAACGCGATTAAAACATCAAAATTGAAATAAATAGCGTTAATTGTAGTGTTTTTTTAAGTCTAAAAGTTACTCTGTGAGGCTTGAACGTTTCTTAACAATAGAATCTTAATGTAAAATTCCTAGACAAACGAGGGCACTGACTTGTGTGATTATCCTAAACGTTGTGGTGCGTGCACATTCCTGCGTGAGGTTGAACTGCAGGTTATCCACATACCAGTGTGTTTAGAGGAGCTGCTGATGCACGGGCCCATTGTCCGACACGGGGCATTACTCGAATACTTTGTGTCTTGAATAAAGCAGGTTTGTGTCTGACCACAGTGACATCACCTGTTTTTCCCCTTCTCTCCCTCCCTCTCTCTCTGTCTGTCTTTCTCTCTCTCCCTGTCTCTCTCCCTATCTCCTTCTGTCCCTCTTTCCATGTTTCTCTTTCTCCCTGTTTTTTCCTCTCTCTCTTTCTCCCCCCGTCCCCCATTCTCCCTCTCCCCCTCTCTCCTTGTCTCTTTCTTCACCTCTCTCTTCCCTCTCCCTGTCTCTCCCTGTCTCTCTCCCTCCCTCTGTTCCTCTCTCCATTTTTTTTCTCCCTGTTATTTCCTCTTTCCCTCTCTCTCTTTCTCTCTCCCCCCTCCCTGTCTCCCATTCTCCCTCTCTCCTTGTCTCTTTCTCCCTCCCTCCCTCCCTCTCTCTCTCCGTGTCCCTCACTCCTGATCTCTTCCTCTTTTTTCCTCTCTCCCTTTCTCTCCCTCTTTTTTCCTCTCCCTCTCTCCCCCTTTTTTCCTCTCTCCTCTCTTCTCCCTCTCTCCATGTCTCTCTCTCTACCTCTTTCTCCATGTCTCTCCCTCTCTCTCTCCCCTCTTTCATTCCCTGTCTCTCTCTCTCCCTCTTTCTCCATGTCTCTCTCTCCCCCCTCTCTCACGCTCCCCCTCTATCCATCTCTCCCCTCTCCCTCTCCCCCTCTCTCCTTGTCTCTTTCTCCATCTCTCTCTCCCCCTCTCCCTGTCTCTCCTTGTCTCTTTCTGGGTCTCCCTCTCTCTCCTCTTTCTCCATGTCTCTCTCTCCTCCTCTCTCCATACCCCCCCCCCCCCCCTCGTCTCTCCTCTCCCTCTCCTCTCTCTCTCTCTCTCTCTCTCTCTCTCTCTCTCTCTCTCTCTCTTCTCTCCTCTCTCTCTCTCTCTCTCTCCCCCTCTCTCTCTCTTCTCTTCTCTCTCTCTCCCCCCTCTCTCTCTCTCTCCTCTCTCCCCCCCCCCTCTCTCCCCTCTCTCTCTCTCCTCTCTCTCTTCTCTCTCTCCTCTCTCCCCCTCTCTCTCTCTCTCTCTCTCTCTCTCTCCCTCTCTCTCTCTCTCTCTCTCTCTCTCCCCCTCCTCTCCTCTCTCTCTCTCTCTCTCTCTCTCTGTCTTTTGTGCTCGTGCAGGTGGAGTGACATTAACAACATGACTCACAACAGGTCGTTCTTCGCTCTGGAGTTGTCCAGCCGAGAGGAGAGCGTCCAGTTCCAGACCGTGAGTTTACCCACAATGCACCTGCACACACGCTGACATCATAAGGACCTACCTGTCTGTCTTTCTGCCTTTTGCCTTTACAGGGACAATAATCAGATTCTCACGAAGTAACGCCTCATTTAGACCAACTCCGTCACATCAGCCTGGTTCTTCTGAAATATGAAGCAGTGTTTTTACCTCAATGTTTAAAAGAAAATAGAGCAGGGAAACGTCAAGTGTGTTCAGTTTACAAATAGAGCCGACTCTCTCCTCTCCTCCAGGCCTCCTCCTCTCCTCCTTTGCTCATCCTCCACTTTTCTGGCCTCTCCTCTGCTCCTCTACCCTCTCCTCCGTTTATTCTTCACTCCTCTGCTCATCCTCCTCTCCTCTGCTCATCCTCTGTCCTCTCCTCTGCTCATCCTCCACTCCTCTGTCCTCTCCTCTGTTCATCCTCCACTCCTCTGTCTTCTCCTCTGCTCATCCTCCACTCCTCTGTCCTCTCCTCTGCTCATCCTCCACTCCTCTGCTCATCTCCACTTCTTCTGCTTCTCCTTCTTCCTCTCCTCTCCCTCTTCTCTGCTCATCCTCCACTCCTCTGCTCATCTTCCACTCCTCTGCCTGCTCCTTTGTTCATCCTCCACTCCTTCGCCACTCCTCTGGCCTTCTACTCTGCTGTCATCTCCTCCACTCCTCTGCCCTCTCCTCTACTCATCCACCACTCCTCCACCACTCCTCTGGCCTCTTCTGGTCATCCTCCACTCCTCTACTCTCTTCTCCTCCACTCATCCTCCACTCCCCTTCCCTCTTTTCCGCTCATCCTTCACTCCTCTGGCCTCTTCATCTTTCCTCCTCTGCTCCTCCACTCATCCTCAACTCCTCTGTCCTCTCCTCTGCTCATCCTCCACTCTCCTGGCCTCTCCTCCTCTCCGCCTCTGTTCATCCTTCACTCCTCTGCCCTCTCCTCCGCTCATCCTTCACTCATCTTCTCCTCCACTCTCCTCTGCTCATCCTCCATTGCTCTGTCCTCTCCTCTTTTCATCCTACCGTCCTCTGCCCTCTCCTTTGGTCATCATCTTTTTCTCTACTCTCCTCTGCTCATCCTCCACTCCTCTGTCCTCTCCTCTGCTCATCCTCCACTCCTCTGTCCTCTCCTCTGCTCATCCTCCACTCCTCTGTCCTCTCCTCTGCTCATCCTCCACTCCTCTGTCTTCTCCTCTGCTCATCCTCCACTCCTCTGTCCTCTCCTCTGCTCATCCTCCACTCCTCTGTCTCCTCTGCTCCATCCTCCACTCCTCTGTCCTCTCCTCTGTTCATCCTCCACTCCTCCGTCCACTCCTCTGTCCTCTCCTCTGCTCATCCTCCACTCCTCTGCCCTCTCCTCTGCTCATCCTCCACTCCTCTGTCCTCTCCTCTGCTCATCCTCCACCTCTGTCCTCTCCTCCTCTCACCCTCTTCTTCCATTTTCACTCTTCTCCTTCGTAAATCGCGCTTTATGCTCCGAGGACTTCAGAGTAAATCCTTCACTTTACTCCGAAGTCAAAGCGAAGTGAAGCCGAGCGCTGCTGTTCGAGTCGTGCGCGCTGCTTTTCTACACCTCCCACCGCTTTAATTTATGCCATAAACCCTGAATATGCCCAAGTATTGATTCTGTAAAGTCCCACTGAAAACTGACTTGTGTTCATCTTCTGTGTGGCTTTAAACACCTGGTACAAAAACCTTCATACAGCTGCAGCATCTGTCAAAAACAGGCTCGTTGCGTATTCTGATTGTTACAGCAGACGCACGGATCGGAGATGGAACGGAGCTGATGTAGATGAGGCGTAAATCCTTTGTTACCAGATCAGCAATTTCAGATAAGGGTTAAAATAGGTGAAGGTTAAGGTTTAAAAAGCGACTAAGGAAAATCAGTCAATAATCGAATCTAGTATTAAAATTTGAACAAATATCAACACTAAAGTTACATTTACAACTTTCCTGAAAATCTTTAGGGCCACTATGAAGCCTACCTGGACCACACGGGAAGAGAAAAGAAAATATTACCATTTAATATTGAAAATCACAGTGTATTGTCTGAAGAAAGAGTGTTTTTTTTGTTTGTTTTTTAATCATGGTGACAGTGCTGGCAGTGACTGTAGTTAAGGTTAGGATCAGTCTACAGGAAATGAAATGAAAGTCAGTGTGACGTCTCCAAGAAGCATTTGTGTTTTGTTTGTGTTTGTGTATGTGTTTGTGCGTGCGTGTGTGCATGTGCCGCTCACATGCCATCAGCTCCAGTCAGTGCACAAGTATTCAAGAGCTCTCGTTGGAATTGGGCCCGTCGTGAATGGCTTTTTCAACATTTTATCATAGAAAATCATCTTGATAGTTGATAATATTGCCTGCCAAATCTTATGAACACAATACAATAATAATACTGGTAATAATAATAAAATCATAAAGTAATAAGTGCTTTCCGCAGCACTAAGAGATGCCTGTCAGTTGATTTTGTTAATTCATATTTGCATTTACTCTGGTGACTATATAAACGTAACAACTATAAAAACAACAATCAAGAACTTAACAAGCAAAAATAAATAATTAATTTTAAGTACATCTATGCGCTAAAGAAGTAAAGCGGCACTATATTTCGTTATCAAATCATAATCTGACTTTGCAGCTTTTGCGATCTGATTGTGCAAATCTGCACAATCAGACCAGAAACTCATGTTGTCCCTGTTGTTTAAACCTCTACAAATATGTTCTGAAATGCATTTTTTATTTTAATATAAACAAGGAATAACACAGTATTAGACCATGTAAAAAAAAAAGACCATGTAAACCAGTGGTGTCCAAACTTTTTTCATCAAGGGCCTCATTTCTAGTACAGTGAATAATTGAAATATGTGCAGGTTTAACACATTAAAATGAGCCATCAGTCCTTTATTTGTGCTAAGATCCTTAAAACCAAACACTAAATATGAAATATGAGCTTTATCAAGGTAGATTTTCAAAAAACTTCAAGTAAAAAATATTTTTTTAATTGATGCAAGGTCATTTGGGCCAATTCACCTGGAAGCCTGAGGGCCAAGAAGAATTTGTCTGAGGGCTGCATTTGGCCCCCGGGCCATAGTTTGGACATGCCTGATGTAAACACTTAATTCCTGATGAAAATTATTATTCGGAATTAAACTTATTTCTGAAGAAAGTGGGTGGTTTATTCAGATTTTAAAGCCGAATTAATTTATTCCTTGATCATGTAAACGTTTATTGTTCTTCAAAATAATTCCGGTGGTTCAGTTCATGCTCGTTGGGTCGCTCTTCTGACGCGATCCGGACAATCCGGCTCCATCAGTCCTGGCGTCGGACTTTCATCCATGTCTCTTTGGATTTGTGAGCGGGATGTGGGAGTGGGCTGAGGTAGAGCAGCCATTGACTCAGTTTGTCTTCTTCCTCCTTCTCCGACACTCTTCCCTTCTCCTCCTCAGCTGACAGACGTAAAGCGTGATGAGAGAATTCTCCAGCCGCTGTGCAATTATCATCAGAACCACTGCGAAAAAAGTTTGGATCGTGTTTGTGTCCGTGACGTAATGACAAACCGAGATGACAACAAAGTCGGTAGCAGCTGAAGTGTGTTTCTTCCAGTCGACGTAAATACGTTTGTGTCCTTGTCCGATCAGAACCTTTTCCACCACTAGACGCTGAGCTGAGAATTAAATAAAGGCGATTTAACGTATTTTCTATTTAAACTTCAATTCAGAATTATTATTTCCATGTAAACTTGAAGGAGAATATTTTAATTCTGAACTATTTAATTCAGAACAAATAATTTGGAATCGACAGACAAGTGACATAACCACAGAAACAAGCAGGTGATGGACCCGCAACCAAAAAGTTACACAATGCACCTTTAATTGAATGTCTCTGTTGTTCAGCCTGACTCTCCCTGTGTCCTAATACTTTTGAGTCGTCGTGTGTTCCAGGAGGACATGGAGACGTCCAAATACGTGTGTCGGATGTGCCTGGCGCGCCTCAAGTTCTACAAGATAAACAAGAGCTCTCTGTAAGTCGTGCGTACGTGTGTGTGTGTGGTTCTCACTGCAGGATGTGTGTGTGGTGGTCGGGGCAGTGTCCTCAGTGTGTTTGGTGTGTCTCTTCAGAGAGGAGTGTGAGCCGCCGCCTCAGAAGTCCCTCCTCACTCTCTCACTCCCCCGTTTCCCCACGCTCTCCCGACCCTCTCTGGCGTCTGACAAGGGGTGAGCAGCTGATGGCTCCTGCTGTTTGTCTGCGCACGCTTCTGCCTCCACACACCCAAAATAAACATGGTCAATGCACATTATTGTGTTAAGAATCAGCAGAGGTGGGTAGAGTAGCCAAAAATTACACTCAAGTAAGAATAGCATTACTTCAGAATACATTTACTCAAGTATCACTCAGCCCTGCTTTTGGTAAGGCTGGATATGGGAAAAACAAGTTTTGATTTTAATTTTCGATTTGATTTTCTTCCATTATATTGAAAACAAAGACAGGCTTTCGTGTTGACAGGACTAATAATTACGTAGAAATTCACTTTTAATCAACAGAATCACGTGCGATGTGCTAAGTGAGGGCTTAAGTTTCTCTCACAAACGGTGAGAAAATAGTCGTTTACGTTGTGCAATTTGGATTATAAAATGAAAAGCACCAGAGGAGAGATAGAGAGAGGAGTAAACGTGAGGATCTGCAGCTGGATCCGAAGAGGAGGAGCAGGGCAGACGGTCCGCACACAGACTCGCACACAGACTTTTACTGAAACTCTGCAAATTTAAGTAAAAAGTTCTGAAACACGAGGACACGTGAGGAGCCATTAAGAAACTGTGGCCATGACTTTAGCTTTCACCTAAACAAGAGCACAAATCCTCGTCAGTTTCTCATGCTCTTACTGCCACTGGCTGTTGACCTGTCGATTAAAATGAGTTTGCTTTATCTTTCCATTTTTAGCTCAACCCTAAAGTAAAAAGAGTTAAAAAAAAATATTTGGGGAAACTACTGTGTTTCGGTGTTTTCAAACAAAAATGGGACAAACTAAATCATCTGAAGGAGCAGTGCAAGAAAAGTACTCTGAAATACTTTTTTTTTTTTTTTTTTAAGTTACTCAAGTAAATGTAACTGAATACTACCCACCTCTGAAGATCAGTGGTTTAGTTTTGGCACACACTAGAGCACAGTTTTCATCATGTAATCTACTCACAATGTTTATATCAATCAAGAAAAATCACAGGTTTTGAAAAGGCACGTGCTGATTCATTTTAAACATCCATATTTTTTTTCAATTCTCTTCTGGTTTTCTTTGAGGTTACAATTAAATTAAATGCACTAAACGACCAAACGGGCACCAGTGAGATGACTAGATGATACTCTGTTATTTCACCGGTGTATTTACGTCCAACAACCAGCAGGTGGCGCCTATCGCACTAGTGGAAGGAGGCAAATGGGGAGTTTGTGAAAGTATCACAAGATCTCTCCTCTAGAAAAGATAGTGCACCTTAGTTCAATTGCACCAAATCATTTTACCAAGCTTTTTCAATGTTTATATTGTACATAAATCAGACTGATGTGTGAAGGTTCAGGTTTGACTTTGTTGTGTTTCCCACAGCCAAACCCAGCCCACAGTGAACCCGGTGAGAAGGAGATCCTCCACGAGACTTTCTCTGGTAAAGTGAAATTCTCATTATTGTGCTTGATGGTTTGAGCGTGAGCAGCTGATGGTCACATGCTGTTGTGTTTGCAGCCTAAGCCCCAGGCCTACATGATGCCCCCTCAGATGCACTACAACGGGCACTTCACCGAACCCTACACCTCCTCACAGGGTAAAGCACATGCTGCACTCTAATGCCACGCTAAATATTCACTCAACACTCAAATAAGACGTTTACAGCACAGTCATGTTCACTGTTAAATGTTCCGAAAATAACAGAAAACGTCCTCCCTTCACAGCATGCATAACTTTGTTGTATGAAAAAAAAAAAATGCATTTACATTTAGTTTTGGTTTCCTTCCTTCTTTTTTCTTGGCAGTCAGTAGATGAGATAGAAACAAAATGAAACAAAAGAAAGAAAGGGGTCATTGTTTATGTAGTTCTTCTGCTTTTTACCATTTTATGTTATCATGATATTGACTATAACATTACTTCCAGAGTTATGCTTATCAACTACAGTATCTTTAGGTTTATGTGTGTAAATAATGATCCATATTTGATTATTTGCTCTCATATACAGATAATCTGTACAACAGTCAGAACGGTTACTACTACCACTCCCAGACGAGTCTAGACTGCCCCCCTGTGGACTACAGCGGAGGGCGTCTGCGTAACGGCAGCGTGTACAGCGCCCACAGCACCAGCTCCCTCACCAACCCCCAGCACTACATCCAGCCCTCCCCCATGTCCTCCAACCCCTCCATCACAGGAAGTGACATCACCCGGCCCGACTACCTGCCCACGCACCGCCACAGCGCCCTGATCCCGCCCTCGTACCGCGCCACGCCCGACTACGAGAGCGTCATGCGCCAGAAGAACCAGGCGGCGCTGGGCGGCGTGATGTTGTCCCAGGAACACCGCCAAAGTCACTCTATGAGAAACCTCAACATCAGCAACTCGTACGCCTACAGCCGGCCCGACCCGCTGGTCTACAGCCAGCCCGAGATCCACCACTACCCCTTCCACCTGGGCTCCAGCTTTCACAGCCCGTCGCCCTACCCCCACCCCACAGAGCGGCGCCCTGTGGTGGGGGCGGTGAGTGTGCCCGAGCTCACAAACGTACAGTTACAGCAGGCGCAGGAGTATCCCGCACCAAACATCATGAGAACTCAAGTGTACCGCCCTCCTCCGCCCTACCCGTACGCCCACCCCCGACCCGCCAACAGCACGCCCGACCTGTCCAGACACCTGTACGTGAGCAGCAGTAACCCCGACCTCATCACCCGGAGAGTCCACCACTCTGTGCAGACGTTCCAGGAGGACAGCCTCCCCGTGGCCCACTCTCTACAGGAAGTGTCTGAGCCGCTGTACAGTGGCCCCACCCACAGACCGCCCTACCACGTCTACAAGAGGAACTCCATCGAGATCGCGGGCCTGACCCACAGTCTGGAGGCCATGAAGGTGAAAGAGAGGACCATGTCCAGCTCTGCGGTGGAGTCTCTGTCCATGGCCGTACATGAGGCGCGCTCACAGGGCTCTCAGCTCAACGTGCTGCTGGAGCACTCGCACACCGAGGAGCTGAAGGAGGAGAGTCAGTACGGCCACAAGAAGTCCCCCTCTGACGCCACCATGCTGGTGCACAGCAGCGAGGACGATGAGGAGGAGGAGAGCGGCCGTCACACCCCTCTGTCCCACAACACCGGTGCTCAAGCCACGCCCACAGAGCCGCCCCCGGCCTACCCCACAGGCTCCGTGTTCACCGGAGCGCTGGGACACATCTCAGAGATAGAGGCCTGGACCATGCCAGAGCCAGAGCCCTCTGCTGCTCAGCCCAAACTCAGGATCAAGAAGAGACCCATGTCCGAGGTGCCCGCAGTGAAGAAGCCTGTGGAGGGACTGCCCCCTGCGGTGAGTCATGCACACGGGTCAAAGGTCACACACAAACACACACTTATTGTAGAGCCAATCATTTCATCATTCACTTCATGAACACTAGAGGGTTTGTGCAGGTTTATATTTTTCAGTTACATTCAAGCTTAATTAAAAACACATAAACGTTTATCTACCAGGTCTTAAGTATAAAACATGATGTGATTAATTATTTCAAGAGTCAGAAGTGTAAAATGTGTAAAGTGTGTCTTTCACTCCCCTGAACTCTTCGTAGACAGGCCCTGTTAAAGAGGATACAGTTGTGTAATGTGAGTGGAGCGGCGAGAGGTTTGTTTACTACAAATAACTCAATAATATTAATATCTCAATATCTCAATCTCAGTATCTTTCTGAATGGTTACTATTAGGAAACAAAACGACAAAGAAATGAGGAAGAACTCTTTAGAACTGTTAGTGATTGTATTAAGTTGACACTAGATTGTCATTTACACTAAAACACGAATCTGTGTCACTGATCTTGCGCTAGTTTTGTTTTATGTTCTAATTCTTGTGCATTCCATTGTATATTTTATTACGGTCCACTATTGTGAGCATTAATCATGTGGTCACAAGTGTTAGTGTACTCACACCTGCACGTTGTTGACAGGTGACGCAGGGTTGACAGGTGACACAAACTGAACAAACAGGTGTGTCGACATTCTGCTGGGTCCTTCCCCTGCGCTGCACTCACTCCCCGTGTCTGTGCGTGTCTGGGTGCATCTGTGTGCGTCTGCGTGTGTGTCCGTGTGCGTCTGTGTGTGTGTGTGTGTGCGCGGTCTCCTCACAGGGCATGAAGAGGGGAGTCAGGCCGGACCAGAGGAGGGGCCCCTCACACAGGGCCCCACACCAGAACGGGCTCCTCAAGACACCCCTGCACCCGGAGGCCAAGGAAGAGCTGGAGCGGGCGTCCAACGACCAGAGGGTAGGGCTCACACACACACACACACACACACACACACATACAGCGCTGCAGGAGGAAGTCACTGTACATGCAACGGACTCAGATTTTTATCATTTTTTGTCACAGATCTGGCTAGACTACAACACTGGAGTACTATACTACCACAATTAAACTACTAACTTTTTCTCACAGTTATTTAGTTTTGTTGGCTGATTAGGTAAAGTCTGGTCAGGATGCCAATATTTCAAACTGAATTTTGATATTAAGGAAGAAACTCGATACTCAATACTTTAATTAGACAATAGAATTAGATTTTCAACATTAAACCGCAGTAGATTCTTTTATATTCCCATGTGGTCTTATATCTCAGTGGTCCTAGTCTATTCAGTTAAGTATAATTAATTTCTGTCCTGTGATTGTGACTTTTTTTTTTTAAGTTTCGATACTTTTGAAAACATGGTGAGAGTTAATCTAAAAGTCATGGATAATTTACAATAAACCATGCACAGATAATGACAGGTGAGTCATAATGATGGGTTCCTCAATCTATTCAAAGCTGTTATTAAAAAGAGCTCATCTTAAAAGTAAAAATAAATGTGTCTGTTTAAAATGTTTTCCGATTTTTAGATTTTTAATTTTGGTGTGTGTTTCTGTTTCAGTTTTGTTTCTTTTTAGGGCAGGTTCTAAATGATGCTGATCTAAATATTTGCTTTCATATCAGACAATAGGATTTAAGTTCATTTGCATAAACCAACACGTGAGAGAGTGCGTGACTGGACACTTCCCTTTTTTTAATGACGGTTCATAAAAGTAACATGAAGAGCAAACAAAATCTGTGAGCAATGTCAATGAATCTCTTTATTCTTCAAGTGAATGGGCTGTAGAATCGAACACAAAAGTGCAGAGGTTTTATTTTTTATTATAGACGGCACAGGCATTTAAAACACCGGTCAAAAGTTTTAGAACACCCAAATTTTTCCAGTTATTTATTGCAATTCAAGTCGGGCAAGTCCAGTGAAGAGCTTGAAATGGGACAAAGGTAAAAACTGAGGTTAAAAAAAAAAAAGATAAAAGATAAAACACAAGTCCAAGCTCTGCCAAAACTACCTCAGGAAAAAAGAAGAAGGCGATAAAGCTTGAAAACATGGAGTGTCCAGCAGCAGCACAGTGTCCAGACTTAAACCCCATCGAGCTGGTTTGGGATGAACTGGACAGAAGAGTGAAGCGACCTACAAGTGCCACACATTTACGGGAAACTTCTGCCACAGACTTGGGAAGAACTTTCTGAACAATATTGGATTTCTGTTGTAAAAAGAACAAGCCACGAGTTTGTTCAGCTGTTATATCTGCCAAAGGTGGACACGCACCATCAATCAAAAGTTAAACAGTCAACAGTAAAGGAGTAAAAAACTGGATAAAGTGTGGTGTTTTAAAACTTTTCTGACCTGTAGTGTACTCTGCGTGTTTTCAAAATAGAACCATTTACAACAAGAAGAAGTTAAGAAAAGAAAGTGTTACAATCGTTTAAAAGTGGCTCATTGGAATACATACATAATAAGGTTAATAAAGAATATCAAAACACAGATATTAATCAAAACTAAATCTAGTATTGAAACTAGATGCTCAAGGATCATTAGCCTGATTCATCAGCTGGTTTCACTTCGTAGAAACCGTCTGACCTCGCAGCATTAGGATTCGTTCGCTCGACTGTAGGCGGGTACTTTTTTATTTAACCAATCGCTGCTAATTGGTCGTGACGTAATGCGCCAAATCCCGTAGGAAGAAGGGCAATAACGTCTTTCCCCTTGATAAAATTCACCAAACATTCTCTTTGTTCCGGCTTTAAATCCTCGATCTCTGGAATCGTTGCCAACACAGAATGTTTGGCTCTTCGCTGATTGGTTGGTGCCCGAACTCGCACTTCCGGGGTTCCTGCGAACCGTCTAGTGTATTCTGATTCCTGACCTAGTCACTGGAGAGAAATGAAATTGAGTAGAGGCACTAGGTGGCGCCAGCCTGGCTAAAGGATCACATAAATTGGACAAAATGTGTCTTTTTAATCTTAGTCTTGATCTGTATTTCATAAATAAGACCACACAGTAGACTTTTATAAAACACTATTACTTTGTGCTGAAAATTACTCTAATTTTATATATTTTTTAATTACAATTGGGGTATCAAAGTTCAAGCATTAATATTTGCATTAGTTTTTGTCACAATACTAAATTTTAAATTTAGATACTAAGGAATAGGCTTGATACTGATTCTGATACCACAGTGATGATACAAAATACTGTTTAGTTAGACAACAGAATGTGATTTTCAACATTAAATATTAGTACTTTTTTATAATACCTTGTGGTTTTATATCTCTCTAATCCCTCAGTCGTCCAGGTTTCGTAGTGGTCCATGTGTCTATACTAGTCTATTGTATGTATTTATTGCCTTGTTTTTGTAGATTTTAATGTGAATACTGCTGGATTTTTTTTTTTAACTAAATAAATCAAATCAAATTATACTTCAGATTATTCTAAAGCTATTCAGGAAAGGTATATTTCTGTCCTGTGAATGGGACTTAAATCTAGTTTTGATATTAGTCTGAGTATTGATTAGTAGGGATGTAACAATAACCCAAATTTGTGAAATCGTATCATCAAAAGTCACACAATAATATCATGGACTGTCACAATATATCGAATTACAAGTTCCTTTGCTTAATTGCGTGGTTTTATAGTAGCAACATCTTATAAACATCGGAAACTACATATCCCATGATTCATTTTGGTGCAGACAACATGAATATATTTTTTTACTTGAATTCTTGGGATTATGACGGAAATAATTCACACCAAAATCTTTTCAAAGTATTTTAAAAGCAAAAAAGTGTCAGAATATCGCAATAATATCGGACCGAGAGATTTGGATATCGTTATTGATTAGAGTCTGGTTTTCTGTACTTTTGCCAGCCCTAATATTAATCTTTCTTCATCCACTCTGATTCCTTCCACGTCTAAACTTCCTCTGCGTGTGTCTGTGTTTGTCGTGTGTTTGTCTCAGTCTCGGGAGCTGGAGCAGCACGTGGAGCAGGGCCAGGTGCTCGCCGAGTACGAGGACATCCCCAAGCGCTGGCCGTCCGCTGAGTGCTCCATCGCCCGGCAGCCCGAGAACGAGGAGAGGAACCGCTTCCAGGACGTCCTGCCCTACGACCACAACCGCGTGGAGCTCATCCCCACCAAGGAGAACAACACGGGCTACATCAACGCCTCGCACATCAGGGTAAGGCACGCGACACGACATTTTAAATCGCAATATTGATCTAAAACAACTAGTGCTGTCAGTCGATTACAGTATTTAAGCACGATTAAATTCATGAATGTCATAGTTGACTCGTGATTAATCGCACATTTATCGCACTTTTTTTTTTTTCAATATAGAAAAGTGGATAGGCTTTGTGGATTTATTTTTTTATATATATATATATTGCAGCTAGGGGTGTGCACAAATATTGAAATATCTATATCTTGTATCGTTTAATGTGATGGTACAGTATCGATATTGTAGTCTGCTGTATCCATACATCACCAAGAGTATTTATTTTACTAAGTTATTTTGTTACAGAGCTACAGTTTTGTTGTTTTGTTTAGAGGAAGGGAACTCGTTTATGCGACACATTTGACATTTTCACTGTTTTGATGCTTAAAATGTTTGTGTTTCATATGAACTTTGCACAAGAAGTGGTTTAACAAAGACTTTTAGTGTCACAGCCATGATTTAGCCTTTATTTTTTATTAAACCATAACGAATCGATTTGAAATATATATCGTATTGAATCGTATCGAACCAAAAGCTCACTGTATCAAGGTATGTATCAGATCGGCAACTTCTGAATGATGCCCAGCCCTAAATGCATCTGTGTTTGCGAGCGTGTTTGTCCCAACGCTGCTGTACTCAGGGCGATGATGTCATCACACGGCGCTGTTTGTTTACATGTGGCGCACCAGAGCGAATTCTTTAGAGGAGAAAATAAGTCCAGCGGCAGAAATATTTATTAAATAATGAAACCGATATGAGTCCTGCTGTGATACGCGCTCCTCCGTGAGTTTATGGAGATAAAAACAGCTCGGAGCAGTGAGAACAGCCGGAAAAGAACCTTCTGTCTCTGTCACAGTCCTTATCGAAGGTCAGAGCCGATTCTCCGTATGTTTTAGAGCAGTTTATTTCATGTTTTCTTCGAATGAATAACATCAGTGCACCTGACACGGCTTCTCAGTGTCGTACAATTTGTTTTGCTTATTCTTTACAGCCGGATCCTGTAGTTTTTTCTAGCATTATAGCAGTGACCACAGCTTATGAAAAAAGTAGTTTGTGGGAAAAAAAATGTATTGTTGCTAAAATTGTTTCGCATTAACTCATTAATAATGCAATATTTTGACAGCTCTAAAAACAACTTAATAAAACAAACAGCTGACCCCAGAGTTAGAAAACTGTGCGAGCTGGCGTCACCGTAAACGTCGTCACAACAAAACGCCGCTTGCTGTGGGATGAATGCGCATAACACCAGCGCAGTGTTTCTCAGTTATTTCTGTCAAGCCCCCCTGGAAAGAAGAAAACATCTTGCACTCCTCCACTCTCCACCGTGACTATAAATAGTATCATTTGTATTCACAGAGCGGGATGATTGTTGGCAGTATTCGTCACATTTTCTCAGCATGTTTGGGGTGTTTTTTTTAGTGACGCCTTAATTTATTTGGCTTCATGCTGTCCACTGCCAACAGTTTTAGACATTCTAAGATTCTCTGAGGTGCGACGTCATAACTCTGAGATCTATACAGTTCTATTGTGGCCTTTTTGAGCTAATGTAATCTTTGATTTGAACACTTGGGTGGAGTTGGTATTCATATGTTTGCTATGATATTTAGTAGATCATTAACAGGTGAAGGGTTGGTTTCTTTTGGCACAGCTCCACACACAAACGGGAAGAACGTACACAGGCGAAAGGGGAACTAGATTTCAGTCTAAAGCTGATGATTAGAGAGCCACAAGAGCAGATCATTACACAACTCTGAGGGAAAGGTAAAGCTGAGGACACACTAGACGATTTTTGAAGTCTGATTCGATCGAGTCGTGAAAATCAAAGTGTGCACTGTGGAAAGACTCGACTAGACTCCAGTCGCAGTCATTCAAACATGTTTGTTTTATTAAAGTTGATTTAGGAGCGGACTGTTTACTGTCCCTCCCCCACACACACTGGGAAAAATGCCTTTCATAAGATAAAGGCAAAAACAGTGTCAGTCAAAACAAAAATGCCAGAGAGCTACCAAGTTCAGCAGTCGCAAAGAAACCCAGTAAATATAAAGCCCAATTTATTGTCATGCGTCAAATCATCGGTGTCATCTTGACCGACGTGCACCTCTGAAATGTTGTAACTATGTCTTGAACTGATGCAGACCATAAGGGCTGTGATTGGTCTTCTCTACTTCCGCTCAACATAACATTAAATCCTAGCCTCCTAGCGTTGTGGTGATGAATTTGCGGCGCATAGACCTTGATGCAGATCCATAAATCAAAAACGATGGTGACAAGGTGAAAGCGGCAGTGTGTGTTGAGTCAACGCAGGACAGCAATCCAGGGAAACAGTTGGATAACGGTTTATGTTTTATAAGCATCTATTTATTGGTGCACCAGGTTGGGCATAAAATGATACATGTACAGTGGGGTTCGATCAAGTGGTAACGGAGGGAAATAGGGGCAGATTTTTGACATTCAAATGTCTCTTATTCAGAAACTAGAGGAACTATTGAAATAAGTAAAGTATCAGAATGTAGGAAAGAGTTACACTCCAACAGGGTCAAGTTAAACCTGTGATATTCTTTCAAGTTGTCGACAAAAAATTTAAAAAACTCATGTCGGTAACGGAGGGAATGAAATATGCAGCACTTTTTGGGCAATAAATCCAAACAGTGATAACTCTTGGTTCTCACTTACATATCCTTAACAAACTGGTTTGAATATTTGCTTCATATAGTTTTCTACCATATGGTACAAGATTAGGTTGAAAAACCTCTTACTTTTTGACTCATGAGATTTTTTATTAAGAAAGGTCATGGTAACAGAGGGAAAAGTAACGGAGGGAAAATTGTGCAAACAAGTAGAAGGTGCATGATTTTACATCATTTGTCGCTTTTTTCTTCCGAATACTTTAATATTACTTCAAAATGAAAGGAAACTATTTCTATAAAATATGTCAGTCCTTCCAAGCAAATTTTTATCATTTTAAAATTTTATTTTTTTTTAAATCATGTCCCTTCATCAACAGTTCAAAGATGGAATAACACAAGATATGATGAAATACATCCATTTATTTACATGATTTGCAGGTCTTTGCAGGAAATTTGGGAAATAATTTTTGTTCCATGTTTCATACATGGTCTGTTAAAAACATATGTAACTTTAGAACCAAAAATGGTCCAGAAAAAAGGTAAACAGTTTCATAAACTAGAGTACATATGTATCTGTTCAATACATTTTTATATCAGATGCATTAACTTGAATTTTTGGCCTTGCTGTTTACTTGACCGGACCCAATGGTAATTAAACAAATTTGACTTATTCACAATACAGAGAATTCAGAAATCCCTTGGCGAGCTGCTTGGACGTGGGTGGAGAGCTACAGGTTGTACAGTTTATCTGTGTCATGCAGAAGTGTGTGCAGTGCGGCCCCTGCAGAGCATTCCAGTGCTGATCGTCTTGATAAAGCAGTGTGACATGTTGTTCCAGATGACGGTGAGCGGGCAGGAGTGGAGCTACATCGCCTCGCAGGGCCCTCTGCAGCACACCTGCTCAGACTTCTGGCAGATGGTGTGGGAGCAGGGCGTCTCCATCATCGCCATGGTGACGGCCGAGGAGGTGGGTGCCGTCATTCAGCCCGTCCTGTCGTGTCATGTAATGAAACTTCACAGTGGCAAGATTAGATTAAAGTTTAACTTGACAGGGCTCCCTGGAAAAGTCATGGAATTTTAGTATCTTTTTCATGCAACTACAGCGTTATGTTAAGTTCTGTTATGAATATTTCTGAACGTCTGCGTCTTTCTTTTTGTTTAAAAGAGACGACAATAAATGCACTGACAGTATTTTGAATGTTAAAAAACTATAATCCCAAACCATAAGGTGAGTGGAAAGAGTTAACATTTCATATTTAGCCTAAAAGTCTGATTAATTCTACACATGTAAGTGCTGTAAAGTCATGGAAAATTCACTTTAGGTCATGAAAAAGTCATGGAAAAGTTTTGAAATTTTGTCAGTGGAAAAAAAGTGGGAACCTTGACTTGAGGAACAGAATTTCAGACAGACAGTGCCTCCGGTTAGCTGTGAATTACGCCACATGGATCTTTAAACCGCTCAGAATTCCTTGTTTTAAATCTGTCACAAAAACAAACAAAACACTACAGCCAAAAGGACAAAAAAATAAATAAATTCAAACAAATGTGGTATCAGAAGTGTGGTACTTTAAGAACCGTGTGAGAATAAGTGTGTCAAAGGTCCGTTACCCAGTTGACAAAATAAAAGTTATTTGAATGCTTTTAAAACATGAACAGTTTAAAATTTACAAAACTTTAAGCTGAATCTGTGTATCATTCGTTCATTACTTTTTCAATGTAAAACCAAAAATAAGAAAATGAAAACGGTTTTCTTCATTATTTGTCTCCAAAACCAAAATGAAAAAACGGGTAACGATTCATTTTTTTCAGTTTTTGATTTTGTTTTTAAATTAATAATAATGGAAAAAACGGATAACGGCGGTTTTTTCGTTTATGTGACTTAAACTGCGACTTAAACGTGACTTAAACTTTTGCGCCACATACAGACTGAACCAGGACTAAACCAGGACCAGATCAGAACCAGACCGGGACCAGACCAGGATTGAAAACGGTTTAGTCCTGGTTTAGTCCTGTTTTAGTCCTGATTCAGTTATCCATTTTTTTTTTTTCATTATTTATTTAAATACAAAATCGAATACTGAAAAAACAAATCGTTACCTGTTTTTTTTTTGTTTTTGTTTTTTGTTTTTCATTTTGCTTTTGGAGACAAATAATGAAGAAAATTGTTGTTTTTTTGTTTTCTTATTTTTGGTTTTATATTGAAAAACGAATGAACGAATGATACACGGATTAAGCTGGTGAAATCATTCTTTATGTCTGCTGAAAATATTTAATTACTTGAGCAAAAACAAAACTTTTCCACTTTTTACTGAAGTGAAATGTACACCTATAATTATAGAATCTCCCTTGATTGAACGCTAAGCCTGGCATTTAACATCTTTAACAGAACTGCAGACAGAGCAGTGCCTCCAGTTAGCTCCTGTCTCCTCAGCTGCAGGGTGTCGGTGTGTGCGGCGCATTAAACCTCTGCTGTTGTTCTCAGGAGAGCGGGCGAGAGAAGAGCTTCCGGTACTGGCCTAAACTGGGCACGCGTCACCCGCACGTGACCTACGGCCGCTTCAAGATCACCACGCGCTTCAGGACCGAGTCGGGCTGCTACGCCACCACCGGCCTCAAGATCAAACACCTGCTGACGGGACAGGAGCGCACCGTGTGGCACCTGCAGTACACCGACTGGCCCGACCACGGCTGCCCCGACGACTTCAAGGGCTTCCTCAGTCAGTCTAAAGTCACTCTTCTACCCTTCACTCACTAAAAACACGAAGGCGCTTCACCTGTGACACTGCACAGACCTCAGAGCTTTTGTGGAAACACTGTAGGACGAGCAGCGTGTTGTGGAAACTACCAGAACTGTTTAGAAAACAAGTGGGCTTTGGTCAAGAGGCTGCTCAGTCCTGAGGGGTGATTATAACAGGCTGGGACTGTGTTTACTCTTTACTCTTATTCTTTTATTTTTATTTATTTTATTGTTTATTGTCTTATTATTAAAAAAAATATATCAAACTTAAAATCATGCAGGAATAACATATCAGCCTAGAACTGCTGTGACGCGCCTTAAGAACAAACAAGTTTATAAAAACGACGATGTTTAGGTCGACTTGTGTTAATATCTCAGTCCCAAAGTTTAGAAAGAAGAATGTTTTTGCCTTTCTCACACGCTACATTTCCAGAGATGATAAAAGCCTCACATCAGCGTTGCACATGTGGTCACCTGGGACTCACACAACCGTACTTCCCTGTGTGAGTTTGGTGTTGTTGTGTTTGCAGCGTACCTGGAGGAGATCCAGTCTGTGAGGAGACACACCAACAGCATCAGTGACCCCAAGAGCAGCAGCAGCAGCCCTGTGCTGGTGCACTGCAGCGCCGGGGTCGGCCGCACCGGGGTCGTCATCCTGTGTGAGGTCATGATCGCCTGTCTGGAGCACAACCAGGTACTCCCCATACACTCTGTTTACCAGGTACTCCCCATATACACGCGCTCTGTTAAACAGGCTCTCAGCTACTAGATAGACATAGACTGTATGAACATAAATAACGTGGTAGCCGCTCTGTTCCAAATAGAAAGTGCACCAGGGGCTCTTCTGGCTCCTTCTGACTCTGGCTCCCATTGACTGACAGCAGAATATCGTTGGCTTCTCTCTGTAATTGCTGCTCTGAGCCTCGTCATTTTGGTCTTAAAATGTTCATATTAACTTGCTCTACATGATCCTGGGTTTTTTATTTCACTGTTTTGTCCATTAATAAGTTCCTATTCCTAATATGGAACCTGGCTCCAAATTCACCCTTATAACCGTTAATATCGTGAGTGTCATTTGACTGAAGCCGAGCGCCTCACAATCCCATAGTCCACTTCTTTATACGGTCTATGGCTGCTCCCCACACATGAACTCTGTACTATAGCCTCAGACGTTTCACTGTGTTTCTAATGTGAGTACATTAGACTAACCCTGTGCTTTGTGTGTGTATGTGTGTGTGTGTGTGTGTTTGTGTGTGTGTGTGTGTGTTTGTGTGTGCAGCCCGTGGAGGTCCCCATGGTGTTGGAGCAGCTGAGGCAGCAGAGGATGCTCATGGTGCAGACCGTGTCCCAGTACAACTTTGTGTACAAGGTGCTCATCCAACACCTGAGGAACGCCCGCCTCATCTGACAGAGAGAGAGAGAGCTCTGTCTGCAGCGATGATCTGTGACAAAGCTCAGGACAGTATTACAACGGGCAGGTGCACACCTGCCAACAGTGTTACGTACAACTTATTTTACTCAAAGATCAAAGATCAGCACTTTTGGACTCACTGAACCAGTCCTACTGTGTCAGAAATGTCACTGGGACTCAGACTCTGAAGAAGAAGACAATGACATATGTTATATTATTATTATTATTATTAATATTATTATTATTATTAAGGATGGATTGTTTTATGAGGACGACAGTGGACACAGAGTGGACACAGATTTAAATGTTGGTTGTATGAAGTGCGCCCCCTGCAGGGCTGCTCTCTGTTGTTCTGACTCAAAGGAGCGGCTCAACTGGAACCATCTGTGAGTTCTACAGCAGCAGCATAGTGATGAGAGCTAAGTTAGTCCTGGCCAAACCAAGTCCAGAAGATGGACCTGAAGTGCCAACGACAATGAAGGAAGGGTCAGATTCTCCTAGAGGAGGTTGTATTTACCTTTGTGGTGCCAACAGCGCGGCCCTCCTCCTCTGCAGCCCAATGAAACAAACCAGTGACAATTCAGCACAGTGAGACGTCGTGTAATCGTGCCTAAACTCATGCCTGACAATGAAGGATTTACATGGTCTTTTATATTTTAAAATCTTTTGAACAAACCCCAGTGCCTCGTTTTGTATGTAAGCTTTTGGACTTGTTTTTTACCTCTGTGGTTGTGGTGCCTCAGGCCTGGTCCTGACGTCTGCTCATGTGGCAAAAGCCTCTTTACCAAAGTGCAGTGTTGTGCTGCTGTGTGCGGACGGCGTGTGGACGACGTGTGTGCGCGATTTAGTGACGTGGAATGAAGCTTTGTTTTTACGAAGGTCTCCCTGGAGACTGAGTTTCCTCTGGCTGGTGTGCGCTGTACAGGTCTGCTGTTCATATTGTAAAGAGTTTCTGTGGCTTTAATTCTTGTACACATGTAAAAATGTAACTACTGAACAAACAATGCTTTTCAGATGTGTGGCCAATAAATATTTAAGGAAAAATTACTTTAATGTCATTGTTTATTTAGAAATTCAGTCCATGGTGCCCTCTGCTGGGACAAACTAGATCTACACAATACAAAAAAAAAACACTGTTCAACTGCTCATTTCATCTTTTCACAGTTGTACATATCAAATGTTACTACATAATTATGTATTTTCCACATAAAAAGCATGCGTTTCACTACTCGTGTTTTCCTATGACAAAAAGGCAACGAGCCACGTTCCAGAATAACACCTGCACCCGACTGTCTCCGTTTGTAATTAAAGATCCATTAAAGGTGCATTGTGCAACTTTTGTTTGTCTCCCTGGCTTTGCCTAGAATGTATAAGTTCTAGTCCAAAAAATACTGTATACAAGTCACTTTTTTTTCATGGTTTGGGTGTTTCCTGCAACTTAATACTCCGGTGCGACTTGTATATTAAAATATTCACACTGAAAACTTGAGAGGCTCTAGTCTTGTGTGCTCCTGTACATCATTTCGCTCTATTGTCCACGTCGGCTGCAGAAGAAAGAGCCTCTGTCCTGTCTGTATCATGTCAGTCGATCACACCATTACTTCTGAACCACTGACAACTTAATTTAAACAAAGACGACGGAAACCATCTTGTCGGGATTCAGAAAGGCCGGAATAATTCTAACTGGAACTGATGCCGAGTCTGACGACAGCGACACAGAAGAGGAAACGATGCTCCGTTTACCTCCAGAGGTTGAGAAGTGACACCGAGGATGAAGAATTGGATGGATTTAGTGATTTGGAGTGAGATGGAGAGTTTGTTAAACTTGTTCTGTTGTTTCTGTTATAGTTTATCTGAAGAACTGTTCATATGTGACGTTGACAGTCTGTTGTTCTCTCTTCTGTTGTTATTACTAGAACTTCACTTTCAACATAAAAAGTCAGTTCCTGGTCTCTTGATTTTACAACATAAATTTCCCCCAAAAAGTGCAACTTATATATGTTTTTTCCTTTTTTATAACACATTTTTCGGCAGGTGTGACTTATACTCCGGAGTGACTTATAGTTCTAAAAATACAGTAAGTATAAGTTGCACGATTAAGTGTTTCTGTTGCTAAAAAAGACATTTAAAAAACATCTGACCTCGAACGTGGCCTGGTGATGATTTTAGAACCATCGCAGTCAAAACAACGACATCACCATGGAGACAAGTGGAGGCTAAATGTTACACAGTGCACCTTTAAGTCTCTTGGTAATACAGTAAATAAAGCGGGCTAATACTGGTATCGTCCTCTCTTCCCTCCGTGTCCTCCTTGTCCTCCTCCGTAGCCCCCATATCCCCCCTGTCTTCCCTGTCCTCCATACCCTCCCCCATACCCGCCGTGTCCCCCATGTCCACCGTGTCCTCGGTTCCAGCCTCCTCTTCCTCCTCCTCCTCCTCCACCACCACCTCCTCCTCCTCCTCCTCCTCCTCCTCTCCAGCCCCCTCCTCCTCCTCGGCCGCCCCAGCCCCCTCCTCCTCCCCCGTCCTGTCTCTTCTGCCAGGGCGGCATCTCCGGGGGCGGGGCTTGGATCTCCGAGGGTCGTCCTCCTCGGTCCGGGACTCTGCCCATTAAGACCTGAGGCAAGAGGAAGGAAAGAAGTTAAAACACAGACGGTTCCCCTCGTTCAAAGCAACCGCAGACGCACTTTTAAACGAATTTGAGGGTTTTTTTTTTAAGTCTTGACTTCGACTTACTCCACCAGATTAAAGTCTGATCTGTGGACCCAAATTCATAAAACTTGTGATTATGATTTTCAAAAAGTTCTGGAGAGATTCTATACACCCGGTTCCCACAGTCATGGAAATCCTGGAAAAGTCATGGAATTTTAGCATCTTTCTCCATCTCGGCTTGGGCAGTGTAGACGGAAACGCTCTCTCTGGAGGGTGGTTTCAGATTTTTGCGTTTTTAAACCCCAAAAAACATTTTTTGTCGTTTTTACCCGCAAGCGTTCTTGTGCAAACAGGCCCTTAGATTCCTCTTTTTTTTCTGTATACAGAATTCCCACTCTTTTTCACTGACAAAAAAATAACTTTTTCATGACCTAAAGTGAATTTTCCTTGACTTTACGGCACCTACATGTGTAGAATTAATGATACTTCTAGGGCAAAATATGAAATGTTAACTCTTTCCACTCACCTTTTGGTTTAGGATTATAGTTTTTTTAACATTCAGAATACTGTCAGTGCATTTATTGTCGTCTCTTTTAAATAAAAAGTGCAAACGTTCGGAAATAATCATAATAGTCTAATGAGAATGCTGTAGATGCGTGAAAGAGATACTAAAATTCCATGACTTTTCCAGGATTTCCATGACCATGGGAACCTTGTGAATAGAATCTCTCCAGGACTCCGTGAAAATCACAAGCACAAGTTTTATAAATTTGGGTCCACAGATCAGACTTTAATCTGGTGGAGTAAAGTGAGTCAAGACTTTAAAAAACAAACAAACTCAAATTCATTTAAAAGTGCATCTGCGATTAGATTTGAACGAGGTACTCAGTCTGTAGTGGGAGTTCTTTCTTCAGTTCCGTGTCTGAGTACCTTATTGACGGCGCAGCAGGTTTTCTCTCGACTCGAGCCGCTGCTTGTCTTCACTATGTGGCACAGATCTTCTCTGGCGGCCAGCACAGAGCTCAAGTCCACAGAGGAGGAGAGTGTGAGGGAGTGTCTCTTGGGCTGGTACACCCGCGCCATGCTGTCCACCTTCACCTGACACAAACACAAACACCAATGCTCACATTAAAAGGGCTGTGCCCAGACAGTCACTCTCACAGTGACTCTGACTTGAGTAAATTGTTTGGACGCTTCATGTGGTTTAAGGTCTGAGATCTTCTGTACCTTGGCTCGGTCTGACCAGCCGAACGACTGGATGGTGACGTCCAGTCTCTTGATGAGCATCTTCCTCCTGCTCTGGTACTCGGAGTTCAGCACCTGGTTCACCTGCTGCAGCTTCTCCTGCAGATCACACACACGAAGACCTGAGCCCCAGACACACACACACACACACGAAGACCTGAGCCCCAGACACACACACACACACACACACACACACACACACACACACACGAAGACCTGAGCCCCAGACACAGACACACACACACACACGAAGACCTGAGCCCCAGACACACACACACACGAAGACCTGAGCCCCAGACCACACACACACACACACGAAGACCTCCAGACACACACACACACACGAAGAGACCACACACACACACACGAAGACCTGAGCCCCAGACACACACACACACACACGAAGACCTGAGCCCCAGACCCACACACACACACACGAAGACCTGAGCCCCAGACACACACACACGAAGACCTCACACACACACACACGAAGACCTGACACACACACACACAGACACACACACACACACACACGAAGACCTGAGACACACACACACACAGACACACACACACACACACACGAAGACCTGAGCCCCAGACACACACACACACGAAGACCTGAGCCCCAGACACACACACACACGCGAAGACCTGAGCCCCAGACCCACACACACAAAGACCTGAACTGTTCGACTGAATGAGCCCCAGACCCACACACACACACTGACCCACTGCTCTGAGTTCAGACTCGTCTTCAGCACCGGGTCTCCACAGCTGCCTCCAGGAAGCTTCTGCAGGCTGGTCTGCACCTGCCCACATCATGCATCATGTCATTTAGTGCTTAAATCCTTTAATACTTCACTTGTCCCCTCGTTTTGTGTGTACCTTGTTGTGTATGTGAGACAGCATCTCTGTGGCGCCCTCTCCTGGTGCTGGTGTGAGTTGCAGACTCTCACAGAGGCGGCTGAGCTCCTCACACTCAGGTCGTTCTCCAGAGCGTTTGTGGGCGGAGCCTCTGGAGCTGAGGATCTGAGCCGCCTGCAGCTCCGAGCACAAAAACACTGCACACACAGAGTAGAGACGACAACAATGAAGACGCCATGAGGACAGTTACAGGACAGAGACACATCAGGTCACTGGAGCTTTCACATAAACTGATAATGACGTGTGACTGTTGGAGTGTGTTTACAGGACAGAAAATCATCAAAACAAATCATCAAAAATGAGGCGCCAGTGGCAAAAAAAAACAAAAACCTGTCATTGTGTCCTTAGGCAAGAAACTTCACCCACAATGCCTAGTATGAAAGAGGTGTGAGCGTGAGTGATGGTGGTGGTCAGAAGGACCGATGGCACAGAATGGCAGCCTCGCTTCCGTCAGTCTGCCCCAGGGCAGCTGTGGCTACAGTAGTAGCTTACCACCACTAAGTGTGGAGTGACTGAATAATGAACTGTAAAGCGCTTTGGGGATCTTGAAAGGCGTTATATAAATGCAATCAATCAATCAAAACACCTGGTGACACGCGTCAGTGAATCAGGGGATTTGGAGACTGACTGTTGGATTTGGAAAACAAAGGGCAGTGGATTTTAACATGACTCGATTTTCTCTTTCATTTTTGTCTTTGTCAAAACCTGCGCAGGTGTGAGTGAGCAGAAAGAAATCAGATTCCTCACATTAGATCGAGCGATTTACATGACATTTCCAGACACACAGACACATCTAAAAAAAAAACAATGAATGAACAAGAAGCAGCGTTTACACGGGCCAATAGTTTGTACAAACACTGTTTTTTTCTCGTAACACCCCATTACTCACATACAACAGGCTCATCACCTGCATGACTCCGTGGAAACACAAAGTTAAAACCATATTTTGGAACATTCTCCATGGAGATAGAAAAGTTTTATGCCGTACTGTGAAATATTATAGCCAAAGGAACAGCACAAGTTTTCCATTTGTTTTTCAGGGCAATAGTGAAAAAACAGGCTTTTGTTTTGGTGGTTTTGCCAAAAAAAAAAAAAAAAAAAAAAAAAAAAAGTTACATACCGTGGCTTTAATAATTTATTATTAATTAAATATATTCTTTTTTTTTTTTAGTATCACTGACTCAGAGCAGACGATCCTGATTTATGTAGTTCTCTGTACTTTTTTTTTTTTTACCATGTTTCCTTTTATTGTTGGATTATTCGCCAAAAACAAAGTATTAACACATTTTATAAGTTTTAACTTTTGTTTTTGATGCTCCCTTTGCCTCCTCTCCCCCTTCAGAGCACCATCAAACCACAATCAGTGTGCACTTCCACTCATGAAACTACTGCACATCGTACCAGGTTTGTTAAGTTATTGTGCAGTTTTGTTGGAGAAACATTGGACAGAATATTACTCAAACATGCCTGGAGGACTGCATGGATCTAAAAACCTCTTCAGACATGTTCTAACAGTGTAACGTGGCAGAAAGCTGAATGTCAGATGGTCGTGATGGGATACAATCGTACATCTCCAGCTGTTACACTCCTATGAGACTCACACACACACTGCAGGACGTCCCGGGGCTTCGTGGTCCCGTTCAGAAGCCTAGAGAGGAGCTCCTCAAACGGGCAGTGCAGCTCCTTCAGCAGCCCCCTCAGCTCCAGACGCAGGCTCTCCTCCTCCGCTGCACAACGGACAAACACAAAAAAACACAATCAAACACAATCACTGAGCAAACTCCTGGACTCTTCAGAGGACCACACTGGACTAACAGACGTACCCTAACTGGGTTTAACAAAGGCCTCAAAGTCATATTTTTATATTCTTATAGTCACATTTTTCATACAGTTTAAATCGGGGGAACCTCACAAACCACTTGGCACATTGTTCAAGTCCACGTGTTTATTTTGGGGCTTGTGCACAGATTCAGGACAGCGTTTTTTTCACACGGAGAAGAGAAACTGGTAGATTTTTCTCATGATTCAAGTTTATTATTATAACCTTCTCACTGTGTGAATAGTGGAGTTTATTTATTTACTGTTTTTATCTATTTTATTTTTATGTACGCGTTTATGTATTGATTTTATTATGTTTGTTCGTTTATTTTATTTTTATTATTTTATTGATTTATTCTATTAGTTTCCTCATGGTTGAAACATAATTCTGCTTATTTTTTTAATAGTAAAATGTTTTGTATTGCTATATGAAGCACTTTGTTAACTGTCTTGTTTATAAAATGTGCTATACAAATAAAGTTGGATTGGATTTAGTTTAGTTTAGTTTATGAAAGGACATTGTACAGATTAAACTCATAAAAACAGAGATGTTCTGCACTAGAGCGACACAATTTCCATCTGGAGGTGTTTGATATAAAACACTTTGAGCCCAGTGTTGTAGAAAAGCACAGTTTGAACAATGGACATGTGTGTTTACAAGTTGGTTCAATGTTTGGTTAGTTCAGATGCAGTTAGGACAGGTGTTACGGTGTGCAAAAATATCAAAATATCGTATTGTTTAATGTGATGATACAGTATTGATATCATGGGCTGTTGTATAGAGTATTTTTTGGTCGATTTTAAGGAAAGGAAACTTGTTTATGCAAGAAATTTGACATTTTCACTGTTTTGATTATTAAAATGTTTGTGTTTCATATTTACTTTGCACAAGACGTGGTTTAACAAAGACTTAAGCCAGGGGTGTCAAACTCATTTTGGTCCGGGGGCCGTATCCAACCTACTTTGATCCCGAAGGGGCCGGATCAGAAAACTCATGTCATATAAACCCCAAAAATAACAATAAGTTCAAATATTTGTGCAGAGAAACACAAATCTATTACAGAAATCGTTTTTAATTGATGAACTCTTTCTTATTATAATATTATAATATTATGAACAACCTGAAACTTGAAGAAAAATTCAATTTCAACACAATGTCTTAACATGAACTTGTATGTAAATAGAAATAAGTAAATTTTTCTTGGAAAATCTTGCACTCGGCTCCACTTTTCTCATGTTGGACATTTTTCTGATGAGGGTGTCACGGTCAACAGTCAAAACGATCGTCCTTTAAGAGCGTTTGGAAAGAGACAAGTCTTCATTTGTGCTGCTCTGGTGGGAGGGGCCACGTACAGAGACGCTGGAGACGCTGCTGTGATAAACACCACAGAAAATTACCAATATTTTAATAGAAAATATAATTAAAATATTTTAGTAGAAAATCACCCAAGGGCCACATTAAAGGTCTTGGAGGGCCGGATCTGGCCCCCGGGCCTTATGTTTGACACCTGTGACTTAAGCCGTTATTTTTTGTTGAACTGTATCGAATTGATTTGAAATATATCGTATCAAATCGAAAGTGCACTGTATCGAAATACGTATCAAATCGGCAACTTCTTAATGATACCCGGCACTATCACTTTTTTTTTTACATTTTGATCCTTTGACATTTTCACTGTTTTGATGATTAAAATGTTTGTTTCATATGAACTTTGCACAAGAAATGGTTTAACAAAGACTTTTAGTATCACAGACATGATTTAGACTTTATTTTTTACTGAACCGTATCGAATCGTTTTGAAATATATCATATCAAATCGAAAGTTCTCTGTATCGAGATGCGTATCATATCGTGGCCTGTGTATCGAGGTATGTATCGTATCGGCAACTTCTTAATGATACCCAGTAGGGATGGGCATGATTAATCGATAATTGATCATTAAGAATTTCATCGATTACGTTCAGTTTAATCGACAAATCGAATGTAGGTTGCTGTGTGTAGCGTGACCAAACAGGTGTGTACATGTGTCTCTGCATCAGAAGGAGCGAGACACAAACAGTGGGTCAGTCTGCAACGTACCGAAGCACAAATGTGTATTTAACGATGATTTGTACAAGAAATTCCACACTTTCCGTTGCGTTCGGGACAAGTGTGAGTCCATGTGCACAGTGGTATAAAGCAGCACATATGTTTCTGTGTCCAGTGGGAAAAAGTTTTGTCAGGTGAGAGTCGCTCAATGTCGATGACGAGTCCCCACCTCCCTCCCCCCGTACGGTGTCCTGGTTTTGACAAACGCAAATCTGGTCACACTAACCTGTATTCACCTGAGTCATGTCTTTTAATCCAACAGAAACTGAACCACATCAGCGACACAAGAGCTGTGGTTTTATCTTCACTTAGTTTATGCAAATTAGTGATGTGGTTTTAAGTTTTGTTTCTGTGAGATTTGAACAAAACTGAATTAAACACATTATAATGTCAAACGGGCTGATGTGGCTCTAGAGTCGTTACGGTTTATATGTTGTAAAGTTGAATTTATTTATGCAGATTAGTAGTGCAGATAGTAATAATAATGATGATCATTTTAATATAAAAACATTAATGATTAATCGATAATCGATCGTTAATTCTTCCGACGATCGATTAAGAAAATTTCATCGAATGCCCATCCCTAATACCCAGACCTAACAGGTGTAGAGGGCAGGTGTACGGGGCAGGTGTACGGGGCAGGTGTACGGGGCAGGTGTACGGGGCAGGTGTACGGGCAGTGTGTGTTCGGGGCAGGTGTTCGGGGCAGGTGTTCGGGGCAGGTGTACGGGGCAGGGCAGGTGTAGAGGCAGGTGTAGAGGGCAGGTGTAGAGGGCAGGTGTACGGGGCGGGGCAGGTGTCGGGGCAGGTGTTCGGGGCAGGTGTTCGGGGCAGGTGTACGGGCAGGTGTAGGGGCAGGTGTACGGGGCAGGGTGTACGGGGCAGGTGTGGGGCAGGTGTTCGGGGCAGGTGTTCGGGGCAGGTGTTCGGGGCAGGTGTTCGGGGCAGCTGTAGGGGGCAGGTGTAGAGGGCAGGTGTTCAGGGCAGGTGTTCGGGGCAGGTGTTCGGGGCAGGTGTTCGGGGCAGGTGTAGGCGGCGGGTGTGAGACTCACTGTGCCCTGCGGTGATGCTCTCCTCCAGCCCACACTGCTCCTGGAGCCTGGAGCTGAGCCACACCCAGAGCTCCAGCAGCTCAGAGGAGGACAGGCCGGCGTCTGCGGCCCCCAGCAGAGCCCCCTCCTTCAGCAGAGGGCCCGAGTACCTGACACCACCATGGACACACAAACAGGAAACAGGATTACTGACTGTGAGCGGGCACGGTAATAAAATACTTTACATTTGCATTCATCTGAAATAGTTTTGAAGAATAATGCTGGCAAAAGTTTGGAACTCAAAAATTACATTACAAAGGCATTTTTATATAAATATTAGTGTGAGTAGACGTCCCTGTTTACCCGGGACAGTCCCAGTTTGGAGCCTGTGTCCCCCTGTCCCAGCAGATTTATCCAAAACCACTGATTTGTCCCAATTTTATACAAGAAATGTCCCAGGTGCCTCTATTTTTGACCAATCTGATCCCTTCCAACAGTAAAAAGAGGCATTTAAAGTCAAATGTTTTTGTTCAAATACAGAAAACTGAGCTTGAAAATTGACAGAAAAAAATACACAATACACTCATGATAAAAGTATCTCATGTTACATACAGATACACAAGTGAGTTAGTTGAGAATGGACTGAGGGTGTCAAAATTTTACTGTACACCAAACGTAGGGTGACCAGATTTTCAAAAAAAAAAAAAAAAAAGGGACACCCTTGGTTTGGGATGGTTGGTAAAATTGTGAAACGAGTGCGTAATTAAGGAAAATGATGCACTCTGCCCATTCATGACTAATACGTGAGTCAGTATAGTCACATTTTCTTTGTGTTTTGCTCATTTTTTAGGCAGAGTTTTTGTATTTTACTTAAATAAATGACAGTTTATGCCTCTCTGTACTGTTGGCAGGGATCAAATTGCAAAAATAGAGACACCTGGGACATTTTTTGTATAAAACTGGGACAAATCACTGTTTTGTATAAACCTGCTGGGACAGGGGACACAGAGCTCAAACCTGGGACGGTGTCGGGTTAAATACGGACATCTGATCACCCTAATTGATTAAACAACCCAACGTGTGTGTGTCCCAGTTTAGAATTTTGAAAATCTGGTCACATTAAGCAAAATAAATCTATTGTTTAGTCATGATTTCTTTTGACATCAGCTTCGTTTGTGGACTGGAGTTTGATATTAACATATTTTATTTGACTTTTTGACGTCTGTAGGGTGGAGACTCTCAGGTTGGGATGTTTGGTATAAATAAAATTGTAAAAATGAGAGAGTAACATCGTGGATTCTTTTGTCATTCATAATCTGATGGGTATTGATCTTTACTTTTTTTTTTTTTTTTTTTGCTTTATGGTCACTCGCAAACACGTTTTTTTGTATTCTGGATTAACAAATTACAATTTATGCTCCTCTTTACTGTTGCCTGAGATAATTTCTTGTATAAAACTGGGACAAATCACAGTTTTTTTGTGTAAATCTGCTGGGACAGGAGACAGACTCAAAACTGGGACTGTCCCGGGTAAATAAAAACATCTTATCACCCTAATGTGACATCTGCAAACAACCTGAGAATAATAATGTTCTTCCTGCAGGTTTTTAGCGTTAATTAAATGATAATTGCATAAATACAGTCCTGGAAAAACAACATTATCGGTGCAGTTTTCGTCTTTCATGTTTATTACGGGAGTCAGGGAACATTTGTCTTACCCGATCTGCTCCAGCGAGTCCAAAATCTCGTTCTCCATTTCGCAGTTTTAGTCTAAACAAACGCACATCTCCTCACAACAACAGCACCGGGAAAACTACGCACATTTCGTGTTTATTTTTCATTCATTTGCGCAGCGCTGCCATGTTTCCATTGTTGTCCAGCGCTATTACACGCCCGGACCGAAACACCGAACAAGACCTATCAAAGGTTCCGCTTTGCTTTGTTTATTATTTATTAGTATAATTATTTATGAGCAGTGTTGGGAAGGTGACTTTTAAAATGTATTCCCCTACAGATTACAGATTACATACCCCAAAATGTAGTTTGTAACGTAATCCATTAAATTACTTAAAGTGAGTAATGTAATCTGAATACTTTGGATTACTTGATTTGCTGTAGAGAAGCAAAGACGAGGAAATTGTAACATAAAATGTTTTGTCTGATAAAAGAAAATAAAAAGCCCAGACTTTACTGAACCAAATTAAAAATATTATTGATAGAAGAAGAGGAGACACGGTCCACACAGCATGATTTAGTCCAGTTAAATCCTGTTTGAGGCATGGTTTAGACCTGGTTTTAGTCCTGGTTTAGTTCTAGTTTAGTCTTGGTTTAGTCCTGGTTTAGACCTGGTTTAGACCTGGTTTAGACCTGGTTTAGTCCTAGTTTAGTCCTAGTTTAGTCTTGGTTTAGACCTGGTTTAGACCTGGTTTAGTCCTAGTTTAGTCTTGGTTTAGACCTGGTTTAGTCCTGGTTTAGTCCTAGTTTAGTCTTGGTTTAGTCCTAGTTTAGTCTTGGTTTAGACCTGGTTTAGTTCTAGTTTAGTCCTGGTTTAGTCCTGGTTTAGACCTGGTTTAGACCTGGTTTAGTTCTAGTTTAGTCCTGGTTCAGACCTGGTTTAGTTTCCGGCAATGAGTGGAATTACTGAAAAAAAAAAAAAAAAAGGGGGATATAGCCCAAAATGTGAAAACAGGAAAATATCGCCGTGTAATCCATTTATTTCAACAAAGTAACTGTAATCCAATTACCACTCAGTGAAACAGTAACTGTAACTGAATACAGTTACTCATAATTTGTACTCTGATTACATAACTCTGGTACATGTAATCTGTTACTCCCCAACACTGAATATGAGTAATTAGCAATGGGAATATATCACGGTTATTCTCCAATTATAAACTTAAACACACAAAATGATGATTAAACTCAAAATTTCTTTATCAATAGCCTACACAGCCGACCTCAATCTATGTTTTAACTGTGAAAATAGGCCTATATCAAAAGGTCTGGCTAAATCAAGAGAGTCTAAGGTACTTTTTTTTACAACTCATCTGAAAGTGGTACAACAAATATGTGACATTATAGACGTTCGGGTTTTCCACAAGGTTGGTCATCTTTTTCCAGCCATTTGGAGTTGAGGGATTTAGTGTAAATTGCCTTTTAAAAATCATATATTATGCAAAGTTGTGTTTTGTTTCTTTATTATTAGTCCGTCTATATCTCCAAAGCTCAAAATGCTCTGTTCCACCGTGTGATGTCATGAAGTGGTAATTATCAACTTAGCAGCTACCTTTTACCTTTTGTTCAATAAAGATCGGCAACTCCTGGGCTGAAAAGATCCAAATGATTCTAATGAAGGTGTGTGGAGTTTAAAAAGACACAGTGGAGCACTTCCTGTATCACCACATGACATCACAAGGTGGAAAAGAGTGTTTTCAGTTTGAGAGAAGAACTCAGCCTAAATCTGCAGGGTTTGTGTTAAATAAAACATAACTCCAGGTCTGTTTGTGATGAAAAAACAACTTAAAAAATAATATAATATAGATCAGAATGTAATACAGATTCTTTAAGAGCTGGACATCGATTACACTGTTTGTACTTGAGTAACTTTTTGAAGAAACTGTACTATCAGACTTCTTCTCTGGCATCATACTTTTACTCCTACCTGAATATACTTTTTTTTTTTTTTTTTTTCATATATAGTTGTAATTGTATATAGTTGCAGTAGAAGTTGTAGTTCCTCTCTCCACTGTGAGTCTAAAGTGACAAAAGCTTTATGTGACAAAATGAAATGATTTGAACATTTGTGTTTCTTGCACAAATTCTAAATTCAACATTAAGTTACTTTTACTTGAGTATTTTTTTCCCAAATACTATTGTACTTTTACCTCAGTCATCATTTCTTGGAACACTATTTTGTACATTTACTTGAGCAATATTATTTTGAAGTAACATTACTCTTACTTCAGTAAAATGTTTGACTACTCTACCACTTCTGTGCTTTATGGACAGAGAATTGTACGTATGATTTGCCACAACTGGACCTTTGTTAAATGAAAATTCCATTCATTGCACAGTCTTGTCTTTTTCAGAAATTTTCCTTCACAATTCTAAACATAGAAGTGTTAAGATTAAACAAGTAAGTAATAAGATTATACCTTTTAGTCTTACTACCACTTGACTATAGGGATGTAACGATATCCAAATCTCGTGGTACGATATTATCACGATATTCATCTCACAGTACGATATTTAATGCGATACTTTTAATATAATTGTAGACACAGCACTTTTTGCTTTTAAAATACCTTCACAAGATTTTGGTGCGAATTATTTCCGTCATAATCTCAAAATCCTATGTTGTTTGCGCTGAAATGAATCATGGGATATGTAGTTCCCGTTGTTTTTTAGCTTTTGCTCCTGTAAAAACATGTACTTAACTAAAGGAACTTATGATTCGAAAGATTGTGACAGCCCACGATATTATTGTGAGACATTTGACGATACGATATCACAATATTTCAGTTATTGTTACATCCCTACTAGGGTGCATCGTTTGCCCCAATGTCAGAAATTCAATTTGTACCCAATTTTAAAAGAAAATCTGTGGAATATTTGCTCAATTAAATAATATCTAAAGGGGCCACTAAGACTTTTATGTTCCATCCTGCTCTGGCAGAAAAATCTGTTTTTCTCAAATAAGTTTAAAAATAATGCATTTAGGGCCATGGTGTGAATGAAAGTTCAATATAAATGTTGCTTTGCTATTTGCATTTTTATGCATGTATTTATGTATTTCCATATTTACTTATTTATTTTCCATTTTATTTTTATTTTATTTTATGAGGGTTTTTTTTCTTCATAACGTCCTAAGATATGACCATTTTGCCAAGATTTTGAGTGTTGTTTTTTTTTCATAATTATCCAAAATCCATAAAGTCCAAAGATGAAATGAGAGACATAGAGTTTGTTCTTTCTGTAGTGATCATAGACTGTATAAAAACGTGGAGTAAGTGAGTGTGACGTCACCGTAGCGTCTCAATGACAGGTACGGCTCAGAGTTTGATAAACTCAAATTTCCAGAAAGAATAAAGATGTTATTAAAGAAAAACAGATTTTTCAGCTCAGATTTAAGGCTTCCACAGGCACTAAACTTCAGACACTTGGTGGATCCAGTAAACATCAATAGAATTTCATGAAATTTCTCACGGAAGTTTACTTTAGCAGGTATAAAAAAATGATACTAGGTACAAATTGATTTTCAAAAAGTTGGGCAAATAATGCTCCCTAATCCCTCCTTAAAGGCAGCTTAAAGGTTGTATAGAGGATTTTTTAAGGAAAGTGAAATACAGCGACAGTCCTTTTTCAAATATTGTGCATGCGTGACACCACCTTCCTCCTCCACAGCTCCCTCAGTAGAAACATCTCCTCCCGCCTCTTTACTCTAGAAATCACGCTTGTTTACATCCAGTGCGTGTTCAGAATTACTGTTGAAGTTTCCTGCCTAGAAATACTTTAGCGACCGATGCATCAGTTTTTAGACCCTTTGTCTGCAGTCGCGCCATCGCTGGAAGAGATCTCCAAGAATCACCTCAGTTTGTCTTCGCTCCTTTTCCTCTTCTTTTCTTCTTTCAGCGACCTCAAAAATGGACTTTCTTTTGCGGCGAACTGGTCGTGGATTCTCGTCCGCCGTCTCAACAAACTTTGTGCGAAATGCGAGGAAGCTAGAGTTTGAAAAAGCCTCTAAGAACCGCTGCATAAACCACGTAATCCCCGCGCGCCGGCGAGTCAGTTACACTAGAAACGCAGGGAGTTTGATTGACAACCTAACAGCCAATAGCTAAAGAGGGAGCCTCGTTTTCTATTGGCTGATGTTTATCTGGCCTCATTACGTCCACAGTTCATAGATTTTCATTCTTTTCTATGTTGGTCATCATAATTTCAAGGCTGCTGTGTCTCTGTAATGGTATTTTAAACTTTCAATGACAATTCGAAACAAAAAAAAAAAAATCCTCCATACAACCTTTAACTAGCAAAGTGACGAGCTGCTGATCAAACTCCACTTTGCATTTGGGCTCCCAGATCAAAAAATATTGAACGTTTTCTATAAATAAGAAAAAAACACAATGAACCAAACCCATGAAAAGATTAAAACTCACCATTTTATTATGATAATGTTATTTGATATGTCAAATTACAAGTGTATGATGTAACATAAAAACAGTTACAAACATGTATGTCTATTTACAGGATGAAAAGTAACACGCTACATCTGTCCAAAGGAAATACATGAGGGCTTCTTGGGACTGTACATTTTACACCAGATACTCGGAGTTCTCCAAACACTAGAACGTGACCCTAGATGTGTGGAACCAAGGAGACCGGAGGAGATCCAAAATGGCGACCCAAAATGGAGATTCAAAATGGAGACTAGTGGATGAACGTGAGGCACTTTTTTGAGGTTGTCGGGAGGTGAAGCCGATGGCACTAAACAAAGGCCTGGTCGTGTGGGTCGGGTTTATGACTGCAGATTATTTCACAGGGTTTAAGTTGGATCAGTAGTTCGGGGCATGTGTGTTTCTGTAGCGACGCCGCAAAAAAGGCAAAAATTTCAAAAAATTTATCTCTGAAAACTGAAACCTCATTTAAATTGACAAAAAAGCGCTATTGCCGTCTTTGAACATCTTTTACCTGGCAATGTAATTTTGTTTTGTTTGAAATGTGTATTTTTTGGATGTTTCAAGTTTTGTTTTGTTGTTTAACACTGAAAAATGTGTTAAATGTGACCAAATATTACTTTCATCTTTTAACATTTGTTATGTAGCACTCTAATTGAGTTAGTTTGAAATATATAACATTTTGCTATAAAAAATAAAATGAAATTTTATTAAATTTTAAAAAGTGCTAATTTTTTTTGATAACCTAAATTTTGAAGAGACACTGCCAAAGTTTGGCAAGTTTTATATATACTTTTTTCCCCAAAAATTTTTCTAGGGAAAATATTTTGAATTGAACCCAACTTGTTACATAAAACTAGTAATTGAGTTAGTTTGAAATATATATACATTTTTGCTATTAAACAAACAAACAAAAAACAAAATTTTGAAGAGACATTGCAAAACATTTTTTTAATAAATAAAAATAAAAAACAAAGGGAAAAAAAGGGGGGGGAAAATCTGATTTAAAAATTTGGCAAGGAGATTTTTAAAAAAATTTTAAATTTGATTTTCTAGGGAAAATATCTTGAATTGAACCCAACTTTTTTGGAGGGTTTGAACTATAACTGAAAAAATACACACACAAAAAAGTTCTCTGGTGTTAGATGGCATTTGGAAAAGCATCGTCCAAAATTTTAAATCAAATTTCAAATACAAAAAATTACTAAACAAGATTGACTTTTTTGGTGATAATATGCATTCATAAACCCGTCCACGTCCGTACGGAGAACCAAGCCGTGAGATGCACAAAGTGAAAGAAAAGGGAAAAACAGGCAGTGCTTACAGAGTAGTTAGGAGTAGTATCATTTATACTGCAAAATTTTCTCAAAAAACACAAATGTCTTCCACTATTTCCAACTAATCACAGAAATGTTACACCGAGCGCAACCGTAAGATGAAAAAAAGCTTACACATATTCAGTGCACCAGAAGCAAACCATACACTGAAAAATTAGAGCGCTTTTCCGTTAATTTTTTTTTGTTTAAATTTATCTACACAATGTCAACAATGTACACCGGTATGCATTCCCCGAAGATATGCACAAAATTTCCAAGATCGAAAGGAGGATTAAAAGACTAGCAGCAAAAAGTGGTTAAAATTGAAGTTGAAATTTTAATAATAATAAAAAATAGAGAGATATTAAAGCGGACAGAGACGTGTTGCATATATTTTACAGTACGTGAAGAGAAGGAGCACTGTGCTGGTTAAAATGAGAAAAAAGTGTTATTTTAAAACCTCTACACTCCGTTTGGATTTGGGGTTGGGAATCGGAAGACCGCAAGTGACATTTTAGGAACTTTACAGAAAAAAAAAAACTAAATTAACGTAAAAATGCTAAATTTTCCCTCAAAAGAAACAAAAAAACTGCATATACGGAACACTTTCAGGGCATTTCCAAAAAAAAAAATTCCTCACATCTGTAATTTCAGTAACTTTTCTTAAAATTTCTATTCATTAACTTGTTTTAGAGATGTAATTGAAGCTTAAATTCTTATACAGTTTTATCAAAAAAGGTAATTTTTTGTTAAATTTCAGCAGTGGGAAGTAGATTGTTGTAACGATACTAAAATTACAAACTCAAGGAATAGACTCGATACTCAATACCGATTCCGATACAATAAAAATAATTAAAAACACTTTCATTTTTAGTCTACGTGCTCTTATACTTGTTCTCAAACAGCTCAAACTCAGTCTAAAACGATTCAGAAAAGCTTAATTTCTGACTTTTTTCGTATCAATACCTGCAAAAAATGAGTATTTAGTTTCGATACAAGTTTTAATATCGACAAGTATCTGAATTTTGATACTTCTGACAACCCTAGGTTCAAAACTCATCACGATTTTCTCATTTATTTGACGTATTTATATCCCAAAATGTCACTTGTGCGCTTTAGATTCCAGCCCCGGACAAAGTTGGATTTCTCATTTGTTCTTTATGTTTGTTTTTGATGGAGGAGATCCTACTCGATGCTATTCAGCCAGCAAGTTTTTCTTTGTCCCCATCGGGTTCAGTCGCCCTCCACATAACGCAGGGATAATGTGAGTGATGAGTGCTTGGTTACACACAGCCTCCCCACACATACACAAACGCACAAACTCACACAAACGCACACACACAGGCGTCGTTTCGGTGACGCGAACGGCACGGTTAAGTTAGTACGGCAGGATTAGGTTGACTTTACTTTATAGTTATAGTTTCATAATATCACGTTACCATTTTATACTGAAGGTTTTGTAATTTTCTTCTGGAAAATTTAAGAAAAAAATCAAATCAAAATCCTCAAATGTTGATTATTTTTTACTTGCAACAATATCTATACTGCAAAAAACTAAATCTAGCCCAGTTTTATCATGATCAAGTGAAATTATCTGCCAGTGGAACAAGACTTTTTGTACTTAAAATATAAAATTACATCTGGTTACACTTAAAATAAGAAAAAAACAGCAATTTTTTTGCCCCTGAAAGAAACAAAATCTAACACACATATTCCATTGGTAGATTCGTTTTACTTGTCAATTTGAATCGACTCAAATTAAAATATTCTTGATGTAAGTCATTTTAACTTGACAAGATATTGTTTTTTTCCAGTGTAGGAATGTTTTTGAAAATTTTAACCCATTGTCACTTTACTGGCTCTGTACGGTCAGTATTGCTTACATTAAAAATGGGTACAAAAAGTTAAATTTTAGTTCTGATGTGTGTTTTGGTTAAGTTTGATTTAAGTTTTTGTTTCCACTGGGCAAAATTAAATTCAAACATCACTGAATATTGTATTTTTTATTCATATTTTACACCAGTACACTGCGAAAAACACAATCTAATCAAGTTAAGATTAATTCTTGAATTAAGAAAGTTTTATCATGATTTCACTTGACAAATAAAATTATCTGCCAGTGGAACAAGACTTTTTGTACTTTATGAAAATACATCTGGCTACACATAAAATAAGAACAACAACATTTGCACTTAAAATAGAAACAAAATCTAATGTTGCTTGAATTAAGAAAAACAGACTTCTTCCACTGGTAGACAATTTTACTTGTCAAATTGAATCGACTCAAAGTAAAATATTCTTAAGTCATTTAATCTAAGTCATTTCAACTTACCTAGATATCGTTTTTTTCCAGTGTAAGAATGGTTTTGTACCCATTTTCAATTTACGCAATACTGATTCTACGGAGCCCGGAAAGTGATAATGGCTTAAAATTTTCAAAAAAGTTCCATTTTAGTTCTGACGTGTGTTTTGTTTAAATTTGATTTAAATTTGTGTTTCCACTCAAATCATCTGTTCAAAATGAAATTCAAACATTATTCACTGCAAAAAACAATATCAATGTAAGTTAAAATCACTTAAATTAAGAATATTTTACTTGATTTGAGTTGGTAGTAAAAATGTCTACCAATGGAATAAGTGTGTTTTTTCTTAATTCAAGCAACATTTGATTTTGTTTCTTATTTTGAGAGCTAAAAGTTGTTGTTTTTCTTATTTAAGTGTAGCAAGATGTATTTTCATATTTAAAATACAAAAAGTCTTGTTCCATTGGCAGATAATTTTACTTGTCAAGTGAAATTTACTCAAATCATGATAAATCGAGTCATCTTAACTTGATTAGATTGTGTTTTTGCAGTGTACTGGTGTAAAATCTAAAGAAAAAACACAATATTCAACGATGTTTGAATTTCATTTTCCCCAGATGATTTGAGTGGAAACAAAATTTAAATCAAACTTAAACAAAACGCACATCAGAACTACTTTTTGTACCCGTTTTCGATGTAACCAAAGCAATATTGACTCTACACTGCCATCTTAATTCAAGCAACATTTGATGTTGTTTCTTATTTTAAGTGCAAAGAGTTGCCGTTTTTCTTATTTTTAGTGTAGCAAGTTGTGTTTTCATATTTTAAGTGCAAAAAGTCAGATAATTTTACTCAGATCTTGATGAAACTTTCTTAATTCACGCGATCTTAACTTGACTAGATTTGAGTTTTTGCGGTAATATTGTATTTTTTCCTCAGATTTTACACCAGTAGTTGATATAAATATATATTTTTTTTGCACAATTCACCGAACCGTGCTGAGCTTTTTACCGAAAACACGCCCATTTCGCCCCACATTCACTCCGTTATATGCTGTAGGAGAATTAACAGTCGATCATAGCTGATTTCTGCCAACACGAGAAATATTAGTGATTGTATCTAGCAGCTTTAGATGTACATACAGTATATATATAATATTTATATAGAAACTCTTCAGAACACCGCCCCCGAGCGTACCATTAGCTCTAACCCACCTACCGTACAAAACTAGATCAACTATTAGGCTATCAGTCCCGGACTCTACTTTTCAATGTGAAATAATACTAAAAAGTGGCCTATATACACAAGCGCTGTCATATAAGCTACGGTAAATGCCGACAGCGTCCATAAATACAACTCTATCTTTCAAATATCAAAGACAAAAAAAATGTCGGATTATTATTATCATTATCATCATTATTATTATTATTATTATTATTATTATTATTATTATCAGCACTTAAATATAGTGTTAGATATATACATGTGTTTTTGGAGTTTGGTACCTAAGTGTCCCGTCACCTACTGCACAAGGTTTTCCAGGGAGAGATTGCATAGAAAGGATATTTTTTTTTTGTAATTTATAAGAAAAATATTGGTTAATTTGTATAGTGAGACTTCTCTAATAATTTTAATTTCTAATATTTACATTTTGGATATTGACTATTGTTTGTTTGGAGATTAGATGAGTCTGATTGGGTTTGAAAATCTATTGTTAAGTTTATGAAAAGTTGTCAAAAGTAGGCCATGTCCACACAAATGCATTAGAAAGCAGCTTCGTACAACGTTTATATTTCGTATTATGTAGCTTATGTAAGAATCCAGTAAGTAAAACAGTTAACAACCAGTGACCCGCTAACGTTCTCTGCCAACTAACTCAGTTTAATGTCGAATTTTACACCGTATTGACATGAATTATAGTTTTAGACGTCAATTTCCTTTGTAGTTTTGAATACAAAATTATAACTACTTAACTGCCGTGTTTTTCAGACTATAAGTTGCTTATATATTAAAATGGTCACACTGAAGCGTGGAGAAGTTCTAGTTTTGTGTGTCATTATCTGCTGCTCCTGTTCCTCCTGTACCACTGTCACTTGGCTCTAGGGTAAGGGTGCGCATGTCTCCTGCAGAAAGAGCCTCTGTCCGGTCTGTATCATGTCAGTCGATCGCACCGTTACTTCTGCACCACTGAACAATTTAACATTTAAACTACAAATGAAGCTGCAAGTCGTGAAATATTCAGCCTAAAACGGTAATCGAGCAGCAGAAAAAAAGTTTAGAGTGAGTGAGAAACTTGTGATATCATGAAACTTTCCTGAAGTCACTGGATGGATGGATGGACAGAGCGTGGACTTCAGTGACACCGAAACCATCCTGTCCGGATTTAGAAAGACCGGAATAATTCTAACTCAGGAGTCTCCAACCTGTAACTCTCCACCCCATTCCACGTAGCTCGCCAAGGGAATTCTGAATTGTACGTGTTGTGTTGACTAAGTAAAATTTGATGAATTACCATTGTAAATCTATAATTTTAATGTCCACTTTTGTGCACTAATAAATGAATAATGCTTTGTATTTTATAGGCATCTAACTGTCCCCAATCTGAGGCTGTGGCTCTTGTATAATACTAAATTTCTTGCAGCTGTTAAAATAAGTAGCTCTTTGGCGTTTTTGTTTTGTAAAGGAAAAAGTTTGGAGACCCTTGTTCTAACTGGAACTGATGCTGAGTCTGACGACAGCGACACAAAAGAGGAAGCGGTGCTCTGTTTACCTCCGCAGGTCGTGGAGTTGTTCAGAAGTGACACCGAGGATGAAGAATTGAATGGATTTAGTGATTTGGAGTGAGATGGAGAGTTTGTTAAACTTGTTCTCTTCTGTTGTTTATGTTATAGTTTATCTGAAGAACTGTTCATATGTGACGTTAACAGTCTGTTGTTCTCTCTTCTGTTGTTATTAATATAACCTGACTTTCAAGATGAAATGTTGATTCCTGGTCTCTGATTTTATTAAAAAATTTCTCCCAAAAAGACTTATTGACTTATATGTTTTTTTCGTCTTCATTACGCATTTCTTGGCCGATACTCCGGAGCAACTTATGGTCCAAAAAATATGGTACTAGGTAAATTATCTAGCTAGCGAACCCAAATCATGTACAAACCAGCCGTGTGCCCCATTTATGCTTAGCTAGTGACTAAACTCAGTCAAGTTGCTTAATTTCATAGCCCAATCACAAAACTTTCAACTTAACAGCCGTCACGCTAACCCAATAGCAACGTGAAACAAGTTAGCTGTAGCCAAACCTGCTAACTTTGCTAACAACGCTAAGCTAACCAACTTTTCTTTGCCGTTTTTAGGTATTTTAAGGTTTGACATCATAGCAAAATACCTCATACACACTTTTTCCATCTCAGTATTTTTTGTTCTATAGTGTAAATGTGTAAATGTATTTATGTGGACATCGCCTTTGTGTTTTTCCGTACCAAAACTCCAATAAAAACAGATATGATTCGATTTTTTTCCATTTACACACTGGAAATACAAATTAACAGTCTGCCCGCGTCCTGTTTTTCGTATGGTTTTAACATTTTTAAATCGTAAAAACAGTAAAAAATGCGGAAAACAGGAGGCGTTGCGTTGGGCAGTTTTCGTTTTCTTACGTCGATCGCCAGTGCATATTACACCTATGTACACACACGCACACACGCCATTTTTAATACAATTCCAAGTCAAGCATTCAGACGAGTTACAAGGAATAAATTTTGGGGAATGACAGAACAAAAATATGGGTACACAGAAAACAAAAACAGAAAAATTATAATTATAACATGGACTAAGGAGAGGTGTAACCAAAAGCTCGGAAAGTAGTAGTGCTTAAAAACTATGTTCCGTTAGTTTAAAGGGGTTCAAATAAAACAAAAATCTAATAAGTGCCATGTTTTAACCGTTAAAAATCAGCACGAAAACCCCAGACTCACCTAATTAAAACTTGCTGGTTGAGCAACATTTCAAATTTATCCCAAAATAGAATATATCTTTTCGAGACAACAAAATTTTACACAATTTCTTCAAAGTTTTCTTGCAAATTGTGTGATTTCGGCAACTATTCTCGGGAAGAGCGCATGGTAAAACTGCTACCATTTTCCCTTGTAGTTGATCCCTTTGTTTTTGGAATGCGGTGAAATGGTCCGAATTGTTTGGCGGCGGAAAACTTTGCTTCCGAACAGTACCTTCAAAGCAACGTTTTGGCGTAGGGAAGGGAAGGGAAGGGAAGGAGGGGGGAAGGGCGAAGAACGTTGGCCATAAACGCACCACAAAACATCTGTCAAATGTTCAAAAATGACGAGAAATCACGTGGCTCGCACACCACAACAGACCGATACCGAAGGAGAGGGGAAAACACTATTTGGAGTGCACTTTTCTGTATAGTAATTACAACTGTGGAGCCGTGAAGAGGGCCGCGGTTAGCCAAATCACAGAAGCAAAAACAGATCCCTTTTAGCGAACGGCGAGGAGCTTTTTCGGAACAATAATAGTCTATAGCTTGTCGATCTCTGTACAAAAGATTCCTTCATAAACGATTCTTTGTCCGCATGTGGCCTGGCGTTATGAAACACGACTGTATTTGTGTGTGTGCGTGTGCGCGTGTGCGTGTGTGTGTGTGTACAGGTGTCATTAGTAGCGCCTCGAGAGTCCGTTAAATCCTGCGCTCCTCCACAAGTCGCGCTCCTGAGCTTGACGCGTGTGCTCAGAGCTAACCACAAAGCATGTCTCACCGCTCCGGCTGCTGCTCGTCGGCGACAAACTCAAATCTCTGAACAGATCGCCCCCAGTCCGAGCGGAGGGGCGATGGAATAAAAGGATGCCGGCTTTTTAAATTTCCACTTTATAAGCTAGCTTCAGTGGTGTCCCGAGGGGTGTTGGCGCTGCTCGGGCGCGGCGGAGGTCACCCGGCGGCTTTGTGCTTGCCCCCGCAGCACCGGCACGCCTCCCCGCAGTGGTGGCAGGCGCGGAGGGGCAGGTAGCAGCACATACAGGGCGCGATGAAGGACAGGGCCACCAGGGCGAGCCAGCGCAGGCAGAACTGCTCGTCGGACGTGTCGCAGGAGCACGGGTCGGAGAAGTCCCCCTCCGAGTCGGACATGCAGTGGTACAGCATGCTCTCGGCGCACAGCATGCAGCTCACTTTGTAGATGCACTGCTTGATGGGGTCCGGCGCGTCCTGGCACTGCCCCCTGCGGTTGTCCTCGTGGTTGAACATCTCGCGGCAGTAGATGCACCGGGAGCGCTCGCCGTCCTCTCTCCTCCGCCGGCTCTTCTTGGACTTGAGCAGGGGCGAGGGTTGGGTTTTGATGGCCGAGTCTTTGCCCAGTCCCATGCCCAGGCCGGTGCCCATGCCCGCGCCGGTGCCCGACGGGTGGTGCAGGTCCCCGGGGTGCGCGTCCGAGAACAGGTACTTGTTGTTGTCGGCTTTGTGGAAGGCGGAGGGGAAGTCCATGGCGTCGCGCTCCTCCTGCTTCCACATGACCGGGTGGCGGTAGTCCTCGTAGCCCCGGATCAGCACGTCCTTCCGCGGGTTGATGCGCACGATCTCCTCCTCGTCCATGTGGAAGCTGACGTGGCGAGTCGGCTTGAAGGACACCTGCGGCACACGGACCAGGAGGTAAGAATCACAAGATTACTCCAAACACTCAAGTACCTATGAACTACAGATGAGAGTTTTAACATAACGGTTAGGGGTGTAATGATATCCAAGTCTCACAATACAATATCGTCATGGTACGATATTTATTGCGATATCGTAGGAAAGCTCACGATGTGGTGGGGAGGCTCACGATTAGGAATGTAACAATATCCAAATCTCTTGGTATGATATTTATTGCAATATTTTGAGGAGACCGCAAACAAAACTGTGAATATGCTACTTTTTCCTCTTAAAATGCCTTGACAAGACTTAATCCAAAGAACTAAGACTTAAAAGTGCTTAAAATTTATTTCTTCTTGAAGTCTGCACTGAAATGGCACAAAGGATCATGGTCTATGTAGTTCCCACTGTCTTTTTTTTAGCTATTGATGCACCATAACTCTTAATTTAAGCAAAGAGACTTACTTAAGTAATTCGATATATTGGATTGGTCCACGATATTATTGTGAGAACTTTGACGATACGATATTTCAGTTATTGTTACATGAAATCCACACGTCACTAATTAGGGGTGTGCAAAAATATTGAAATATCGATATATCGTTTTGTTTAATGTTATGACACAGTATTGATTTATCGCCAAGAGTATTTTTTGGTATATTTTACAAAATTATTTTGTTATAGAGCTACAGTTTTGTTGCTTGTTTAGTGGAAAGAAACTCATTTATGTGACACATTTGACATTTTCACTGTTTTGATGATTAAAATCAGCGTGTTTCATATTAACATTACACAAGAATTAGTTGAACAAAGTCTTTTAGTATCACAGCCATGATTGAGTCTTTTTTATTGAACCATATCGAACTGATCTGAAATATATCGTATTGAATTATATAGAATCGGAAGCTCACTGTATCGAGATATGTATCGTATCGGCAACTTCTGAATGATACCAGGTCCTTTCACTAATAGTTTACATTTTGATACTAAATATTATGAAGCTTAAAGTATGCCAAAGGAAGACAGCAGTGTAGTCTACAAGATAACATTCAAATTATTGTTTTAAAAGACAGTTTATTTTTTATGAAAATTGTCAAACCCGTGAAAAATGTACATTAAATAAACTGCATCTTCTCATCAATAATTTTACAATATTTTTTCTCCAGCTCTTTGGTGTGACAGGACTGTGCCGCCATCGTCTCACATGGTCGCTGTCAAGTTGTTTTTAACATGTGACATGTGCAGTGAAGAGCTGTGTGCAGAACAGAGCAGCTTGCCAATGACTGATCATCAGCTCAAGCAAAGCAAAGCCTGGCAGGGGCAGAACTTGGACGGGAGACGGTTGGGAATACCAGGTGTCAAAGTGGGGCAGCAGTGGCTCTACTGGAAACTGTCAGTGAGTCCTCAGGGTGAATGAAGAAGAGAGGTGTGCAAAAATACTGAAACATCGATATATCGTATCGTTTAATTTGATGATACAGTATCGATATCGAGAAATGCTGTATTTATGTATTGTCAGGAGTATTTTTTGGTATATTTTACTAAATAATTTCATGTAAGAGCTACAGTTGTGTTGACATTTTCACTGTTTTGAGTAAAATGGGTGTTTTTCATTTTAACTTCGCACAGACATAATGGACTTAGTATAACAGCCATGATTCAACCATTGTTTTCACTGAACTGTATCGAATCGATTGGAAATATATTGCATCGAACTGTATTGAATTGAGAGTGCACTGTATCGAAAAGAGTATCGTATCGTGGCCTATGTATCGAGGTATGTATCGTATAGACAACTTCTTCATGATATCCAGCACTAATGAGGAATGCTCTGGGTGTCTTGAAAGGTTAAAAACTAAAGCCATATTAATATTTTTACCGTATTTTCTGGGCTATTAGGCGCTCTGGATTATAAGACGCACTGTCATGAAATGGTCTATTTTCTAACTTTTTTCACAAATAAACCGCACCGGACTTTAAAGGAAACACAACAGTGTGATGGGTGAGTGGTTTAGTTTGTTTGTGGCGTTCACGGTGACTCTGGGCTTTGTTCAGTTGTGGCGTGTAGGGAGGGTGCTGTCTGGGACCAACGGATTGTTGGCGTGTTCGCAGTGACTCAGTTGTTCAGTCGTGTCTAGAAGCGGCACATTGCACTCGCTCGTTCCTCCGTTCCGTTCCTCGTCGGCGTGGAGTGATGAGTGTGTCTGTGGGTGTTTGTCGCTGTGTGGTCGCTGTCTGCTCCGTGTGTGTTTGCATGCGCTGCGGCTTTGTAGTTTACTGAAGTCGTGCTGGGACACCCGAGTGGATTCGTGTATTGGGGCGCTCTGGATTGTGGGGCGCGCAGTCGTTTTTTGATGGTGTTGGAGCCTTAAGAGCGCGTCTAATAGCCCGGAAAATACGGTATTATTGTTATTACCTGTGGGGGCAAGTAGCGCGTGTTGGAGGGGAACTCGTCAAAGGGCTGAGCTCGGACGTAGCAGCCTCTGAAGGGCTCCGTGTGCGCCTCACTCAGCGGAGAGAAGGGCTCCTTCATCGGGGTGCACAGAGACGGAGGCTCGTTACACACCTGCACCACAAACACAAACACAACAGGTTAGAGAAGTCACTTTACTTTATATCACCTTTTATGGAAGTTAGTCCTTTGCATTTGACAAATTTTTCAGTGGACAATGGACACAAGCAGTATTGGGAGTAACGCGTTATAAAAGTAACAGATTTCTGTAATGTGTTGCTTTTTGCTGTAACGCAGTAATGTGGCATTTTAGGGGAAAAAACTGTAATATTTTACTCGGTACAAATGTCAGTTACAAGCATTGCAATGCACTTTTAACCTGGATTGAAGTGGTGGATTTTCATTTTTCTTCATACAAATTTGCTAAAATCACACGATATCAACAGTGGTGAAACGCCGGAGATGCGCCCGCATAGACCGTCAGGTGACCGTGGGCGAAAGGACCGGCGCAGAACTTCCAGCTGCAGCTGACGCCCGATCGCGCTCGGGGTTCTCTCAGGGCCGATCCTAGATTCCAAGTTCTAGTCCAAGATTAGTCCTGGTTTTGTCCTGGTTTAGACCTGGTTCAGTCCTGGTTCAGCTCTGGTTTAGTCCTAGGTTAGGCCTGGTTCAGTTCTGGCTTAGTCCTGGTTTTGACCTGGTTTAGTTCTGATTTAGACCTAATTTACTCCTGATTCAGTTCTGGTTTAGACCTGGTTTAGTTCTGGTTCAGTCCTGGTTTAGTCCTGGTTCAGGTCTGGTTCAGTCTGGTTTAGTCCTGGTTTAGTCCTAGTTCAGTCCTCCTGGTTCAGTCCACAGTTCAGACATATACGGCGCATCTTCGCAGTTATTTTGGTGAAAGTATCTTAAAGTGCTGTAATAGTCGTGTAATGTTTTACATTTTAAACACAGTAATATTGTAATGTAACAAATTACTTTGAAATGACGGTAACAAGTCAAAAATAACACATTACAGTTTTAACGTAACTTGCCCAACAGTGGACACAAGGACAACGAGACAGTCGAGACAAAGGCCAAGATCATTTGCAAGTAGGTTTTATGGTTCAGTTGGTTGTTTTCAATGGTTGTGTTTTTCAGAGGGATTGATGATTTTAATATCTCCTTTAACTCCAGAGTCTTTTCACTGGTTCTTGGTTTCGATTCAGTTTCATTCATGCAAAAAACAAGCATGATTAATGAAATATACATTAAACGTTATGAATGATAAACAGAAAAAAGGTATCAAACGCCTGCTAAATCTAGTCTTTTGTTTTGCTGGTGAGTGTGTGTGGGCGGTGTAGCACTCCAGCCACCAGGGGGCATCCTACACCCACACAGAGCCCGGGCACTGCTGCGTGCTGATGACTCAAGGCCCTTCTGTTAGAACTCACAGTTCCCACAAACATCTGAGCTCATGTCACATCTCCAACTGTGGGCCCGGAGACGCCAAAGCGAACCGACCGAAGCACCACTGCGCCTCGCCGTCCCACCTGACCACAGCCGAGTCCGCAGGGAAAACCAGGATGCACAGAGAGATATGAATGAGATTACAGTGGCATTTATGTAGGGTGTTTTAGAATTTTGTGTCTGTAGTTGACTAAAGACATCCTTGTTGGACTAAAAACATGTGCTGCTGATTAATTAGTCGACTAAAACGTGCGTGTATCTCGTGTTTCTGACCCAAACTGCACTCACAAGACGACACCTGCACAGGAACTCGAGCAAAAACTACTATTTATTAGGGATGTAACGATATCCAAATCTCTCTGTACGATATTTATTGCGATATTTTGGAGCGGTCAATGTAATATAATTGTAGATACGACACGTTTCTGCTTTTAAAATACCTTGACAAGATTCTGGTGTGAATTATTTCCGTTATAATCCCAAGAATTTAAGTAAAAAACATGTTTCTTCGTGTTATTTGCGCTGAAATGAATCATGGGATATGTAGTTCCCGATGTTGATAAGCTCTTGGTTCTAAAAAACAATGTATTTAAGCAAAGAAACTCATAATTCAGTATATATTGTGACAGTCCACGATATTATTGAGAGACTTTTGACGATACGATATCACGATATTTCAGTTATTGTTACACATTTCTGTATAAAGACAGATTAAATTAGCAAATCATGAGTTTAATCTGATTGTTTACAGATAAATACCAAAAAATACCCAATCTTCAGCGAACTCTTTCACTTCTCCTTTCTTCTGCTGTCTCATAAATTCTTATAATCTAAATGATTAATCGACTAAATGGCCAGCATCTAAACACTACAGATAAGGGGTGGGCCGTTTACAAGAATCCGTGTATCATTTGTTCATTCGTTTGTCAAAATAAAACCAAAAATAAGAAAACAAAAAAAACAAATAGTTTCTTTATTATTTGTCTCCAAAACCAAAATGAAAAAAAAAAAAAAACGGATAACGATTTGTTTTTTCGGTTTTCGATTTTGTGTTTAAATGAAAAATGGATTTTAAAGAAACGGATAACAGACGCTTCCCGTTTCAGTGACTTAAACTGCGATGCTGGACTGAACCAGGACTAAATCAGGACTAAACCAGCACTAAACTAGGACTGAACCAGCACTAAATTGGGACTAAACCAGGACTGAACCAGGACTGAACCAGGACTGAACCAGGACTGAACCAGGACTGAACCAGGACTGGGCCCAGAGGTGCAGCTGACTCTCCCAAATCCTAGATTAGTCCTGGTTCAGTCCTGGTTCAGTCCTGGTTCAGTCTTGGTTCAGTCTTGGTTCAGTCTTGATTCAGTCCTGGTTCAGTCTTGGTTCAGTCCTGGTTCAGTCCTGGTTCAGTCCAGGCTTAGTCCAGGCTTAGTCAAGGCCTAGTCCTGGTTCAGTCCTGGTTCAGTCTTGGTTCAGTCTTGGTTTAGTCTTGGTTCAGTCCTGGTTCAGTCTTGGTTTAGTCTTGGTTCAGTCCTGGTTCAGTCCTGGATTAGTCCGTAAATCCGAAACTGAAAATGGCCATTATCAATTTTTTTCATTATTTATTTAAACACAAAATCGAAAACTGAAAACAAGAATCATTATCCGTTTTTTCATTTTGGTTTTGGAGACAAATAATGAAGAAAATAGTTGTTTTTTCATTTTATTATTTTTGGTTTTATTTTGAAAAACAAATGAACAAATGATACACGGATTTACAAGTTTGTTTGTTTTTTTATCCCAATTTTCAAAAGCCGTGATCACAACTTTAATTATGACTACGACATATGTAAACTTAAATTATACTTAATTATTTCAAGGTGATTCCTCTGAGAACTAATTTGTGATTGGTTGAGTCAGCTGTCGTCAAAGGGGATCAGATCACAAATGTTTTATTGTCATCCTGCCCGGACCTCACCATTCGCCAAATTCTATAAAAGACCGAACACCTAAAATAGTGCGGCTAATAATACGGCGGAGTCTGCTGAATGGGTGACCGACTAATCATTCAAGAAAAATAGGACGTGAATGGAGAGAAGGCCTTGTGTCAGAGCTGGCCTTATTTTTGTCAGATAGTTCAATATTTGCCGACAAAAATAAACCCAGACATTACAGAAATATTAACCATACAGCAGGGGAAACAGCTGCACAGTTTACAGACCATTTTTACTAGAAAATAGTTACTACACTCCAACAAAACTTTGAAATACAGGCTTTTTTCGTAAGGCTGCAGCAAATAATCGAAATAATCATGACTAGTCGACTCCTGAAATAATTTTTGACCATTAGTTAGTGATGGGCAAATGAGTCGGCGCTCCGGAGCACGTCTCGTTCTTTCTGAAACAAACTGCTCCGAAGCACACCTCCTCGTGTTTGGCTCGAAGGATTTTCGATATTTTTCGTTTACGTTGGAGCCAGGACCGTCTGTAACCGCGCTCAGACATTTCTTTAGCAATCATTAAAAAAAAACAAAAAACGCCAGATTACGATAACACCCCTCCAATTTGGCCTGAATACAGCGATCCCCTCAAATATTAATTCAATCTTTAACCTCACTTTATTCCCTCCATTGATGAGATTCCGAGCCTGACGTGTACGTGGGATGAATGTGACCTGACCGTTCAGACTGAAGTCGCATGTCAATAGATCAGATATGTATCGGTTTTAGGAGCACATATCCAAGTGGCCTGGGTCGCATCTGAAAAAAAAAAAACGGATCTGCGTCGTTCAAACTGTCATTAAGAGGTCACATAGGGACCAAAAAAATCTGATTTGGCTCACCTCAGGCTGCAGTCTGAACGTAGCATTGGTTATAATGTTGTTTCCTCATCAAAACATACCCAGTTTTGTTTTGCTCCAGATTTAGGCTGAGTTCTTCTCTCAAACCTTGTGATGTCATGTGGCGGTATAAATGTGCTTTTAAACTGATTTTAAACTCTACACATCTTCACTAGAATCATTTGAAAACTTTCAGCCCTGGAATTGCCGATCTCTACTGAACTAAAGGTAAAATATGGCTACGTTCACACTGCAGCCTGAAGTGACCCAAATCAGATTTTTTTGGCCTCTATGTTCCTGTATCTGATCTTTTAATGACAGTCTGAACGACACAGATCCGATTTTTTCAAATGCGACCCAGGCCACTTCAATATGTGCTCCTAAAACCGATACATATCTGATCTTTTGACATGCGACTTCAGTCTGAACAACCAAAGCGCATTGATTCGACCTACACGTTATCAACAAGTCACAAACTGTTACGTGCCACTGGAGTGGACCCAAAAAAAGGACTCAAAACAAGGACAAAAATGCAAAAGTAACAGGGTTTATTAATCAGGGTGGACAAGGCGGTGAAGAGATGAGGAGCCAGCTGCCGGGATGCAGGAGTCTTCAATGGCGGGAACTAGGAGTACAAAAAATGCAGGTAAGTATACAGCGAGCGAGGGAAAAATCAAAAACTGAGCCGACAGGGAAATCACCATCTGGTAGACGAAACAATCTGGCAGAGTCTGGCAGGAGAGCTGGGCCTTTGTAGCTGGCGTGATTGCAGATGGTGTTCAGGTGATCCCAGCAGACTCCGCCCACATCCACACCCAGAAGACTCAGGACAAGCAGGGGCGTGACAG